TGGCTTGCTGAGTACTCCTGTACTCACCCTTGCTCTATATAAATAAATCCCCCCCAGTTGCTGAAGAAGATGAAGCGGATCCCGCTGATGAGGAGTTCTTCCAGGAGCAAGCCGGCTACGATGAGTTTTAGGGTTTCGGCCTAGTTCCCAAGTCGCGCCTGTGTTGTTTGGTCCAAGTCCTGGCTTCCGTTTCCCTTTTGTAATGCAGTTGTGAGCTCGGGATCTGTCCGCAGCCCAACATGACTGTACCTCTACTCTATAATAAAGAGACCTCGGTTGCTGTGATAATCTGTCTTCCTGTGATACCAGCACTGTTTTCTGGGACTGGTATCGATTTACAGGTTAATTTGGAGCGTCACGGGCTAGTTCCGGTCGGTACTAGTTCGGGGCGTGACAGTCAATAACAGGGAGTTATGGCAAATGATGATTTTGTTGATCTCAACATATGTTGACAGTTTTCTAGAGATGCTCATATATATGAATAGGATGTGTGTGTAGTCATAGAGATGAGTAAGGTGGTGTTTGAAGTGTTTCATGCAAAACGAGGTGGTAATAACATGTGATTAATTGAGTTTTAATTGATACAAACTTGAAAATGGATTGATCTGATATTTTAGAACAACTTTTATATAGAAAGTTTTCGCATGAAACGCATTGATTAACAGTTTGGAAAGTGTGCCACGAATATCTAAAACTTTATCCACTCTCTGTAGTAGAAACAACGAAGCCAAGCGTCTGCATTTATATTATGTTTCTAAAAAATAATTTGAAACCTTGACTATAAATTTTTAAATAACAAATTGTTTGCATAGATCAATTTGTCTTAAAAGTATTATCACAATATCATAAATGTAGTATATTTCATATACTTATTTTCATATAAAATAGATCTAAGTTTGACAAAACAAATCACTACTACAAAACCATCTTTCGTGGCGGCCATTTTAGGTTTTCGCTAGCAGAATTTGGTACCGCCATAAACCAAAAGCCAGTGAAGATCAAGATCTTAAGCCAGCTGCCAGCAAAGATCCATTTTCGCTGGCGGTTGGATTAAGACGGCCGCCAGCGAAAATAAATTATCGCTAGCGGCTGTGTTAAATCGGCCGCCAGTGAAAATCTATTTTGGGCCAAAAAAAAATACCCATGCAGCTGCCCAGCCGCAAGCGTAGATGATTTGGAGAAAAGCCCATTGATTCATTTTCAAAATTCAAATCCACATCTAGAGATCTAGATTCGATGCTCATTTCCAAATTCAAACATGAAATACAAAATCATCATTTACACAGATCAAACATCATTTACACAGATTAAAACATGTGCATCATCTGGAACAACATGCAAAAAAAAAATTCAAATCGAAGAGGAGGGAGCTGGGAGCATGGTCAGGACGGCGTCATGGTCGGAGAGGAGGGAGCCGGGAGCATAGTCGACGGCGTCGAGGTCAGTGCCGCCCTCCCCGTGGTCCGGCGGTGGCGGATCCGGCCTCCCCGCGGCCTGGTGGCGGCGGATCCGTCCTCCCCGAGGCCTGGCGGTGGTGGATCCGGCCTCCCCGCCCGCGCCCAAGCGCTGCCGCCCGCGCCCGAACTCGTCGCCACCTTCGCTGCGCAGTCCTCCGTCACCCGGCGCTGGAGGATTGGAGGAAGAGAGGGTTGGAGGGAGAGAGGGAGTGGAGAAAGGAGGAGGAGAGATAGCATAAGGACAAGGCTGGTGTGGGGGCGGTCATTTTATAGCGTTAAATTTTATTTCGCTGACGGTGTTGTTACATGCCGCCAGCGAAAATCGGACGCCAGCGAAAACCCGATTTTTTTATGACGGGCCTCTTAGCGCCGCCACCATAAAATAGAGCTGTTTTTTGTGACGGGCCTCTTAGCGTGGCTGCCAGCGAAAACCGATTTTCGCTGGCGGTCCGTAACCCCTCACCTCTCGTTACATTTTTCGTGACGGTTTTTGCCTATAACCGCCAGCGAAAATTATAGGGCAACACCATAAAAAATCTTTTTTTATAGTGAATTAACCCAATCTTATCCTAAACGGCAAATATTTATGAACTGATTTTTTGGATGGTTCTACTAAGATGCAAATCGACCATACAAAACCACAAAAAAGCACGTCCATCTTGCATTTCATGTTTAGCATTTAACTTAACAAATTTTCTACAACAACACACGGGGATTTAACAATTATCTTGTAAAATTGATCCAACCAAGTGTAGTTGTTGATATTTCCTTTTTTTTTATAATACAGAACCACTTATATTGAATTAATTATTCACTACTACAAAAGTGATTTTTCTGTACGAGACCCCTTCATTTTTGCAAACAGACCATAACTAGTGGCGTCTGCAAAAATCAAGCGGCATTTTCGCAGCGGCTCCTTAAGACGCCCGTATGGAAAAATCACATATCTTACAAAATTTATATATATCTCTCTTATAGTTTATAAAACAATATAAGAGATATGTACATTTTGTGAACAATCTTACAAATCACTTTGTTGGATGAAGAAATGACCAAAATAAAAGTTATCGATTTCGATGAGTTATACAACTTTGTTATAGAAGAATTTTCCATTTGAAATCATTTAGTATTTGAAAATGTTGTTTGAAATTGTCATCATTTGAAATTCAAATTCAAACTGTCGAAACAAAGTCATATAGAAAAATGACCAAAACAAAAGTTGTAGATCTTGATAAGTTATACAACTTTGTTGTTGGCAATTTTTTTCATTTCAAATCATGTACTACCCGAAAAATTATTTGAATTTCCTATATTTTAAAATTTAAATTTTATATAGTTCAATCAAACTCGGATCGCGAAATGACCAACAGAAAAATTGTAGATCTCAATGAGTTCTACAACTTTGCTTTTGACAACTTTTTCACATGAGTTCATTTAGCATCTGAAAATTCGACTCGAAGTTTATTTAGTACCAAATTAATATTTTTAATAATTATTTTCGCATGCGGACGGTTATGTGGTCCGCATGTAAAACTGCCGGCATTTTTTCACTCCTCCTCTCTCTCTTTCCCTCCTCACCATTTCAAAATTTTTCAACCACCCCATTTAATTTCTCTCTCTCTCTTTATCTCCTCTCTCTCCCTCTCTCTTTCTCTCCTCTCCTCTCCTCTCTCTTTCTTCTCTCCTCTCTTCTCATCGACAGCGGGCATGGGTGCACGGCGATGGCGTCGGCGGGCAGCGAGGGCGAAGGATCTGGTGGCGCCGTCCTCGGGAGGGCCAATCCGTCACCCTAGGGAGGAGCTCAGCGCTCGACGGCGGACGGCGGGCGGCGGGCACGGTGATGGCCTGCGGCGGCGGATCCGGCGGCGCCGTCCTTGGGAGGGCCAGATCCGCCGCCCTAGGGAGGAGCTCGGCACTCGGCGGTGGATCTGGGGTCGGCGGTGGCAGCGGTGGTCTCGGGCGACGGCGGCAGCGGCGGTCTTGGGCAGCTGGCGACGAACGGTGGCGGCGGATCTGATTGGAGCGGATCCGGCGGCGCCGTCCTCGGGAGGGCCAGATCTGCCGCCCTACGGTGGAGCTCGACGCTCGGCGGTGGATCTGGGGGCGGCGGTGGCAGCGACGGTCTCGGGCGGTGGCGGCGGCGGTCTCGAGCGGCTGGCGATGGCGACGGCGATGGCGATGACGAGAGCAGAAGCGGCGGCTGTGACGATCTCGCGTGGGCGGTGGCGCTAGGTTTTTTTTCGTTTTTTTATTTTTGGAAATTTTTTTCGCGATTTTTTCTCTTTGCATGCGGTCGGCTTAAGCGCCCACATGCGAAAATCCGATTTTCGCATGCGGGTGCCCTGGCCGCATGCAAAGATTTGCATTTTTGCAGACGATTTGGCGCATGCAGTTGGCGCAACTGCATGTGAAAATCGCTCCGGCCCGTTTGCGAAAACGGTTTCTGTAGTAGTTATTGAGCAATCAAATTTCATGTAAAACCCTAGGTATTATAGTTTTTGTTGCAAAAAATCATAGAAATTTTAGCATGTGATAGATAACCACATGCAGGTATAGTTTCACAAAATCATGCTATTAATCATTTGTTCTTTGATTCATGATACTTCTGAAATCAAAAATCAAATCTCAAATTTATGGTTTATTCGATCCATCACATAAGTTTTAGCCTCTAAGGTATGCTTTTTTTATTTTTCTACAATAACAAATTAAATTTGATTAACATTTTTGTTTTTCAAACTATAAAATCATGATACTCGGGATTTATGCGTCACTTGTGGCTTTGCTAACTTGTACCATAATACGCGCGTAGGTTTATGAAATACGTACCCTTTGATGGATGGTTGACCTAGGGTTTTTGTTAGATGACAGATTGACAGTCCTTGTTTTTAAATACTATACATAATTGTTTGTAGCATTTAGATAGTTTATCTAAGTACATACAGACCGCAAAAAGGCTATTAGACGAGAGCGAGACTAATCCGCTAGCCATGACACAGACAGTGTCAGCTGTTTTTGAAACTTACTAAAGTTGAGCTATAGTGCGTTGGGTAAAAAAAAAAAAGCATTTGTGCCTCCAGCTTTATTCTATACGTATACGACGACTGTGTGTGTATTATTATTAAAGTTGACCTACTACGGGGGGTGTTTAGATTCAGTGGTGTAAAGTTTTAACGTGTCACATCGGATATTATATATGGTGTCGCTGAGGTGTTCGTGTACTAAAACAAAAACTAATTATAGATTCCGTCAGTAAACCGCAAGACAAATTTATTAAACCTAATTAATCCGTCATTAGCAAATGTTTACTGTACGTAGCACCATATTATCAAATCATGGAGCAATTAGGCTTAAAAGATTCGTCTCGCAAAATAATTATTTTTAGGCTATATTTAATACTTTATACATGTGTTCAAACATTTCATGTGACAGGGTGAAAAAATTTTGGTTGGAATCTAAACAGGGCCTACATACCTAAACAAAAACTTGAGCCAACAGTTTTTTTTCAAGAATAATCATTTTTACCTCTATATATATTGTGACTTTCATGATCCAAGCTAGCCTACCCAGTATCCACCATGGATCCTACACAGAAGTTCCTTCTCTTCCTCCTCGTTGGAGTAGCCGCCACCTTGTCCCTTGCAACCAATTCACCGGTGCCGCAGTGGCCAGCCAGCTGCACGCCACGGGAGAGGGAGGCCTTGCTGGCCTTCAAGCGAGGCATCACCGGTGATCCCGCAGGTCGTCTCACCTCGTGGAAGCGAGGTAGCCATGACTGCTGCCAGTGGAGGGGCGTCCGGTGCAGCAACCTCACCGGCCATGTCCTTGAGCTCCACCTTCGGAATAACTTCCCGCGATACGACGAAGCAACAGCTTTGGTGGGGCACATAAGTACTTCTCTGATCTCTCTCGAGCACCTAGAGCACCTTGACCTCAGCAATAACAATCTCGTGGGTCCAGCCGGCCGATTCCCGCGGTTCGTCAGCTCTCTCAGGAACCTGATATATATTAACTTCTCTGGTATGCCATTAACAGGTATGGTGCCGCCTCAACTCGGTAATATTACAAAGCTGCAATATCTCGACCTTTCCCATGGAATAGGTATGTACTCAACAGATATACAGTGGCTCACCAATCTACCAGCCCTAAGGTACCTAGGCTTATCAAATGTAAACCTCAGCAGAGTATCTGACTGGCCTCGTGTGGTGAACATGAATTCATATCTAATAGTACTCGATCTTTCTGGTTGCTCTCTTACAAGTGCAAGCCAATCATTCTCACAGTTAAACCTCACAAGACTCGAGAAGCTCGACCTCTCCTACAATAATTTTAACCAACCTTTGGCATCTTGTTGGTTTTGGAATTTGACAAGTCTCACGTACCTTGATCTTATAATGAACATTTTGCCCGGTCAGTTTCCAGATTCACTAGGAGACATGAAGGCCCTCCAGGTCTTCAGATTCTCGAGTAATGGTCACAGTATCATAATGCCAAACTTGCTACAAAACCTATGCAATTTAGAAATCTTAGACCTTGGAGGCCTAAGTTCCTGCAACATAACAGAGCTTCTCGATAGTTTGATGCATTGCTTAACCAAAAGAATACGGAAACTATATTTGTGGGACAACAATATCACTGGAACTCTGCCAACTGGGGTGGGCAAATTTACTAGTTTGGACACTCTTGATCTCTCTCATAACCAACTGACTGGATCTGTTCCATATGAGATTAGCATGCTGACTAGTTTGGCTAAGATCGACCTAAGCCTCAATAACCTGACAGGTGAAATCACAGAGGAACACTTAGCTGGCTTAAAGAGTTTAAAAAGCTTAAACTTGTATTATAATCCCTACTTGAAGATTGTGCTTGGTGATGAATGGTTACCGCCCTTTAGACTAGAGGTGGCGAGATTTGGATCTTGTCAGCTAGGTCCAATGTTTCCTTCGTGGCTTCAATGGATGGTGAATATTAAAGAACTTGATATTTGGAGCACAGGTATAACCGATCAACTTCCACATTGGTTTTGGACAACATTTTCTAAGGCAACAGACTTAGTCATATCCTCCAACAATATCAGTGGTAGCTTGCCAGCAAATATGGAAACCATGTCACTAGAAAGACTCTATTTAGGTTCAAATCAAATAACCGGTGTAATACCAATCCTGCCACCTAACCTCACCTGGTTGGAGATCCAAAATAACATGCTATCAGGGTCTGTGGCATCAAAAACCTTTGGATCAGCTCCACAACTAGGTTTTATGGATCTATCCTCCAACAACATCAAAGGTCATATTCCAGGTTCTATCTGCGAGTTGCAGCACTTGCAATACTTGAATTTAGCCAACAATCATTTGGAGGGAGAATTTCCTCAATGCATTGGGATGACAGAACTACAGCATTTTATCCTAAATAACAATAGCTTATCCGGCAAGGTCCCGTCTTTTCTGAAAGGTTGCAAGCAGCTAAAGTACCTGGATCTATCACAGAATAAGTTCCATGGAAGATTGCCAAGTTGAATTGGAAACTTCTCAGAAGTACAAATTCTAATCCTAAACAACAATTCGTTCTCTGGGCATATCCCAACCAGCATCACCAATCTTGCAAAACTTGCTCGGTTGAATCTGGCAAACAATAATATATCAGGCGTCTTGCCTTGACAGTTCACATTTTCAGAGGCAAGGCGACAAAGAGAAAGCGTCATGTTATATATACCCTTGATACCCCCATGGAAGATTAATACTACAGTTTGTATGTCGGCATTGTCGTTGAACTACTTGTATGCTATGTTAACTGCAGAGAAAAGTTAGATTTCCATCTACTACCTACAGTCTTGGGCTTGTGCTAGCATTTGCCGTTGTCCTTTATATTGTTCCCATCCATATGTTGTTTCCTCTGTAAACTACTAATAAGTGTTGCTTAATTATTGTAATGAATGTAGACCTTTTCTCACTTCTCATTGAAACTAAATTAAGACTATGGATGGTAATGGGCTGATGGCTAGAGAATAGATCAGCATAGCAAATTACTCGGATCTCAATACAAGCATGAACAAATGAGACCATTAATACACACGGTTCAGCTCCTGAAGCTTCCTGAGAGCAAGTTTAATATAGCCAATTACTAGCTCCAATTCATATATAGCCAATCTAATAGCTCATTCATACAATAGTTACATACTACACTATCAATACCTGGTCCCACCTATCATACACACACTGTGTCTTGGAGTCCGTGCTACAACTGGCTACAAATCTGTAGCCCGCTGCCCTTCTCTCTCCTCATTTATCTACTTAAAATATGTTTGCAGCTGGCTTATAGCCTGCTATTGTACCTGCTCTTAGACTGCTTACACTTAAAAAGCAGAGCAGTAGACAATTTAAAGCATTAGCTGCGATGATAGCCTATTAATATTGCAGTTCATTGGAGCACTAATCTTACATCAGAAAGCATAATAATAGGGAGTCCACACTAGACATAGGCACATAGGCATCATTGTTTGAAGCAAAAGAGTTGGCACTAGCACTACAATCAAATGCTGCAATTCAGCTATAAACACAAAATGCACTAGAAACTTCACGGACATGGAACTTTAAACACACATGCCAGTAAACCTGTCCGTCGCAAAAGGTAATGACCACCGAGAACACTGGGCACCAGCACGGTCATGCCCATAAGATCAGGCTGTTCATGATTTGTTGGAACGGGACCTCAGTCTGCTCGCAACACAGTCAGGGCTTCGTTCGATCCACTTCCTCTTCTTTGGACCCGTCGGCTTAGATGGAGTGGCACACCCAATGTCCAGATTTACTTGACAATCCTGAGAGTCAGAAGTCACGACAGATTCGCTCCTGCTATCATCATTGTCGCTGTCATCAGGGGGATTATTCACTTGGTGGTCAGCTTCTACCTTCTGGATAGCTTTGCCGCTCATTTCTGCATCCTCTTGATCCTCCTTAGCAACTGGAGCCTGGTCAGATTCGGATGAGGCTTCTGACTTGGTAGCTGCCACCTTGTTTGAATCAGCTGAGCCTGCTGGGGATGCACGCTGTGTTGCGATGAGATAGTGAGCCACAGACTTGTACCCAAGGCTGACAACCTGCATGAAGGGAAAATGCTTGCTTGCTCAGAACTGTTGGATAGATTACTACATTGTTTGTGAAATAGAGTAGTAAGCACCATCTTACATATCATCCATTATTTAGTTTCTTGTCCTACCTTGAAAGTAGGACAAGTACCACAAACAAACAAAAGTGAACACATGAAATTGGCATTTTGTGCTTCCAAATGTAAATAGATCATATCAGTACCTTCCTATACGCAGCACCAGTTGGAAACCATCCTTTCTTAGTTCTGCAGATACTGCAATTGCAAATGCCACGACAAACTGGACATATCCAATCAGGATTCTTCTTAGCTTCGAGCACATTCTCACCATACCTGCATTAATTATAAAGTCAGTCCAAAATGGAGAGCTCAATCGGTTTAGGTACTAGTAGTTTATGTACAGTCTATTTGTAATCTTCCAGTAACTAAAAGTGTGTGGGAATTTACTACTTTCCAATATCTATTGCTGATCATTTCAACTTGATATTTTAATGCAAGCAAAAACTAACGGGTAGGCAGTTAAAAAAAACACTAACAGGTAGGTGATTACCAATTCATAAAACCCTCCATGCTTGCAATAAATTCAGAAGTCAAATTTTAAAACTTGAATACTAGGAAACCCTGTTTTGATTCACAAATTAGGACACGGATATTAAGAATTCTGTTTTGATTTGCAAAAACTTGAAGTTAGAAAACATATCCAGATGCAAAAACTGAGTAGTTTTGTTCCTGTAACTTGAACCCTGGCTCAAACCTTCAAGTTAAAGGATACAGAGATGCAAACATAATGTAATAGACAAAGATGGCAGAGAAGGATGTATGGAACAATCGATTAAAAAAATAATAGCACTAAGAAAAGATGCATGTTCGCTACAGCTATCATATGCAATAGTGTGTCCACTTTTTTCAGGAAAATCATTGGTCGATTGAGAAAGTATGAGAAAAGAAAAGGGCCCCACCTCATGTACAAACAATCCCCACAGAACTGCCCCTGGACAATCTGGCATTTACAGCAGCTGGTATGATGGCCAAGAGTTTTCTGCCTGTATCATGGAAACATCAAACTATTATGTCACAGTTTCACAACATGAACAGCATTTAACAGATTCTTCAGTAGAAGTAATTTAAATTGTAAATTGGCGGCTACACTAACTTGGTTTATTTTTCTCATTTTGTCATTACTAAGAATGTACACTGTTCCATACAGATCCTATTAGTTTAATATTATAGAAGGGGAACCATTGTATATTTGTGCACATTGTCTTTCTTAACCTTACAGTAACAGTCAATACTATTACATCTAAGCAAAGGAACCTGTAGCAAAAGTACAGCTATACAACATTGCCATATGATTCTTCCAGGGAAACTTACCGGCACTGATGACAGGTTTGGCCCCTCACTTGATCATAGATGCGCTTACCATCTTTCCCATAACCATCCACAAAGAGAGTCCAGGGTTCCACACAAGGGCCTAAAAGTTTCTCATCCTCTTCCGTGTAAACTTCTTCCTTTGATCCAGCCTCGATTAGAACAGAGTTTCCACCTTCATTGTCGTCCTTGTCCTTTTTAGTCCGAATTTCACAGTAGCTAACAGGCTCTACGTTCTTCAGCCTACATTAAAAATGGATACAGAACAAGACGATTCTTGTTAAGCCATTCCTATACAAACCATAGTAAAGGCCAAGATTGAAGGAATGCATATGAACCAACAGAAACTTAAATCAATATATAGCTTCTTGTTAACACAAGAAAGAAATTAACACACTGCAGTTTTAATTTGTGGCAAATAAACTAGGTGCCAGTAAAACATGAGAAAGCCATACACTTTCATGAACGTAAAAATTGTAACTGCTGGTTTTAGTAGAATCCTTAAGAGGAAAAGCATCAGTTGCAACTATCAACCATATGTAGCATTCGATGATTGAATATTGTGTTAATCACAGGATTCAGTAATGGGATTATGTTTAGAGAGTTGCCTTTTTTTTTCCAACTACAACGATTCATATTCAGGTACCAAGAGAGGTGCGTGCAAGATAAGAACAGCATGGTAAGCAAAGATTTGAGCATTTAGTACTGACATGAGCCGTAATGAAGTTTTAACACATGTAAGCAAGTAGCAGAAGGGGATAGAAAATAATTCTAACAAAATCGCATGATTGATGAACTGATGAACAAGAACTGTAAATGAGCCTAATCACAGCATACCGTACAATAATTTCCCAAACTATCATAATCGAAATGTAACGGATTATTGAACCAAAGATACGCATATCCAAAAGAATTGAACTGCATGAAAGAACATTTCCTTTTTTTCCCGCTACATCAATCAACCGCAGTCCGCTCAAGCACCGATTATTACAACAAATAAAAAAAGAAAAAGAAAGAATAGAACTGCATAAAAGATAAGTAACAGATTTCCCCGCGACTAAGCATAGAAATTTCTCGATCCATCGCCACCAATCAACCACTCAAGCACCAACCATTTCTGCATAAACCCCCCCAAATGGAAACTTCCCCCCAATAGAGTTAAATCGCCCAACCCCCAAACCTGAGAGACCGACGAGCAGGCGATGGCGAGGCGGGCTTGATCATCCTCCCCACGCCGACGGACCCCGGCGTCACGGCCGCCTTCCTCCGCCCGCGGCCTCTCCCGCTCCCGCTCCCGGCGAGGCCGCCCGCGGACTGGTTGAAGCGGGTGGCGAGGTCGAGTATCCCCAGCTTCTGCATCCGCTCCATGTTCTCCCGGATCCTCTCCGCCCTCTCCCTCTCGTACCCCTCCGCCGCATCCGCCGCCACCACCGGCGACGACAACACGGGGCTCCTCGCCGCCTCCTCCGCAGCCTTCGGCGGCCGCCCCCTCCGACCAGGCGCATTCGCCGCGGCCCCCCGGGTGCTCACCATGGCTTGCTAGCTAGCTAATACAACTTGTCTTGGTTGGTGGGTCGAAGCCTTCTCGCTCGCCGGCGGCGAAGTCGTCGGCGGCGGTGAGCCGAGGGTTTTAGCGGCGGAGGAGGAGGAGAAAAGCCGCGATTGCAACGGTCAGATTTTCTCGCTGCCTCTCCACGCGGATTTTATAGGCGGGGGCTCACCGGGGCGGTGACCCGACCCCGCTCGCCCTCTTTTGCACGCGTTCGGTTACCCAGCCCACTCGGCTACGCTCACTGACGTATGGGCCCTGGATTGGGTGGGTCCCACCAGTAGGTGAGGTGATGTGGGTGGGTACATTTGTGCGTGCGCGCACGCTGTGTCGCCCGTGCGTAGTGGGGTGAGTGGAGAGGGGGGAGTAGGGTGGGGTTCACGTGCGGGGGTGGGTTGTGTGGCGCTCGCTGACAGGTGGGGTCAGGTTAGCGGCGCGTTAACTGTGGGGCCCATCTGTCAGTGGAGGTGGGGAACCTACCTTCGTGTGTTCGGGGTGGCGGGAATGGAAAGGTGTGCGCGCGCGGGTGGCCGAAGAGGCAACCTACCTGTACTAAAGTAGTAGACCTACAGTGGACTTGTAAAGTACAGGCGATGGTGTGAATTTTGGGAAATTGTTTACCAGTTGCCAATTGTATCTCGGTTTTGTACCGTTGGAATCGATAAACTTTGGAAACTACTAGGATATTTGGTTTTTGAAATCGCATTGATGCATTTCTGTGTGTGTTGACAGCTAGGACAACCTTTGGTTTAAGATGATTTCTTGCCGTTGATTTCAAAAATTGCCATTACAAGGTCATTAGGTGGTTGCTTAATTTTGATGCCTAATTGTCAATATTTGGTAAAATTGAAATGTGTAAGTTGTATTTGGTTTGTTTCCTTTCTCAACTTTTTTTCTTGTAAGAGGAAGATTTTAGAATTGCAGGTAATGGAGGCTAGTTTAGGCAACTTATAATTTATTTTGGCAACGAACATATCAACACTATAGCTCATTTGCAACTCCGTGTATGCATTATTTTTTTTATCTAATCCCAACAAATCCCTTTTTTCTATTTTTTAATCTAATCTCAACTAATCCTTACTCATGAGTAGGAATTGCAACACCACTAATCTCCGATGAGACTACAACTCCGACATCGAGAATGCAAGAACCGAGCAACAAAGCTACTCAAAAGCCTGCCCTAACCCTTTTTTTTCGGATCAACTTCCATATTTCCCATAGCCTAATTTTTCATTGATAACGCAACACAAATAAGGTTAAGACAACAAGTTATTTTTAAGGGAGAGAGGCATACCATAGAGCATGTGGTAAAAGATTAGATGGTGATGAGACAACGACTTCTTGGCAAGGATGAGAGGCGTCATCTTCGTCATGACGAGCAACAACTTCTCGATGATGGTGAGTGCCAATATCTTGGTGAAGATGAGCGGCAACTTGTGGTGATGGATGCCGACATAGACGAAGGGGACCTTATAGCTATAGGTAGATTTGATTAGGAGAAACATGAGAGAGGGGGCGGCGGGTGGAAAGGAGAGGGAGAATAGAAGAGGGCATTGTTGACGGAATATATAGATGTCCATTTTCTGTCGGGCCTACTTGGGCTTCCAAACGATAAACCATAAGATCCAAGCCCTGATAGGTGTATTGGCCATCGACCGTTTACGCTTTGTTGGAATGACTAGCCCATAAAAATTGATAAAGCCCAAATTATGTACACAACATGGGTGTTATGTGCTAAAACGAGTATTAGCTAAGTAGTGGTTGTATGACTTCACCTATTCAGATTCAGATCCATATTGACCACAAATATTACATACACGTGATATGCTTTCAACGTAATTTTATTGAGGTTAGCAATTTTTCTTTTGGAATGCTAGGGAACATCACCGGCCTCTACCTGCATCCCCGCATGGTATGTTCCCTCGTGTGAGGGATTCGCTACCATGATCTATGCATCCTAGTTTAACACACACTTCTTATGCTTATCATCGTCGCCTTTGTAGCTGGTGGCAAAGTTGCCATGCAGCCAACCGTAGAAGGTATATTTTTCCATGTACTCGTAGATGAGCACGTTGTCGTGTCATCGCTGTCGTTTTGGCTGCTCCAAAGATGAGGATCTTAACATGGTGGCAGTGATAGACGCGGGCGAGGAGCATGCCGATGTCCATGTGCATGATCCGCTAGTTGGACATATCTCACCCATCTCGCCCGTGGATAGTTCATCGACTGCTCTGCCAGAGCCGATGACAAACTGGTCGCTTGGATTTTCCGTTGTCTTCGATCACCTCTGCCTAGAACTTTCGTCGTGTCGACCCCTTCACCACAAACTATCGGGCATTCGTATTGTTGCTTGCCCATGCGAAATGAGAATGTCGTGCAGTTCACCTTCCTAGACTGCTGCTTGCTACCCCCACACTATCATGAACACCAATGCAACCATCATTGAGCACCCCCATAGCATAGTTGGGTGGCTTCGACCTGGGCTCCAATGAGGAAGCCGTGTTCGAGGTGTCAATGGGGGTGGTCAGGGACTCATGTGGCCACGGTAGGGCAACTCCTTCAACACTCGTGGGCATAGCTGTAGTGCAATGGGCGCGACGGTGAGGTACCACAATAGAGCATGTGTTTTTGAATATAGACGTGGTACTCACATGTATTAGAGCATGTACCCACCTAGCACCTATCACCCACAGGCATGAGACCTGGTATCATAATATAATGCTCGAAACAGGTTCCTACCTACTACTTTTGTTTCAGGTTATAAGACTTTCTAGCATTGCCCATATTCATATAGATATCAATGAATTTAGGCACACATATATGTCTAAATTCATTAATATATATATGAATGTGGATAATGCTAGAAAGTCTAATAATATGAAACGGAGGAAGTAACAAGTTAACAACAACCATCGCTTGTTTTTTTCTTTGGCATGTTAATGGGGGCACACTATATTCACCTGTGCGCGCGTACTTGTACCGATGTTCACTAGATTTGGCAGCATTTTCTTTGCTGATAATTCTTTTTCCGGATTCCACCCCCATTTACCTTGTTTTCTTTTTACTGCCAATATTTTTGGGAAAATCCATCTGTTTCCAGTTTTGTGACCGAATTATGATGCAAAATTTCCACAGGGTTAGTTATGCGAATTATGCACAAACACATTTAAAATCAGTATCCAATTACCGTTATTACACTTATGGGTTATCTGAATATCTGATTCCAATTACCAAAGCTTTTAGAAACGGCCCATTTACTAACCCGTCCAGTGAAAGCCCAATCACAGTCATGGGCTGCGCCATTAGCCCATTATTCATGTGAATACTTCTATTCACAGGGACCACTACGTAAAAGTCACACCTAGGTTTTCACCTCGCCGTCCCACTCCCACCCACGCCGCCGCCACCGCCGCCGCCGCCGCCGCTTCACTCGCCGGAGCGCCATCTCTAGCCGCCGCCGCCGTCCTCCCCCTGAGAAAGCGTCGATTCCGTCCGGGGGTGGGCAGCGGTGGGACTCGTATCCGGACGGCCGCAGATTCGTTGAGCGACCCGCGCTGCTGGTTAGTCCAAAACCTTTTTACCTGAGCCCCTAGGTTTGATGGTTCTTGATCTGGAGAAGTTTAGGGGAGAAATATGGCTGCGATCAAGGATTGCAGCCTCCGCATTTGCTCTCGCAAGAAGGTGGGGAGTAGTAGGGCGGATTTTAGGGGCGATTTTGCAACACGTGTGAGATTGATTTTTTTCCCCTGTTACCGACGGAACTGTGACTGTTTCATTTGAAGTTATTGCATTATCTCGAGTGAAAATTCTTGTTCCAGTGCAGGAATTTAGATGAACTGCACAAGCTGGCCACGTTAGCCATGTGATGGTGATATTGGTTTGATCTTTGTGGACTTGCTTAGTCCAATCAGGATCTGACTGTGTTCATAAATGTAGTGTTGGTGAATTGTATTCTCCATTATGTCTGGAGGCGAATTACTTAGTCTGTACATGCAACTGGCAGGAATTGATTCGTTAATAGTTACCAAAAACCTGGATAGATTGGATGGGCATTGGTTACCAGAGCTCATAATGACCAAATTGGCTTCCTCAGATAACTTTGTACGAACACTGCCCGTACCTGTTCCTGATGGCATTTCATTATCAATAAATTCCATCCTTCTTGTATGTTGACCAAAAAGATGTAAGGCCGCTATCTTGATTTGTGTAGTCATGGTTTTTTCAGTTGGGCGGTCATCCCGACCGATTAAATTGTTCCAAATTAGTAGCTGGTTGTTTCTTTGATTTGTAAGCCATGTTGGTTCTTTCTGAATTAATAGTTGGTTTTCCCGCAAAAAAAAAGAATTAATAGTTGGTTATTTCTTTGATTTGTAATCCAGGTTTGTTCTTTATTTAGAAAGCGTTAAACCTCTATTAGGAGAGTGTAGTATATGCAAGGCATATAAAATTCTTTACGTTTCTATTGCCGTTTCTGGAAATGTTACGGTAGCTCTATTCCGCATATGCTTCCTAACCATTGGTCATACTATTGTGTGCTACAGTATTTTGTTTGCCACATGTTGGGTGTTGCCCTTGTATTTATATGACATCCATATTGCCCTTGCTTTGATTGAATTGACAGATGGTAGCTACTACCCTGCTTTCCCTCGAGGAACTAATCCACCGAGAGTCGTGTGTTCCCGTGATTCCGTAATATTTTAGAATATTGTGGAATTAGAGAAAATAATGTTAATTGTTATTAAATCATAATAACTGGCAGTTAGTGTAAAAGTTTGTACTGTTTATGCCATATCATTACTCTTGCATGTTTTTTTATATGTTGACGAATATGCTAAAAATATGCAGTTTTTCATTCTGCAGGTTTTAGTCTTGTTGGCATCCTTCTGTTAAGGAAAATGGCAAGCAAAGCAGGTGGTGACGGCAAAGAAGCCATCAATGAGCAAATAATTGCAAACACTTATGGGAACATGCGGTCTGAAATGACTCAACTTTACACCAAGATTACAGAATTAGAGATGGAAGTCAGTGAACACTCTCTTGTGATTGGCGCAATCGAGCCACTGGATCACTCAAGGCGCTGCTACAGAATGGTTGGTGGCGTCCTGGTTGAAAGGACCATCAGGGAAGTCTTGCCTGCGGTGCATCGCAACAAGGAGGGCCTTGAAGAGGTAATCGCTCGCATGCATGAAGCACTGGAGAAGAAAAAGAAGGAGATCACCGAGTTTGAGCTGAAGTACAAGATCAGGATCCGGAAGGCGGACAGCAACGCTGATGAGGAAGAAGGCAGCAAGAAGGAAGGGTCTGCTCAGGGTGTTCTTGTTGGTCCTGCTGGCCAGTGAAGCAAAATGTCAAGCTTGCATACTGGTTTTTCCTAGAGATTATGAAAGTTAGGTTGCTCTTTGCTAGATGTCAACTGATTTCGGTCTCTCTTTCTATCTGTGTGTGAAGTATACTACTATTCTTCTGTGGAACCGTGGAATCCGTTCCATGTACAATTGAATGCTATCTGGCTATGCTAGTTGATAACTTCGGTCATAACTGCAGGTTTTGTGCAGGTATTCTAGGTGAGAACTTTGGTAAGATTTTGTGCAGGTTGCAACATGATTTGTTCATCTTTGGATGCCCATCTGTTCTGGTGTTTGCCATATGCTCCACACTTTTCTGCTTCACCATGGCATGTTTTTGAAATTTAACTTAATCCAATTGCATTTTGTAAGCAATTCTTTTGTACATCCTCCATGCAAAGCTATCCATATAGGAGGTTGCAAATCCTCTAGCACGAAACTCATGGGAGAACGGAAGTTCACAAGAAAACAGTACAAGGCCAGGCTGCTATATGTTGACCAATTACTGATAATACGTCCAATTATACGTCAAATGGCGTATTAGCGACAAAAATATAATTTATGGTTAAAATTTTACATGTGTTTTTTCATGACTTGAACGCCATGTTAAAAAAGAAACTATTACAAAGAAAAAAAAATCAAAAACCAACTCTAAAATTAAGTTTTAAGATTCAAATTTTGGTATCTGTATATAAGTTGTAGGGCAAAAAGATGTAGCAGCAAAATCCCTTTGAAATTGAAATTCATGCTTCCCAAACATGGGCCTAAATTCGTTCACAATCTGATCCAATCGGCCTCTGTCTCGTCGGCCTCCCCTCCCCTCCCCTCTCCCCCCAAAACCCCACCTCGCCGGAAACCCTAGAGAAACCCACGAGATGGCCTCCGGCGAGGGCAAGCCGAACCCCGGCGGCGGCGGCGGCGTGGTGGCCAAGGGGAGGAAGCGGAAGTACCTCCCCCACGGGAAGCCGGTGAGGAAGGGGGCGTACCCGCTGCGCCCCGGGGTGCAGGGCTTCTTCCTCACCTGCGACGGCGGCCGCGAGCGCCAGGCCACCCGCGAGGCCCTCTCCCTGCTCGACTCCGTAAGCTGCTGATACGCTGGTTCACTTCCCTTCCTCCGCCATCTGCGGCTATGGTGCTCTACACTGCTGGTCCGCGCGGGTTCGCCGGCTCAGTGTTTGCTCGTGGTGGTAGCTAGAACTCATCACTTCGGCGTTTCGCTAGTCCTATTGTTTCAAAAATCTCGTGCTGGAGCTTGTGGTGACTTGGATGTTTTGAAAATTCAATTAGCAGGGACAGGATTTGGAGATGTTAAATGTTAGCGTTGTGTTGTGTTCATTGGGTTCCTCTGTTGTGATGATGTAGTTCATATGCTTGTTTAATTTACCGCTTAATGCTGCACCCTTTGAACACATTAAGTAATGACTGAAATGAGAAATTGATAGTCGCCGCGCTGGATGTTGGCTTGTTTGCTAGTCATATGTTTGGGATTTTCTGGCTGTAGAGCTTGCATGGGCTTATGCTCTTCTTTTTTTTTTTTCGAGAAAATATACCTCATGTGTGATACTCAAATTGTTGGATCTGCAGTTCTATGAAGATCTGGTGGATGGGAAAGGATCAGATGGGAAGCCCAAAAGCATCCCTGATAAACCATTGAACAAAAAAATTACGTTTGCGGATTCCGATTCTTCGGATGATGAGGAAGAAGATCATTCAGGGGAGGTGACTGATGACACAAACAATGCAGACAAAGGTGAAACCACACCTTCTGAGCAGCAGAAAGAGGTGTCTGACACCCCTGTAGTTCCCAGCAAGGACAATGAGGAACAAACAGATAATGCTGATGAATCAAAACTAAAGAAGCAGCGCGTACAAGATCCTCCGATATCTGAACAGACAGAACCAAAAGAGCCTACTGATAAGCCAACAGAGTCCACTGATAAACCAAAAGGGTCCAATGATAAACCCATTGATGATTTGATTGATGAGGATTTGAAGGAGCTTGGGGATAGGAAAAAGGTTTGTTTGAAGTTACTTGCTTTCTGCACACCCTTTTTCCCCTTATCACTGAAATGTTTGTTTTTGTTTTAAATATTGGCAAAGCTTAGAATGTTGTGATTAACTACTCTCTTGATCAATAATTGAAATTCTTGCTCAGATACTAAATTTGGAAGTTCACTTGTAGTAGATAAAGGGTTTTCAACAACTAACATCTTCAAAAGTCAAACATGTATTTAGCTATTCATTCATTGATACTTGGTTTTATTTTGGTCATGTGATGACATTATTGTGAACCTATCTGGAGCTGTTTAAGTACATTAAAGGAATTTTTAGTAACAAATTTTTTTATTAGGAGTCCAATTTGATGAGTGACATGTATTACATTTCACTATGGTCAACAATTAGTGTGAATTTGGAGGTGATGCTGTATTGAGATTATTACCTAGCATGCCAATTGTTCCTCCCAAACAATCCCTTAATACATGAAAACGATATAAAATGATCAATTCCAAGATATCCTTTTTCCCACAATGGTTTATGTACTAACTTATATGATGAAAACGATTGTATGTCAAACAGAGGCTCTTCGCAACCCTTGATTCAGGCTGCAACGGTTGCATCTTCATTCAAATGCACAAAAGAGATGGAGACCCTGGTCCAGTTGAGATCGTACAGAATATGATGTCATCAGCTGCTTCAACTCGTAAACATATGTCCAGGTTCAGATTTGGTTATGTTGCAATCTTTGCATAGATATACTAGGCAGTTATTTTCTTGTTTTCAGACTTTCCTTTTTAATGCATGCTAGATTTATTCTGAGGTTTTTGCCCACTGAGGTGACATGTTATGCATCAGAAGAGGAAATAACAAAAGCAATTAGTCCACTTGTTGAAAAGTACTTTCCAAAGGAATCTTCTTCGGTATATAAGGTAACTTTCTGGCCTAATTTCTATGTTGATGTTTTCAATGTAATCTTTTAGGGACTTAGATTCTTAGGGAAACTAAGATCTATTATAAAACTGTAAGAGAAGATAGGCATGTTGCCAGGTCATTTTGTCTATGGTAGCTTTATTCATATTTCGTGTTGTCCAATTAGAAGACGTTTCTAAACTTCATTGGAGAGGAATTGTTGTTACTTCAATGTGAATTCAACCATCTTAAGTAAAACCAGTCATGTTGTTACTTCAATGTGAATTCAACTATCTTAGGTAAAACCAGTCATCATGTATAATTGTGTGTTAAGTGTTAACACCAGGTGTCCTTTCCATTTAATAAATGGAACAATTTAGCACATGGTAATAAGGCTATGTACTTATATATTTGTATGATCATGTCAGCTGTAATAAGTCAATCGAATAGCAGTATTACTTTTTGTTGATTGGATAATAATTTGTAAATGATGAGTCATTAGTTTATCACCATTTCCCAGTTATCCTTCATAGAAGGGATCCAACAATATTTTATGATATTTATTCCCCTTCTCCACCCAATATAAAGTATATCTGACATTCACCACACCTTGTGGCCATGTTGCAATAGCTGATAGTAGTAATAAGAAAATATAAATCAAATTACCTCTATTTTGTTTTGCTATACAAAATTACATTTCTTTACTTGGAGGTTTTTAATCTTTGCAGTTTGCTGTGTTATATGAAGCAAGGTCGAACACAGGTATTGATAGGATGAAAATTATCAACGCGGTAGCAAAATCTGTACCTCAACCTCACAAGGTTGATCTCAGCAGTCCAGACAGGACTATTATTGTCCAGATAGCTAAGGTAAATGATTTTATCCTGAATGCACTTATGACGTTATTGTCCGTAATGCATATGAACTGTTCTGTTAGAAAACCATGCTTATATCCTATGATTTTCACCGAAAATCCATTGAATCAGTTGCTTATTCAAATGAAAACTACATGGATGGCTAAAACTCTGTAACATATCAGGTTAATGCTGTAAGAACCAATTTTGTTAAGCTTTTGAATCAGTTGCTCTGTCACACTTCATGTAGTTGTAGTGAAAGCTTTTTTGGGTCCAAGGGTGCAAATGGGCAGGCCCGGGAACCCACTTATAGTACAAATACCGCTGGGTTACCCGCTTATTTGTACTATAAGTGGGTTCGTGGGCCTGTCCACTTGCACCCTTATTTGGGCCCCACAGATTTTGAACAAAAATACCTATCTTGATTGCATTTAACTAGTAATATGCCCGTGCTAACGCTACGTGACATCTCACAACAACATCACAATGATACTTTGACAGGAAAAAAATTCTGTACAAAAATCATGCTTGATTTCATTGTTATATTTTCTTTTGTATAACAGAACACCATATTAATATGCATTCAAGCAATTAACATAAAAGCCCGAGTACGGTCTGATATAGGTTAACATGTAATACTTTACGAACAGGAAATTAAACATACACAGTTTGAAATTCGAAACAGTAGTGATGTATATGTCTTGACTTTTTAGATTATACACAGAATTTGTGTAGTATTTTATACAATTATTGGTTAGATATTGCTTTGAAGAAAAACACGCATATTTTAATGATAAATAAATTGAATAGACCATGCAATTCTTATTCAATAGAACATATGCATCATGGGTTAATCCCATCTCTGTAGAGCAGGTCATCAAGGCATACAAATACAAAAATATGAATTAATATTCATTGACAAACGTAACTAAAATCTGATTACTGTGTCTGCTTGGTGCCTATGCTTTCTTGCGCTGCGATATCATCATGTCCCTCTTCTCTACCTTGAGGATAACAAAATCCATTTGTTCCTCCTTGAAAAATAATAAACAAGGTCATGATAAAAAAGAACATGATCACAACTGCCAGTAAACAGATGAACAAAAATAAAAAAGATCATGCAAAACTTACATCTCCAACTGTATAGCTGTATCACCTATGAAGCACTTAATGTCTTTATTAACAGCACGAATAAGATGGATTCCAGTGTAACATTGGATATGCTGTACAATTCTTCTATGAATCAATGATAGTTGCAACCTGGCTGTGTGTGTTAGTATCAGATCTATGCAATTAGTCTACAAGAATTACATTATTAGGTGGCAGGACAAGAAGCACTGTTATATGTCGATTGTCAAGGACATTCACATTCATTTGAAGAGTTTCCATTAACCTAAAACAGGAAATGAAACCATTGTATCGTATACCCAGCCATACCTTTTACCTCTTCCAAGCCCCACAGCGTTGATGGAGCTGTTCGATTAACCAGCCAGCACAAGTACATCTTATTGATATGTTTTTCTTCGACTCCAAATTTTATCTTCCTTGTTTTCCGTTAGCACACAATTCAAACTACTAAACGGTGAGTTTTTTGTAAAAAAATATAGAAGATATTTGAAAAATCAAATAAATCCATTTTCAAGTTTATAATGGTTAATACTTAATTAATTATGTGCTAATGAGCTTTCTTGCTTTACGCGCGTGAAAAATCTTTCTTCAAACTCAACAAAAGAACGCAACCTTATCTCAAGGGATCCAACTGAACCTATATGGTCTGATTCACTGTGCACCCAAATTAAGAAATATAAACCGAGTACGTGGTCAATATATATCCACGAAAACACTGAACATCTTGAACTAAACAGATACTTGAATAGAAAATGCAACGGCCAGCTTTGACTTGAATCTCTCCTCTGAATGGGATACTTGAATAGAGGCAATGACCAGCGGTTCATTATTTCCTGAAACATATAACAACTGGGTTAGAAATTGTTCCTCATACCCAATAACCTGAGGACCTCAAAGACATAACCTGCAACATTCTCTTCTATCAGATTGAAATGGAAGATCAATTAAAATGTCCCTGTTTGTACTATATATTAGTAGATAGCAAAGATCCTTTGACAACATCAGCAAATAGAACTACAAGAGAAGCATTTAGTGGAGCATAATCTTCTGCTTCAGTAGAAATGATTGAACTCATATCACTAAGCAATGAAAATGTCAAATGCCCCTTCTTTGCTAAATAAAGCAAGGACTAAGGAGCACTGCTGCGGTATAACAACAAGCATCATTATGCATCCTATCAAGTATAGAGAAAGTTAGTGACAATTTAGTTTTCAACATTGATGAGCTGTTTCATAATTATATCAAAAATAAATGAAAAATTATTAGTACAGATAATATGGATATATTATGACTTACTATAAGAAAATCTACCAGTAAAAATATTTTAAGATACTTGATCAACCTTTCAAAATATTTTCCTCCCTCAACGAGCACTTGAACTACTGAAAGCCGAGAGCTGTCCTAAGCATCCATGCCAATTTTAGAACTCTAAAGATTTGTACACATCCAACTAAAGAAATTGTGCAGTTGTATATAACTTTACTTTAGTGAGCTATCTGTTAGTTCTCTCAGACCACAACCTTTTCAAACCATGAAGGGCATTCAACAGGTGGTGTGGTCAAGGCAGCATACTATATCTAACACTCCAATACTCCATCCTCCACTATAACTGACCTCACTCGGTGATTAAACTTTCGTTTTCCAGCAAAATTTCAGAATTTCGGTGGCCACCAAAATTTCCAAAAATTCAGGATTTTGGTACTTTTTGTTCGAAATTATTTAAAAAATTGACAAATTTTGAATGAATTTGAATAAATTTTGACCAAATTAACAAAAAAAAATATCAGGCAATATATGTGCTTGCCAGTGGGGAGCCACTGGGTAGCTAAATTACCAAAATTGCAATCCCTGACCTCACCAACACCCATGTCCTCACACAGTACCATGTCAAATGCACAGATTTTCGGAGAGAATCAACAGGGAGTGTGTTTTGGTAGGTGTATAGCGTGGGGTGCTTGAGAAAGGAGCCAGAGGAGAGGACGCAAACAAGAAGCAAACCTGAAGGCGTGGATGAAGTTTTGAGTCAAGAGCATAATGTTTAATGTAATGAACATAATGTTTACTGCAATGGGATTTCAATTGTCTGAACATAATCTTTCTAGCTATCAGTCTCAGTCCGGAAGTGTGCAAGAACAGCAGCATATGCATAGAGAAAGTGGATAAATTCTGGTACCAAGACCAACATCCATTATATACCACTTCTGTTCATGGACCACAGCCACTCAGCAAGAACCAATTTATCTACCCCCAAAAATTAGCTTCAAAGGAACCAGTAGCTTGTGCAAGTTTGAAAATCAAGTGTGGCATTACTATCAGCATGGCATGATATGGATAGTGTAAAGACATGAAAATGGAACAGTTAAACAAGAGATGTTATTTGGTGTTATGCATGAGAATAGACCACTTATACCTACTGGAGAAGCTATAGGGAAAAAAATACTAACATATTTTAGACCCAAAGATAGTGCACGGTGTATCTTGAAACATGTGAAAGCCAATGAAACATCTTTCAATAGAACATAGAAAACTGGTGAATGATCCAAGTAAATGAAACATCTTTGCAATTTGCAGTATCTAGTGATTCAGACGATCGCACCCAAACTTTAATTTCAGAAGCATGTACATATCAAATATAAAGAATAGAAAACTGGTTAATGCTCCAAGTAAATGAAACATCTTTGTAATTTGCAGTATCAAGTGATTCGGACGATAGCACCCAAACTCATGTACATATCAGATGTAAAGAACCACAAGCATCTGCCATAGTTTAGTTTCCGCAGTATGCAATTGAAACTTAAAGAAGGAAACTACTTCGGAGTTTCTAAGATTGTGTCATCTTCAAAGCTACATTATGGCTATCAGCCACCATCGCATATCAAAACTCAACATAAGTAAAATAATTAGCTCCAAACAGATTTACCTATTCTCCTCAGAGTGAGGGAGCACCGAAAGGAACTTCGCTGGAACAGCAAGACCTGCCCACATGCATAAGGCCAACCCCAGGAGCAATTGCATCATCACCTGCATAATCAAAAGCATAAATTATGCAACGCAAAGACACCCCAAGGCCTAATTTATCGAATTTGGAGCGAAGTTGGTTGATGCCAAGTAGCCAGTAAAACAAGCAGCTAGATCAGAGAACAACCAGCATCAAATTTGGAACCGGGTCGCATGTAATTATGTAAACATACAGTGCAACTCATACACAATGAACCGCAATTTCAACCTATGACTGGCCAAGGCCAATTTGGCGGGAATAGATTGCTTAAAGCACATTCAGTGATAGTATCAAACAATTTTCTCCTGTCAAACAACCTAAATCACTCTTTTCTTTTTGTTTTTGTCATCTGTAAACTTTAGTTTACACAATTCATGGCCATCATCTACCCTACCCCAAATCTCACTTTCAAATCAAGCAACCCAAATACTACATGTTTTGATCACAGCTTTACGCAACAGAAAATCAACCATTCATACCCCGAAAAAAAAAGAAAGTATCACGAAGGGATAAGGGGAAACACTTACATCCATAGGCGGACTCAAGAACTCCTACGTGATCTTCAGCACGGCACGATCTGCAGCAAACGGGCAGAAACAAACAAACGGGCTGCGTGGTGGCAGGGGCGGCGTCGGGGATGGAGGTCTGGGTGTTTGGCGTGGCGGGGTGGATGGGGTGCGGCAAATTCGTCGAGAGCCGAAGGTCAGGGCAGCGTTGAGGGATGGAGGCGGGGTTGCGGGGGCGAGGTTGCGGCAGATTCGTCACGAGTCGAAGGTCGGAGCGGCGTCGTTGGATGGAGGCGGCGTGGAGGGACGACAGGGGATGGAGGCGGCGGCGGCTTCGCGATGAGGAGGGATTAGGGCTGGGGGAGGGGGCGCAGGTCGGGCCGTTGGGGTGGGGACTGGGGAGGGGTGCAGGTCAGGGTGGGGAGGGAGGTGGGGTGAATCCGGAGCGTTGGATCGGAGCGAGGTAATCTGAACCCTTGAGTGATGAATAAAAGAATGAGTGAAAGTATTTGTTGAACTATAGGGTAGATGAGTAATATACTCTTGTAGTATTTTCAATGCCCAGTACACAGGGAAAATATCATCCTTTAATTGATGTCCTTTTTCTTTCTTTACTGTTATCCTAACCACTTGCTTGAACAAGCTGAGGATGCTCTAGTTTGCAATTCATGCTCTGTGTTGTTAACTAATTTAGTAAAATATATGATGTGTTCTTTTGCATACTGCTCCTCGGTTAAGTTAACCAAATACAAAAACCTGCTACAAAGGGGAATGTGGTCAGTGGAGCAGTTTTTAGCTTGTCTGTTAAATGTGCCGTAATGATTAGTTGGCATTTATTGTTCAGAAGTGAATGAACATATACTGCTCCATGATCTCTATCTGGGCAGCAGCCACACTGCAAATTTATCCATGGGATATCAGATTGTGGCAGATATACATGATAAACTGATCACATAAGGCTATGAGCATGGTTATAAATTTGGAGCCATATTTTCAGTTGATTCCATTTGGCATTCTGATGGCACCCAATACATTGGATCATTGGTAATAAAATGGACTTAGAAAATATATGTTTATGATGTTTTTGCTTTTCCCCCCTTTTTGATTAATTGTACTCAACCAAGTTCATGAATATTGATTGGTATATTGTGAATGAGCACATGAACTGTTCATCATGATCCAAACTGGCGTTCTTTTATTGTTGTTATAAATGTCATGCCAACCTATTCAAGTTCATGACTTCAACTTCCTTTGTTTGTCTTTAATGTCATGTCAACCTTTCCATGGCTCTTGATGTATCAACCACAAAAGCTAGCTCCTAGTGAAACTAGGAGCAATACTCATGGTTCATGCCAGTAGCCTATCCCTTTTAGTTTGCTGTTCATGCCAGTAGCCTCTCCTTTTTAGTTTGCTATTCGACATGATACATATCTTCTAATCTTATGCCAACATTTTTTTTATTTGAAGTGTGAACTATAGCTCACATTAAGTTGTGTGAATTGTGCATCTGGTCACCTGCTGAAGCTGTGCTAAGCCAGTCGGTTCAGTTTCTGATGGACTTGTTTGATTTTTGGACAGACTATATGCATGATTGGGGTGGTCGAGAGGTACAAAGAGCTCGCAAAGTTCAACTTAAGGCAGCTGACCTCACCACCGGAGAAGTAGCCAATTGACCAGCTTGAATTAGATTCGGCAGCAGTTGGTTAGTTGTTGGTTGAGCCGTGAAAATCACTATTAAACCAAGATTTCATTGTATCCATCAAAGCCTGGAAATCGTTGGAAAGCAACATGGAATGTTTAACGCTTGACAGTGCAATTTTGGAATTGTTTAATTATTACTGCCGCAGTCGGTCCAATAAATTTCGTCAAGGTTCTCGCTATCTAAATACATACAGTGCATGTGGTACTATAGAATCTGTTTGGCTTGAAATCAGATTTTGGAAGTACAATGGATTTTATCTCAAAAGGTATAGTTTCTACAGATGGATTGAGGGCTGGTTTGGTTTGAGGCCTAAATTAGGCTTACCAATATTTGGCAATTTTAATAGTGTATAGTGTCTATTTGGTTTGAAGCCAAATTTTGGCATGCCTAAGAAAATTGGCCATTTCAATAGTGAACTTAGGCTATTTTGGCTTCAATCCAAACACAACTTTACCTTACCAAAATTAGTCATACCAAAACTTGCCAAAATTTGGCACTGACAAAATTTGGTAAGGCCTATTTAGGCCACAAACCAAACCAACCTTGAATGATTGGTAAGGCCTATTTAGGCCACAAACCAAACCAACCTTGAATGATTGGTAAGGCCTATTTAGGCCACAAACCAAACCAACCTTGAATGATTCTTTTCTTTTCTTCACACTGTTCCAAATAAGTCAAGAATTTGACGGTGGGCGAGTGGCGACTATTCTGCCGCCAAATTGGCCTTTATGGAGATAACAAATCGGTCAAGATCTGCCAGCTAAATCTGTTAATTCAGCAAAACAGTTAGCCTGTATGAAGTGCTAGAAAGAGTGAGACATTCAGGGATGTTACGCTCAACTGTGATGAAAGTTCCGCTGCCTGTTTTCATTGATGGCTGCTGTGCTTGTCCATATGCCCACTGACATTGCTAGGCTGCTCCTTTTTTCTTAATTCTTTCTGTGTTTGTATTTTAGTCTTGTAGATTTTTGTGGGAGATGTTATCATAGGGACATTTAGTTATGAGTAAGTTATCGATAAGATTTATAACTCTTAGCAAGGGGGTGAACTTTGTAAATTTAGGTGTACACATCAAGGAAAGAAAAAGGTTGTTTATCCCCGTTGCAGAGAAGATTGCTAGCTGTCGGTGTGTTACAACATAATCTTATTCCACTCTATGCTTTATTATGCTTTAGTTTTTTTTTCCTAGTAAAGTATGCTTATTTACAATTTTTCTTCTGATTTTTTTGTTGGTGGATGTGATTCACGCCCGTGTTTAGTTCCAAAATAATTCTTCAAACTTTTAACTTTTTCATCACATTAAAACTTTCCTACATAAATAAATTTTTAACTTTTCCGTCACATCGTTTCAATTTCAACCAAACTTTTAATTTTGGTGTCAACTAAACATCTCAATTTATTTTTGTTCTTGGTTAATATTGGTTCGGCGGGTTGTTTGTTTCGTTTCTGGTTTTCTCGAAGAGGCTGTGGTTACCCACTAACGCACTAATGTGACATGGAGCGGACAGACTCCTCCTCATCTAGTTTTATATTATGGAGTAAAACGTTTTGATATTTTTCTATATTAAACTTCATTAATTTTAACTAAGTTTATAGAAAAATTATAATACTTTAAAAAATATATAATGCCAAAATATATATTTAATTTTTATTTAACTAATTTGATGATATAGATATTGGTTTTTTTATAAACATGATAGTTTAACATAGAGAAAAAGTTATAACGCCTTTTATTTTATTGCGAAACGGAGGGATGACGGCTAACATAATTCGCTGACCCCCTCTTTATCCAATCATCTTACTTACAACAGTTTAGCAACCACCGAAAAGTAAAAATAAAAAAATAAAAACAAAAATATGTCGGTCCAGTCTTTCGAGGTTGCTCGTAGTGATAAGATGTACGTGTGTGTTCATAGAGATAAATGGGCCCGCATCGTGGGCATCTACATATTTCTTATAAAAAAAATAAAAAAAAGGCCCTGTTTACATTCTAACATTTTCTTTAAACTTCCAACTTTTCTGTCGCAACGTTTTAATCTCTTTTAAGCTTTCAATTTTTACGTGGAACTAAACACAGCCAAAACCACATCTATTGTTCCATGGCATTGCCGGCTAGCTTGCCGCCCAAATCCCCATTTCTTCTCAACAGCCCGGCCCGGACAGAACGAAATAAATGCCGCGGCGTGGCGCACCGGCCGGCCGGCCGGCACCACCGGCGGAGGCGAGAGTGAAAGCGACTTCGTCTGCTGCGGCGGTGTGGTGTGGCTCGAACCAGCCAAGCAGAAGATGATGGTCGATCAGCTGGTAGATGGTGGTTGGTCCCCCTCCTGAAGCTGCGGCCGGTTTTCTTGCTAGCTCTAGCCGGTGCATTTAATTTAGGAATCCTTTAATTTATAGCTCAATGTGTGCCTTCATTGTGATTGTGATGGGGTAATAGTATTTGGTTAGGGCTCTAGATTTGTTGGATACAGGTGTGTTTAGTTCACGCTAAAATTAAAAGTTTGATTAAAATTAAAACGATATGATGAAAAAGTTGAAAGTTTGTGTGTAGAAAAGTTTTGATGTGATGGAAAAAATTAGAAGTTTGAAGAAAAAATTGGGAACTAAACCAGGCCTACGTCTACCAGTGAGATTTTTAGCCTACAGTTCATTTGATTCCAAACATAGGATGTCATATAATTCTCCATTTATCTCTAAATGTAAATTGCTTCTGGTTGCCGCTATCGTATACTCTTTCCATCTATGGTCTGTTTAGATTCAGACCTTTTCTTCAAACTTCCAACTTTTCCGTCAAATCGAATTTTTCTACATACACAAACTTTCAACTTTTCCATCATATCGTTCCAATTTCTTCAAAATTCCAATTTTAGCGTGGAACTAAACACAACCTATATTTATTTTTCACCCATCCCACACATATCAATAGAAAAAAAATAATAAAATACCTCTAATTTATCAAATTCCAATATAATTATTTTTCACTTTATCTACTCGTAATATAAATATTTTCTACTTTCATAAATTATGATCCACTTATTACTAAACATAAACTTATTTTAAGAAAAATGAAAAGAGCTAAAACTACACTTATTATTATTATAAAATGGAGGGAATAGTATTAATAAAAGAGGTATCCTCTTACCATGTAGTTACATGGTCACTTTAGCAGTTTCCCTAAGTTCCATTACACTGGTCTAAAATAATATGTTTGGAATTAGAGAGTGTCATACAAATTTCCTGATATGTGATAATTAACGACAATTACAATCAAATTAGTGCGCGATGTTGTATGACCGGCCAACTTAGGCGGTTAGGCCAACGAAATTGCCTCTCGAATTTTTAATACATTGTCTATTTGTGCACTTTACCATTGCCCGTAACGCATTGTCGATGATTATTATCTCCGGTTTTACTTTAAATAGATAATACCGTTAACTCTTAAACAAACGTTTAAACATTCAGCTTAAAAAGAAAATACTAATTTTGTTTTAAAGTATATAAATTATATTTTATTATATTTAGTACGGAGGGAGGTAGTATTATCTATTTTATTGTGTTTTAATTTATTATTAAAGTTACTTCTAGCATGAAGTGCGTAAGTAATACGGATATATATTTTTAAAAGTGATATGTATTAAAAACGGAGTGAATACATCCTACCGAAGTTTCTACGAATTGTCAAGGTAAGTACATAAAGGTCAAGTGGAGCACCACAAATTCTGGGTACAGCTACCAGATAGAGTAGCTTTGATTGATGAATTTATGAGCTGTTCAATGCTATTTTTAACCTTACCAAATTTTGGTAAAGTTACTAAAAAAATGGCTACATTTAGTTTTCTGCTAAATTTTAGTACCTATATAAAAAATTCTGCCAATATTTTGATAACTATATAAGAAAACCTATATAAGGTTTTTTTTTAATAGTCCCTCAGTCAGGTTGAAAAACGAAAATATATTAGTCAGTTATCAGTTGCGATCAGTCAGGTTGAAAAACGAAAATATATATACTAGTCAAAATACTCGGTCGGAGAAATGAAATGCCACTAATAATAAAACTCCGGCAGGTGGGCCCCACATCCAGCATCCATTTACCAACCAAAGCTCCTCATTTGCGTCTTCTCTCTCTACTACTTCTCCTCCTCCTCCTTCCTCGCCGATCCTCGCCGCCGCCGCCGCGCATCGCCGGAGCAATCTCCATTGACAAGAGCGGTAAGTAGAGTATCTCTAGCTTCTGCTTGGGTTGGATTCTCCTCCCAATTCCCATATATTCGCTTATTATGTGGAAAAGGCTTTGGGAAGAAGAAGAAGAAGTAGTAGTAGTATCAAGTACAAGTAGGCAATCTTGGCATCTCAGTGAGATCGATTCCTTGGAGATAAATTCGGCAACTTTTATGGAGGTGGTGGAGAGCGTGTGCTTTCCCTCCTTTGCAGCCATGAGAGCATAAAGTCTCCAGCTTTCTTGCCTTCTTTGTTTTTTTTTTCCCTCCTATTGGCATTCATTCAAGGGTGATGGGAGCCTTTTTTGTGGGGAGAAAAAGGAATAATCGTTGGGGGATTGATTGCGTGGTTTCCTATCTTGGGGTTTTTTCTTTGCTCTTGGAGAGAAAAAGGTCTCATCTTATACCTTTTATATGGCTTTGGGTGAATGAAGGTATAGGTTGGTGAGGAGGGGAGCTAGAGCTTGATGGTGGCGGCCATGGAGAAGCGGAGGGAAATCCGGGAGCTTCGCGACCGGATGGACCGGACGCTGGCGCTGCCCGACCTCGCCGACGAGGAGTTGCTGAGATCTCTCGTGAAGAGGCAGATTCTTGCGTCGTCGCTGTCCGCCGGCAACGATGAAGGTTTGGGGGCTTGATTTGGTTTCTTTTCTTCTTCTCTGGATCGAGTAGGTTAGCTTGTTGATGTAATTAATGTTGTGATTTTTGTGTACTTTAGTTTTACCTTATCTGTGCTGCACGTGAGCTGTTATGGTTGCAGTTGAGAAAATATTCTCTCATGTGATGTCGTTTAGATTCTATTGTTTCATCGTCTATGTGTGAATATCCTACTGGTTCCTGAATGATTGCTACTATTTCAGTTGATTGTTTTGAAAGATCTATTTGAGTTGATCATAATCAGGCTGCTTGTGTGATCTCTCTGTTGTTGGTTTTTCTTATGATTTGGTTTTGTATCATTTTTAGGCAATATTGACCTGATTGCTGAAGCAAGGTCTAAAGAGATCTCGAATTTTCTTGAAATGCTAAATACTTCGGGGAATGAACGATCTTCGAAGATTCATGAGGCATCACATAAAGAATGGAAGGTATGCATTGAACCAAAGTAAAACATTTAAAGAATATGTTCTGCGTGTATGTGATTAGAGCACAAAGAAATGGATCTTTACTTTGCACCAAAAAATGTGATGTATTCATTGTTTTCTTGCTTACTTATTCATATGCCATGTTATGATCAATCTCCAGAGCGTAAGGATGCATTTATGCTTGCAATTTCTGCCTCATTTATATTATTTGCGTCAGAATTTGCTGTTATCATGTCTTCTTCTCCCTTCTTTTTGGGAGTGATTAAATTGTCTGTTACATTCCCATGCAAATTGTACTATATTGGTGCAATGATATGCAGTTACTCTCTGTTCTGTAGGTGAAGCAAGACACGGACCAATTACGAGTTATGTATCGCGAGGGACCAGAGGGGACCCCATTTCACACCCTCCTTGCTGAAGGCTTTGCTGATGGACCAATTGATGTTTGTATGAAATCTAACTAGTAGTGAGTAAAATGCTATGGTCTCACAATACACACAGTCACTTAAGCACACTGTTTTTTGCATAGGTACATGTGTTTCATGGGAATCGTCTCTGTACAAAAAATGGTGAGCACATTCATTAAGGACAACTTCAGATGTTGTTCGCCTAGAATTTTGCATCGTCGGACACTATATTTGTTACTAAAAAAAAGTTCATGGAGGCAGCATCAGGACCTGCTTGACTCAGCTTTTACTTTAGCATGTGGAATCAACACAAAAACTTTTATCTAGAACATGGCAGTACAGCTTTTTACTACTTTTTTTTTTTGATAAAGGAAGCTTTTATTAATCTCAGACGATTACATCAAGTTGATAGAACCATACTAAGAAAACTACTTAGAGAATGGATAATCTATACACAACAATTTCAGATATTCAGATTATCAGTTTCTTGTGTTTTTTTACTCAATTTCTTTACTGCTGTTTTTTGTTCTTCACGAAGTGCACTCACATGACTCAATTTCTTGTTGAGTTAACACATGACTGTTCTTAATTGAGAAGTGTACTCAAATATTGCCTATTTTGCTTATAGCAGTCACTCTGCGATATGGCCCACATGTACCTACTTTAGCAACTACCTGATGTTGCACCATTGCTCATGTAAAGTCCCTTTCTGCAGTAAGCTGACAAAGACAACATAATGTTCATTTCAGCCATATGCATAAAGATTGGACTAATTGTTGCCAACAATGTTTGCAAAAAAAAATTGGGGATAATTCTATGGCTTACTTTCGACTACTTTTTATGAAACATAACATGTTTGCCAGCGGTATACTAAAGTTTTGGCAGCCCCACTGAACCCAAGAAACAAAAAGGATAGACAAATGGGTACTTTCTTTCTCATATGCTGATGTGGTTTTTGTGTTCCAGGTTTCCACAATACAACCTTCCAACTTTTAAAGTTGCTCAGTCAGGCTGTTTGAAGAAGGTTCGGGTTGGTGAAGAAATTTCTTTGGTCAGGTTGGCTAAAGATAAATCTTCTTTACAGTCCATGATTTTTCTACAAATTTTAGTTGGATTTTCTCTTTGATGGATGTTGTGACTAACATCTGCATCCACTATTTGGAAGAAAGGGTGAAGGTTCCATGGCCAGTTTCGGAGAGAGAAGCTCTTCTTCACTACTTCGAATTAGAGTATCTTAAAGAAGATCTTGTCATTGTAATCATGAAAACTGTGCGTATGCTGAATTTTCTGGGCTATTTATTTTTTATGAACCTTGATCCACAGACTTCATTGTCCATGCCTCCAGTTCATTTATTTCTGCTTATTGCGTTGTTGCAGATATCGGATACGGACAATATAAATATAGAGACACATGGATTTAGTAGGGATGGAATTCCTGAAGCTGGTGACACCGTTCGGATAGATGTAGTCGGAGGCTTTGTTTTGCAAAGGATTACAAAGGAGAAAAGCTTTTTCAGGTAAAACATCCAATCCTATTGTGCATTGAATTATTTAATATAAAGCACGAAGATGCATTATAGATCGCTCCATTTGCTATTGAAATTGTACCCACTTTTGTTGGAAACTTGGAATCAAATTAGTGATTCTGTCAACCAAAGTGATTTTTTAGTGACTGTAAAAGGACTGGATGACTTTGTCCTAGAAAAAGGTAGAGTTCCATTAAGTTTTTTCATTTTTCTATGACGTACTTCTGACTTGATATGCATGTTCTGGATACATGCTATAATTTTTATTTTACTAGTTAATTTTTCATTATTAAGCCATGTTATTCCTGTACTTGTGAGTTGAGCTGTAGAATTTGTTTTACCTGCTTAATTTTAATTGTTTAGCAATATATAATTTTCATCATTCTTGCGTCTTGAATGCTAGTTTACATGATGTCTTGACTCCATTTTTTTGAACAGATTGTTATTAAATCACGTTTGAACTTTAAGAAAGATATAATTGTATGTAGTTTTTAAAATTTATTCATTTGTGATTCTTTTTGCTCAACAAGTTTCAGTTTAATAAATATGCTGATACTCCATTTTTTAACCAAATCCTCCACTCAGGGCAATAGCTAATATGGATATTAAGCTAGACTTCGTTCCACCATGGCTTATCAACTTCATATCAAGGCAACTAATTGGCAGCGGCCATAAACTCTATCAGAAGGTCAGTGGCATACTACCTCGATACTTTTGTGATGATTTGATATCAATATGCATAGCGCTTTTCCCATTGCAGTATGGTCTTTACATAGATTTCGTGGTACTGCTATGTGGGGTGAGCAAATTCTGACACAAGAGATCCCCTGTTTAAACACTTGCTATTGACTTATCTTTGCAGGCAGTCAGTACTGTGGCAAATTGTGATGAGGATTACAAGAAAGCTTTGAGAGAACCACTCTATGTTAGAATCCGTGAGCACCGGGGTTCTACTGACATCGCAAATGTCACTCCAGTGGAGGAAAGGGCAACAGAAGCCCTCCCTGACAATCCCACTTTGCAGAATGTTCTCGCGGTTACTAATATCACCTCGAACAGTGAGATAGTCGAAGAGGAGAGTGAACAGAAGGCATTATTCAAGCTGGATCATCATGCAATAGGCCCTTCAAACCCTCCGGCTGAGCAAGAGCAACATGTTGAAAATAAGCCTTACATTAGTCCTGAGGTAGAGCAGGCTTTGAACATATTGGACAAAGCTATTGCAATTATCCGAGGCAACAATGCTGGAAGTGCCAGTGTGGTCCAAAAGTTTATCGGTTACGATGTAACTTTAGATGGCAGTACCACTGACTCTAGAAATTCACACAATATTCCAAATGAACATCCTGCTACATTGCCACCTCGAGATTCAAGGTCAGCACTAAATGATATTAATTTCTTCTGTGGTACATTTGCACTAAAGTTGATGCACAGTTATTACATGGTATGTTTCTTAATGCAGAGAGACCCAGCACACTTATTCATTGTCCAATGAGAATGTTAATCATAGGGAGAAAGATGCTCTTGACAGTGACTCGCAACGATACACAACAGCTTCTACCGTAACAAAAACTATGTCCATGACAAGGAGGAGCACGACACGGGTGCACGGAGAAGAGAGCCTTGACACCAATGGCTTACATCAGAACGGTTTCCACAAGGACAAAGAGTCTAAACGAACAAGGAAAAGGAAGACAAACAGTTGGCTCTGCTGCTTAACCCCTAGCACCACAGGATGATGAGAGGCCCATTCAGTTTGCTGAGTTAACCATTGAATTTTGAATGCACTACACAAAGCAGTCTTAATTTATAAAAAAATTGATAGTTTGCGAAATACACGGGGAATCGAACGACAACCCAGGTGGCACCTTGTGATAGTTACCAAGAGCAGATCCAGTCCTTGATAAGTTGTATAGTAGCTGTTGTATTGTTGTAACATAATTCCCGATGATGTTTCTCGATAATGCAGATGCTGGGAATTGTACTTCATCATCTAAAATGTGCAATGTTGTTTTCATGAGAATTCTGTTATGGCCTTATGGGGGGTTCTAGGTAGGTACAATCCTCATGACCAAACACATGATCAGCTTGTTGGTGCTGATATCAGTGAATGAAGGAATTGCTATCAGATTTTAATGACATGAACCTCACCAGATTTTCGAAGTTTCAGTCATCCTTCAGAGATTCTTCTGAGCAACAGCAACAGTTTGAGTATGGTCCCAGACCAAGTTGTTGAATTTCTTATGTCGGCAGATCAGTTTGTCTGCTATTTGTTGAATTTGATGTCGGCAGGTCAGCTTGTCTGCTATAGAGTTCAGTTTTGTTTGGTATGGATTTAGCGTCTTGTAGATGCAAGATTGAACATAGTGATAATTTGATGTTTTACCTTTTCGATTGATGTTTTGACTAGAGTATTTGAGGTGACTTTGACCATTAACTTTTCATCTCTAAATTAAGATATAGTAATAAAGATACTATAAAGTATTTCTGATACCAGATTTATCTAGGGGTGAAGTAAAGAAAAAGTATGATACATATAAACCTTGTTTTAAATGACACTATTTTAGCAAAAGCATGTATATATATAGATGTATATATATATATATATGTATATATATATATGTGTATATATATATGTATGTATATATATATGTATGTATGTATATATATATGTATGTATATATATATGTATGTATATATATGTATATATATATATATGTATGTATGTATATATATATATATGTATATATATATATATATGTGTGTGTGTATATATGTATATATATATATATATATATATGTATGTATGTATATATATATATGTATATATATATATATGTGTGTGTGTATATATATATATATGTGTGTGTATATATATATATATATAATTATTGAAAACTGTTTTAAATCTGTTTTTCAACTTTATAATACTCCATCCGCTTCAAATTAGTTGTTTTAGGTTTATTTAAAGTTAAGCATTTTCAATCTTTAACCATTGATTTAGTTTAATATCATAAGATTTTATTTTTAGATTCATCAAAACAAATACTTTCATAATATATAATTCACAAGTTAAATTACACGGATATTTAAAATTAACGATAAAAAAATAGACATTTTTGATTGAGGACTATATGTAATTTGGAACAGAGGTAGACCATCCAATAGACTCTACAAATTGAGGCAAACGAAACAGAGTAGGCTAGGGGTCAAGTATTCACCCTCCATGCCATTTCAGTGCGACAAAAACAGCGAAAAGACCACTGACACATTGGTCCCACATGTCAGTGGGTAATATTTTTCTCTTATAATTAACCAACGATGCCTCCAATCTGTCATGAAATGGTGTTGGGCAACAAGAGTTAATTAGTACTCCTTCTGTCCCAAAATATAAATGATTTTGACTTTTTACTTGTACTGTTGTCCACTCGTCTTATTCAAAAATTTTTGGGATCATTATTTATTTTTTTGACTTACTTTATTATCCAAAGTATTTTAAGCACAACTTTTCGTTTTTTATATTTGCACAAAATTTTTTGAATAAGACAAGTGGTCAAATAATACAAGAAAAAGTCAAAATCCGTACAAGTTATAACCTCCATAATAAAAAGTACTACTACAAGTCACAAGAAACTAACTGGTCAATATAGATTGGTTGGTGGGTATAAATACTACTCCTCCGTTTTAGGTTATAAGACTTTCTAGCATTGCCTACATTCATATATATGTTAATAAATCTAGGTACACATATATTAATGAATGAGAAAATTCTCAATCTAGCATTAAAAAAAGTTGCTCTTCCCTCTATAGCACCCAAACTTCAAAAGTTCCCTATTTAGGCACTTCTAAAATTTTCCTTCCCTATGTAGCACTTCCGTTAGTTTTTACATTTGACAGTGTTAACTAGCAGGAGAAAATACGGTTTTACCCTTCTTTAGTTTTCAGACTTGCCCGTACATGATCGTTGGTATTTCAGACGTGCTTTCTCTTGATTTAACGTAACACTGCAAATATAACATGTCGATCCACTCTTTTGAAAAAAAAATTGCTCACTGGCTGCCAAAGTAGAAATCTAACCAAATGACGTCGATCGGTCGGGTAACAATGGTTAACTCGGTGCTCATTTCCATTCCCATCTACCTTTTGGTCGCGATCAATGCTCCAAAATGGGTGACCAAGGGAATTCATAAAGTCCGGTGAGGTTTCCTTTGGGCGGGTAAGGCCAATGCCCATGGTGGTTGTTGTTGTGTCGCTTGGGCCAAGGTATGCGCCCCTAAAGAGTACGGTGGATTGGGTGTTCCCGACTTAGAGCGAATGGGCATCGCTTTAAGATCTCGCTGGGCTTGGCTGCAGAGAACAAGCTTGGATAAGCCTTGGCAAGGTCTGAACATCCCAATCTCACCCAAGGAACGCAGCTTCGTGGCGGCGTCCACGGTGTGTATCTTGGGCAATGGTGAATCTGCGCTCTTTTGGGAAGACAACTAGCTAGAAGGATACTCTGTTCGCTCCTTTGCACCAGCCGTCTACAACTGTGTCCCTGAGGTTCGAGCATTTCAAACGTCGCAAAACGATCGTTGAGGCACTTCAAGGTAGAAGATGGGTCAGAGACATCTATGGAGCTCTAGGGATCCAAGCGATTCTCGAGTACCTCCACCTTTAGACCACTCTAAACTCGATGGAGCTATTGCCGGATCAACCGGACTCCCTCTCTTGGAGGTGGGACTGCTCGGGGGAATACACCTCCAGTTCAGCCTATCGAGCATTGTTCCTAGGAAGAGTCTGGTTTCAGTCCAAACCAATCTGGAAATTGATGGCGCCCCGCGATGCCGCTACTTCTTATGGTTGGTTGCTCTCAACAGGTGCTGGATCGTGGACCTCCTCCACAACCGTGGCCTCCCACACCTAGACCGTTGCGTCATTTGTGATCAACACGAAGAGAGCATAGAACGTGGCTAGAGGTTGCGAAGGCAATGATTGCTGAAGCGGAACTCTGGCGTTTGGCCAACGCGGCAATTCCGGCGTTGAATGTCCAGCCCCTAGTCTTCTCTAGGTCGCACAATACTCGTGCGAGAATAGGTCTAGCTTAGTGTTTTTGGTTATCGCTTGTATCCCGTCCCTTATTTTTTTTTTCAATTTTCCCAGTAAATAACTTTTGTTCCTCATAATACAAAGATGCGCTCCTTGCGTATTCTCCAAAAAAAAAAAACGTAAGCAATAACTTACCCAGTCTAAAATCGTCGAAATTATCATGCGAATCAATGTATTACTTTGTTATGTACTTTGGTACTCCCTCCGTTTCAGGTTATAAGACGTTTTGACTTTGGTCAAAGTTAAACTATTTCAAGTTTGACTAAGTTTATAGATAAATATAGTAATATATATAATACTAAATTAGTTTCATCAAATCAATAATTGAATATATTTTAATAATAAATTTATCTTGGGTTGAAAATATTACTACTTTTCTCTACAAACCTGGTGAAACTTAAAACAGTTTGACTTTGATTAAAGTCAAAACGTCTTATAACCTTAACGGAGGGAGTATCATGCAGACTGTAACCAGAAATGAACAAGGGAATATTCATTTTGCATAGTACTCTTGTATAAATTATCAAAGGTATCATGCAGACTGTAGAAGCATGACTGCAACCGGCCACACTGTAAACAATTTGGATTTGATCCAAAGTAATTGCATCAAAAGAAACATAACAGATATTTCTGCAGTGAACATCAGTGATCCAGTTATCATAGGATACAAATAGTTGGAATGACCACTACAGGACTCAGCTGCAGATACTTAAGAGGGAGCTCAAGAATATGCATGACAGATTTATTAGAACATAAAAGTAACCCAGCAGAAAAAAGAAATGCAGTGTCTTCATTTTTCTGTATCCTCTATTTCCAGCAAGAGAGATTCCTTGATTGCATGCAGTTCCTTAATGATATCTCCAGTTGATAATCTACTCGATGGCATTTCCTGGGAGCAAGAAAGTCCTAGTCTAAGTAATGAAATCAGGCAATCGATCTTTTGCTTGCTTGAAAAATCATCGGTTGTCTCAGGATCATGCTGATCAATGCCCAGACACAGCTTGTTGTCAACAATGTCCATCACTTTACCATGTAAACCCAGACTTACAGACTCGCAGAGGCTCAATCCTTGTGTAAATTCGCTGTCACTGGGCCTCTTCCCAGTTACAGTTTCCAACACAAGAATGCCGTAGCTGTAAATATCACCTTGCGTCGACACAGTATTCCCAGCACCATATTCTGTTGCATCGAACATTCCCCAGAAATATTAGAATTCTTATAACTTGTATAGCTATAAATTTACCATAAGTTGTACTGATATACAATTAGGTAAAAATAAAAATTCAATGCTTCCCCTAAAACTAATTTCATCTGCAAATGGCCCATAATATTATGAGCCTCACTCCGGTGCTTTCTACTTATAGTAGAAAATAATCCGAGCCGTTGATCGTATATAATCGTAGGGTTGAGATCTAATTCTACTACCACCACTCATAGTGGTAGTAGAAACGTGGAGGGGTATATTTGTCCATAGATAATAATTCATGTAAGGGTATTATCGTAAATTATTATTCAGTAACTCTAAACCTTCGCCATTCTCAAGCGGCTGACCCCATCCATCGTTGACTTCGTCGCTTGTCCATCTCCCTCTCCGCCTCCATCATCTCCAGCGCGATCGACATCTCCTCCCCCTCCAGCGACCAAGGGTGGCCCTTCTCCTCTTCGCCAAGCCGCTGAAGGTCCTTGCCCACGGCGGACGACTAGTCCTGCCATGTAGCTTTGACCAAGACAGGAGATCGCCGGGCAATTGGACGGCGGACGAAATTCAACGGGTTCCGGCGAACGGCGGCGAGGTAGGAGGAATGGGCAACTGGGAATGAACGAGTGTAGTATGGGGATGTGGTGGACGGCTCGGATTGGCCAAGAAATGAGCTATGGCAGCCGGCGACGTGCAGTGGCGGAGCTCGAGTGAGGCGGTGGCATTTGGTCGCCGCCGGCGACCGTACGAGCAGCTAAGGGACTTGGGAATGAGGTGTTTGGATGCTACATGAATAGGGACTGTGCATGACTTCACAAGCTGCCGCGGAGCTAATGCAAATGCTTTTGCATAAACACGACAGTAGACCAGGGAGTTTGCAGCAAAGAGTGAATCAAGATGTTCTAAGCCCCCATTAGTAGACATTGTCCTATGACTGAAAAAAAATCAATTTAGTGGCAATTGAGGGCTTAGCTACCCCCATATGAGCACAAGAAAGGAATCATGTAGCGATGATTCAGAGCGCCAGAATATGACAGAATGCAGTTAGATGTTTCGATGGTATGAAATATAAAACAAATCCTGAATTACAGCTCTGACTGAAATGCAATTTACATATGGGCAAAACTCTGATAGTGAAAAATCTCATTTAAGCAGTTTATCAGATTTTTTCAGTCTCACTCTTTCAGGAGCAAAACAACTTGTTTACTGATCCAGGAGCAGGATGACATATTTCAGTTCAAATTGCTTGGATTCATCTCACCCCATCACAGTTGCACACAAAAAAAATGCACAACACACTAACATGGTCAACACATTGACATTACTAGTAGTCCATCACTATTCACCTTTTCTTTTTTACTTAAACCATTACTGAACAATGAATATATTGGGACAGTCACAAGATCCAATAAACATCAGTATCTCAAAGCTCGTCAATTAGTCAATGAAGTATTCGACACACCATACAACTGAATATTACAAGCAGAATGAACTGGGCAGGCCTTCTTGTTGTCACGGAGCCACTTCGCGATGTTGCAATCCTCGTGGAAGTCATGCCCGCAGGAGAGCGTGCGGACAGTCGCCGGCCACCATCCTGAGCTAGCAGATCGGGCATGCCGCATGCATCGTTCAGCGTCCGATCCAGTGTCCTGACGCCGCCGCGAGCACGGATGTGCTGAAACCTCTGAGCATTGCGGTCTATCAGGTTCGCCGGCGACGCCTTCCACGGCAACACGCAGCGAGCGACACTGTTGCATATTCTGCATCTCATGCCGTGCTCGCGGTCGAGGAGGTGCTCGCCGATGCAAGCCACAAGACTCGGGCACGCACGGAGGGGGACCGGGGATACGGCGCTGGAATGTATCGCAGCTGCCTCCCAAGTGGCCGCAGCCCACACAATCAGAGCAACACGGAATGGAGATCACTACCCGCCGGCGGAATGGATTGAATCCTCCAAAGTGGGCGCTGCCAAGAATCTTAGGTCTTGCGCAGGGGCTCCGGCGAAATCGGACGCGCGCGGAAGGCCACTCGCAGCGGACAGAAGGCCACGATGGCGAACCAGGATGCCGACGTGGAATACAGGAGAGGAGGAGGAACGGATAGACAGGTGAGAGGTGGGAGGAGGGGACGCCTGAGGGTTTCACCGCACCGAGCCACGGCGTGCCGGGAGGAGTAGCGATAAGCAACGTGCGTCGGGCGAGATGCGGTGCTTTTCGTCGGACCTGATGCGATCAAGCCAAGACCGACCGAGACAGAGAAAATAGATCCTGCCAAAATTGCCCCTAATATATATTAGGAGATTACTAATCTACCCTTTAAAATGAACGGTCGAGATTAATTTTACTTGTAGTATAATACTCCAAGTAGAAAGCACCGGAGCATTGCTCTAATATTATTGTATAAATGTGGGCTTCATTTGAAGAACAAGAAACAGACTAACCTGGGGCAGCATAGCCAATCGTCCCTCTAAATAGTATTGAGTTCGTCGAGGGTTGGAAAACTGAGTTTTGCTCATCAAGAATCCTTGCAAGTCCAAAGTCTCCAACACGAGCCACCATGTCAGAATCCAAGAGAACATTACTTGACTTAATATCACAATGTATCACAGGGGCAGGGCCATGGCAATGAAGATAATCCAATGCATAAGCCACATCAAGGAGTATGCTCACTCTTTCCAGGATATTCAAGTACCTTTGCTCTGTATGATCATTATTGTCAGGATGTAGCCAACCATCTAAACTGCCATTAGGCATGAACTCGAACACAATTGCTTTGAAGTCATTGCCACTGTTATCAATGCTTGAGCAAGCTGTAATTATTTTGACAAGGTTCCGATGCCATAGGTTTCGCAGTGCTTCGCATTCGGCTATGAAACTTTTGAGTGCGCCAGGGGTTTGGAGTTTTAGCACTTTCACAGCTATATCTTTACTTTCACCAGCTTGATTATTTATTTCTCCTTTGTACACAGACCCAAATGATCCTGATCCCAACAAATTGGTTGCTGAGAAATTATCTGTTGCTCTTACCAGCTGGGAGTGAGAGATCAAGGGATGGCCTTCCATGGATGTGGTAGATGGGATGTTTGTTTTTATATTCTTACGCCAATAGAGAAGCTTGTAGAGCAATAAGAGGAGTAGTAATGTTACAGCAAGAGAAACAACAATAGGAATTACCAGAAGTTTTTGCCTTCTGTGTGGTGACTGTGAAGAGCATCTAGGCAAATGTAGATCTGGTATGCCACCACAAAGTTTGCCATTTCCATGGATGGAAATTGCGGAAGGATTCGAAAAGACACCAAAAGTTGGTACTTCACCACTAAAGTCATTGAATGAAAGGTTGAGATAACTGAGCATGGTAAGGTTTGACAGGAATGTGGGTATTTGACCTGACAAGTTGTTATTGGAAAGATCAAGAATTTGTAGACCTTTCAATTGACTCAGGAGTGATGGAACGCTACCGCTCAAGAAATTATTTTGGAGAGATATATTCTGGAGAAGTTGGCATTCACCAAGGGTGCTAGGGATTTCACCTGATAACTTGTTGGAATCTGCATAGAATTGAACAAGATTTTTCAAGCCCCCGATTTCTTGTGGTATTGATCCTTCCAAGTTGTTATTGGATATATCCAAAGTTAACGACAACGTGTGAATCTTAAATATTTCAACAGGAATAGAACCTGTGAAATTATTGCTTGAAAGACCTAGTTCCACTAGGTTTGTCAGGTTTCCAAGTGCACTTGGTATCCTACCAGTGAAGGCATTCACATCAAGGCGGAAATAATTTAGTTCTGTAAGATTCCCTATGGCTAATGGGATTGATCCACTTATTTTATTATTGTCTATATATAAAACTTGCAGATTTTTAAGCCTGCCCAACGATGACGGAAGAATTCCCGTGAAAGAGTTGTTATGGAGTAGAAGAGCTTCTAACCTAACGAGGTTACCAATCTCTTCAGGCAAGCTTCCAGATATTGCATTAAAATCAAGATAGAGGTATTCAAGATAAACTGAAAGGTTTGAGATTGAAACAGGAAGTACCCCTTCAAACCTATTGTTGCCCAGGAACAAAGCTTGCAACTTGGAGCAATTCGTTAACGCAGATATGAATCCCCATCCTTTCTGATCTTTAGCTTCAAGGAATGTGTGCTCAGCTTCTAGCGAAGTGAGGTTTCTTAACCTTCCAACCTCCGGAGGAATGATTCCACCGAAAGAGTTGAAACCAATCTGTATCCGCGACAAAGCGGACACGTTACCTATTGATACAGGGATGTTGCCATGAAACTGGTTGTCGTTAATGTACAAGTGCTGCAGATGAGGAAGAGAGTTGAACACATCAGGAGGCATCGTCCCATGCAACATGTTTTGCTGGAGATTAAGCTCTGTCAGAGAGGAAACATTCCAGATGGAAGAGGGGATCAGCCCGGTTAGATTGTTGAAGCCTAGCTCAAGCCATGACAATCCAGAGAGCATGCCAAGGGATGATGGGATGGCTCCTGATAGCATGTTGTGTGCAAGAAGAAGATGATAGAGGTTGGTGAGATTGCCCAAACCAGGCGGTATCTCACCGTGCAGCCTGTTCTTGAACAAAGATAGGGCGCCCAACGATTGCAAATCTGCCAGAGACCGAGGGATCTCTCCTGACAAAGCATTTTCATGAAGGCCCAACCTGACAAGATTCTTCAACGCACCTAGCTCGGCTGGGATCTCACCTTGGAGCTGGTTGTTGCCTAGGTCAATCGACATGAGCTCGGCACATTCTCCAATGGAAGCCGGGATGCTTCCTTGGAGATAGTTCGAGCTTAGGTTCAGCATCCTAAGCCTGGTGAGTTGCCCGATCTCTGGAGGTATGTCCCCGGTGAACTGGTTGTCACCAAGTTCCAGCTCCCTGAGCAAGGACAGGTTGCCCAATGACGGAGAGATCCTTCCAGACAGGTTGAACGAGCTCATTTGCAACGCCACAACCCTCTCGGGATGCCGGCCGCCGCACACAACTCCCGGCCAGCTGCAGTAGTGGCTTGAAGCGTTCCATGATGCCAGGAAGCCATCAGACAGCAGCATGGACTTGAACGAGAGGAGCGCAGGCTCATCCGCCATGGCAGTACTTCTGCTGCTGCTGCTGCTCCCTGGAGAAACCTGGGCGTAGAAACAGGACAGCAACAGCAGTGAGGAGCAGAGCAATGCTGTTGCTCTTGCCATGATGATCAAGCCAGTGGTGTTGACAGGAATCGCACCGCAAACGGTGAGGAATTTGGGGAGGATTTTGGGAGAAAGAGATAGAGCAGAGTAAGAATTGAGGAAGAAGAAGATAGAACAGAGTAGGTTGGAATGAAAGCAGGGAGAGATTGGAATTATAGGAAGGAATAGTTGTTTCATTACAAATCAGTCCGCCCCTTGTCTCTGACACCTGCCCACCTTATATAGCACAACGCCATTAGGTCTCTCTCCCCCTTGCTGATAGTGGGCTAGCCAATAGATACTGGCTGACTCCACTCGCTTGTTTAGTTTCTAGCTTTGATCGTCTGTCTTCTTTATTTTTTTTAAAAAAAAATTAAAAACATATGTCATGCATAAATACTATTTATGTTTTTTCATCTAATAACAATAATATATTAATTATAAAAAAAATTTAAATAAGTCGAACGATCAAAGTTAGACACGAAAAAACTTATAGCTATGCTTAAAATGGAACGAAGTGAGTAGAATACTTTGTGTTGGGCTGCCTTTCTCTAGAAGATTTCCTGTGGGCCTGAATTGCGACATGAGCCGCCGCCGACGACCCTGTCTTCCCACCTTGCTCTTGTGCTGATCGACTTGAGGATGACAAGTGGCTGCAAGAATGCATTTGCATATATTAAAGGGTTCTTTATATATAGAAAAACCTTGAGTTATTCTTCTGATCCCCAGCAAACAAAGAGGATGTATTTAGTTCATACCAAAATTGGAAGTTTGGTTGAAATTGGAACGATGTGACAGAAAAAGTTGAAAGTTTGTGTGTGTAAGAAAGTTTCAATGTGATAAAAAAGTTGGAAGTTTGAAGAAAAACTTAGAAACTAAATACGGCGAGAATAGAATGTATATATGTGCTACTTGTGTCCACATCAGGAATATGTCGGCGACCGGTCATTTCATTGCTACTTCCAGTCCACTGGAGGGTCAATGCAATCAGTTGATCTAACGTATGGAACTATGGATGCATGCGGTAGTACTGAAACTGCCCAGTTCCTACCAGACAGCTTTTGGCAAATAATTTCCTGTCTTTTTAATCAAAGCAGGCCACTTGCAAAATATATAATCATTTTGTGTTCTCCAGTCAGTCATGCACTTTTGTTTTCATTCAACAAGTAGTCAAGGGGCATGCGCTTTGGTGCACATCATTTCTCGACAAAACGTTTGGTGTGCTTCGATAAAAAACCTTCTTCTAACCTTTTTTTCCCTCTATCTTTATAATATTTGGATGATCTTCTTCGGTCATCTCGACAAAAAGTTTGTTCGAAATAAGATTAGTGACTACAAAATAATGCAGTCTGATGAGCAGCATGAGTAGTCCTTGCTATTTACATTGCCAATTTTCTGCATATTAAATCACTATAATCATCAACAAAGCTGTCTCAGTCGAGTCGAGGTAGTCACTGGTTTCAACTCAATTTAATATGATTTCTCCTGAATTTGCATACGACCTCTAGATCAAGTTCAACAATACAACAACATGAGCAGTGTTATCGCCACTCAATCCCGACATCATATGTGTTCCCCCAAAATTTCTACAAGTCTAAACTTAATTTCTGAGTCGCAAGAATCTCTGTATGCAAGACAATTTTTTTTTCAAAAGAAAAATAATAATAATAATTTTTGAGGTTAAATGTTGGGGATTCTAGATCAGTCTCATGAACGCACCTAAGATTCCTCCCTCTTTGCCCGTCGCCCTTGGAAATTCCGGCAGCGAGCGCCTCAGGCCGCCGCGCTCCCCTCTCCATCCCACTCGGCGGCCATCTCCTGCGCCTCATCCGCCGCCGGTGGGCCTGCCTCTCCGCGCACTGGACTGCACCGACGCCGGCGCCGGTGGCGGCAATCTCGTCGGCTTCAGAGGCATCTCACGGGGGAATCTCGACGAAAAGCGGTGGAGAGAGACAGACAGGAAAAAAATGATACTCCTACGTCCCAATCTAAGTATAGCCATAATTTTCGGTGCAAGTTCGATCGTCCGTTTTATTTACTTTTTATTTAATAAAATTAAAAATAGAAGTCATGTATAAAGTAATATTTATGTTTATCATCTAATAATAGAAAAATGCTAATCATAAAAATTTTTCAAATAAGACGGAAGATCATAGTTAAGCATAGAAACTCATAGTTACTAATGAGACGGAGGGAGTAAACGACAAGAAATGGTCAGTGACAAGTTGGTCCCATAATTGAGCGATACGATAGTAAAAGAAAAGGTCCTGAGAACTCCTATTTATGATGAAAATAGGGTTAATTTGAACCATGCCTTTATAAACATGGCATATTAGAAAGGATAAATTTGATCCATGTCATTGTAAATTTGATATCTCTATCTCTATCTCTATCTCTATTATTATAAAAATTGAAGATGTTTTTGCCGGTATTTTGGTACGTCATCCGTCTATGAGTCGGCTTTTAAGTTAGTTTGATTTTGGAAATACATATCCGTATTTGAGTCGTTTTTAATATCGTTTACTTTTGATAATACAAAAGGAATCACATAAGAAATTTGTTTAAAAAAACTCGCATGCTAACTTGAGACGATCGTACTCCTAACTACACCTCATGATTTTCTAAAATATATATATCGTGGCGAATTCCCATAGTGAATTTCATCTTAACTAAGCCATATAACAATAATAAAATTAAAATAGACTTCACCCGTTACAAGCACGGATATTTTTTTCTAGTATTTATAAAAGTATCACTACTATCATCTATGTGAAACCAAGTAATTCTTTCAGTGTCCTCCCTCCGTCCCTAAATACAAGGGATTTTGATTGGATGTGATATATGGTAATATGATGAATCTGGAAAAGCATCCTGTCTAGATTCGTTGTACTTCATGTATGTCAAATTCGTTATATTAGCATGTGTTATATCCAATCATAATCCCTAAGTATAATTAGAGATGGAGGGAGTATGAGATATGCCATTTTCTACACCTAGACTCTAGTGGACCCACGTGCAGGCCATGGCATTTCGTATTGCCCAAAATACCCCTGTTACATGTCTTCTTTCCACATCGTTGACACATGGGTCCCAGACGTCATTCCCTTCCAAATCCCCACTGAACTCCCACCACGAGGAGTTGCCGTTCACCTCTTGCGGCAGTGGTAGCGCACTCGTCGGCGAGGTTATCCATTCTCCTCTCCGCTCGGCTTTGCCTGCACCTGGCTACTGTGGGGACTTGGCGGCCGGAGCACTCGTACGTCGACGAGGTCCATGTTGATTGACATGCTTCGCTGGTCAAAATGGGGTCCGCTTTGGTTGCTGGAGAGATTTTAATCGCTGTTTTAGAAACTCCTCGTTTTGTTGGGTTTCGTTGAGAAATCAAGAGCGTTTAGTGGCAACATCGTTTTGATCTCGGATTTTTAGTTACTGATCTCGCGGTAGGGTTTGAAATTTCGGTTCATAATTTCCGAAATTTCGGTAATTTCGTCCCCCACCGGTGTGCTCAAATCTCGCCCGAAATTTTAGGTTTTTTACAATTTTTTTGTGAATTTGGTCAAATTTTATTTAAATTCAGTCAAATTTTCAAATAATTTCGGCCAGAAATTTCCAAAATTTTGGTCACCCCCAGCATAAAATCCAATTTCGAAATTGAAAACCCTGTCTCGCGGTCGCTAGTTTCGGCGTTGGTCAGTCCACCGCCTCCAATTAATTGCTGTGGGCCGCCGGCGACGCCAAGACCGACCCCAATCGCCATCTTCCTCGACACCAGCTTGCTCGCCACTGCGGACATGGATATGTCGTCGTGGCCGTCTCCCTTGACGCCGGCTACTGCAGGTCTACCCTACACAGCCGTGGCCATCTCCCTTGTCGCTGGCTGCTGCATGCAGTGGGAAGGGAGGGAGGGTGATGTTGAAGCGGTGTGAGTCGCAGGCGACGGCGAGGACCAGCAGAAAGGCCGCCGGCAGGAGGGGGTCATCGGCGTCGAGAGAACCGAACCCACTAGCTGCTACAGCCAAGTATGCAAGGGTAATTACAACCATATACAAAAACACGTTACGAAGAAAATGAGTCAAACCGAGCCATACGGCATGGCATCGAACTAAATCTTTTACGTATTTGGTATGGTTGCGAATAGACGAATAGTAGCAATATTTAGTTGAAATGATACTTTTTAATGGCACGGATCAAATTAACCCTTTTAATAATAGAATATATGGGCAATTGTATTCTTGCCCCTACTTTGAACTGGAATTGTGATTTTACCCTCGTTTTTAGGGTTTGTATTTTGCCTTCATTTCTTCGAAATGATCACTCAGTGTTACCTTTATTATGTTAAAATGATTTAACAGTGTTAACTACTACCTCCACGGTTATAAAACTTTTTGCTATTGTCCATATTCATATATATGTTAATGAATCCAAACATATATGTGTGCCTAAATTCATTAACATCTGTATGAATGTGGTCAATGCTAAAAAATCTTAAGATCTGAAACAGAGGAAGTATGAGATAAAAAGACGTGTATATCCTTTCATATTTCGCCCCTTTGTTTTGCATATATCTTTGCTAAGTTCTGTTTCTCTAGGCACAGATGACTAAACATTAGAGGAAAAATCAAGCTGCCGTCTAGAGACATTGGCAATGAAGTTGTCGAACACAGTGGAGATGTAATCCTACGCATAGACGAACCAAACCGAATCAAAATCGACCCAAAGAAAACAAGATAATTAACCAGCACGCGGTGAGATGCAGAGGCCTGCTCGCGGCCCTGTTCCCAGCATGCTCGCACACGGCCGCCTGCTCACAGCCTCACACTCTGCGCCGTCACGCGCCCTGCCCGCGTAGGCTGCTGCTGCCTGCTCCTTGATTCGCCTCCCCCCGCCATCTGCGATGCACCTGCTCGCCGCCACCCCGTTCTCCACCTATCCGCGCCGCCTGCTCGCAACCTGCGCAATCTGCGCCGCGCCGCCGCCTGCTCGCCGCCACGACGCAACTGATTCTGCCGGGATGGGAACGGGCTGGTGTTGAGGTGGCTCGTAAGGACATTTGGTCCAAGGGTACGTATAGTGGTCCTATCGTATTTTGTAGATCAGTTTTATTTTATTTTTCATTTACTCGCTAAGTTTTGGTCCCACCTAATAGCCATCTAAATTCTAAAATAAGGACAAACGGTAGTTTCGATTAAAAAAGTGAGGGTAAATTCACAAACCCTAAAAAACAATGACAAAATCACAATTGCAATTCAAAGCAGGGGCAAGAACATAATTGCCCCTAGAATATATATCCTCTGCACCTAAGCTAGAGAGCAAAGTGCCACATTGTTACAAACTTACAATGTTCCGCGATAAGCTGTATTATACATATTTATAAAGGAATCAATAACAAGCTAATACAAAAGAAACATTAAAATGCTGTTATTAAAAATTAAAACGAGTATACATTCTAGTAACTAGCTGGGTGGCCCGCGCAATTGCGCGGCTAGCACTACATATATATATATTTTATATGATTTTACTTAAAATTTATTAAATGGTTATCTCGTTGTCTTTTAAAAGACCAAACCTTATCATCCCCGTGTTTCTAATTTTATAGTTTTTAAAAGTCACACCAGTTGCTACCCCTTACTTCTGTCATATCATTCTTAATTTGCTTGCTTGATCTACCATTCTTAATTTGCTTGCTTGATCTACCATTGTTTCTATTCATTCTCATTGGAGCCTTTACAAATTAGATCTTATAGCTTTTAGAGTTTATTGTCCAGTTGGATCCTCTATGGTCCGCCCGCTACCTCTCATCTTTATTGCTATTGGGATTTTAACAATCGAACAAAATTATTATTGGTGTTCTTTTTCTTTACTTTCTAGAAGTTCGGTCAAACAGTCATCAGCTCCACCACTGTAATCCTCTACGGCCCACCCGCTAAATCCCCTTTTTATTATCATTGAGATTTTAAAAATCGAACATAATTATCACTGGGGTTTACTTTTTTACTTTTTAAAAGTCCAGCCAATCGTCCCTCATCTTATTTGTCATTGGATTTCTATTTGAGATTTTGTTTATAGTTTTTATAGGTCTCATCATGCATCATCACCCTACTCCTTTATTAACTTATTGTTTTTCCCTCTTTATTATCATTTATCATTGTTGCGTTTTATATGGACCTTTTTTTTAAAAAAAAAAATCATATTTTTCATTCCGATGTTTTGTTATTTATAAATTTTATTCATACTTGCACTCTTATATAATTATTTTATATTTTCAAAATTTATTTTATTTTTATTTCGATTTTTAATTTATCTCATGATGGGTTCTAGATGATATTTTCTTTCAACAATCTTTTCTTTAATTTCGAATTTTTGTTGTTTATAAATTATATTCCTAGACTAGATGTACTCTTCTTTTTCTTTTTTTAATTGTGAAATTTATTTTTTTTCTATTAATCTCATACTGTGTCTATATGAATTATTCTTCTAATACTTCTTATTTTTTATTTCTAATTTCAGTTGTTTGCAAAATGTATTTTTACTTGAACTCTTATATTTGATTTTTCTAGTTTCTAAATTTATTTTATTTTTTATTACGGATTTTAATTAATCTTTAATTGTGTTCTACATGAACTCTTCTATGAATTTTTTATTGTGTTATTATTTCAGAATCAAATAAAAAATCCGTGCACATGCCATCATGCTTTTCTGGTTGCTGACGTGCATCACCCAAATCCGGCTCATTGTGCAGCCGCACGGCTTGACCCGCTGCCAGCATCTATCTCCGTATCAACAAAAACACATCCAAATTACGGTTGTACAGTGGTTCGTTGCCTGCTGCTTCATTTATATATGTGTATTATAGCCTAATTCAAATTGGTTTAGGAAATCGGACAAAACTCTTTTGAGTCCGTTTGCATGTAAAGGTTCTAGCTAGAGATTGATTCTAATTCTACACGTGTACGGTACTCCGTATCCCTTAATTAACATGTCAAGTTTGTGTTAAATCTCAGACATTAAAATCTATGCCTCTTATAATCCAATGGTGTAAATAATTCATATTTTTTTCGATTAATGTAGGAATTTCTAGCCTCCACGGTGAACGTGGTGTCTTCTTTTCGAGCTGTCTTAATAATATAATAGATAGATGAAAAAAGTAATACGCCATAATCTTATTAATAAATAACACGCAAAGCTAAATAATCATGCATCACGCGCAGAAAACATTCCACCACACCGGCCTGCGGCAAATACGCACACCATTCTACTCAAGCTTTCTAATTAGCTTATTGTGCAGTCATCTTTTGGAATAAACTGGCCCAAGTAACAACAGCTAACACATATATTTTGTCGTAAACCTTGTCAAAAATACGGAAATATGCAATCCTCCATGTCTTCTTGAAGAGTATGATGCAAAACACCACCCATAGGCCAGCAATGAATCCTGACACAAGGCCAAGATAAAAGAACATTGGCTCAGGTACATGTCCAGCTTTGTTGTTGTTGGTGTAAATATGTATTGTACTAAGGACCTATCTGTAAAGTGTTATGCTAATAGAATAGATAAGGAAGGGGTGAGCTGAGTAGGCTAACCCTAGAAAAATTCCCCAAATTGAACAATATGGTATCAGAGCGGGTCAACGGCGACTGGGGAGGTTGAACCCTAGCTGGCGAGGTCGCAGCGGCGCGGGCCGAGGCGAGGTTGGCGCGGCGCGACGACGCACGCGCGAGGCCAGCGTGGCCGCACGCGGTGGAGACGGTTGGTGGCCGCGGCAGGAAGCGGCGCTGTGCCGGCGCAGGACGGCAGCGCTGCTAAGGCAGGACGTGGAGTGAGGAAGCGACGGTGTCGACGGCAGGGAGCACCAACGGCGACGACGCGTGCGGAGGGCTAGCTGGTGACGGCGTGTGGCAGAGGAGCAGGTTGTTGCTGCTGCTGGTGAGGTGTTGGTGCTGCTGCTACTTGAGAAGGTGAAGTGGGCGCTTGGCTTGCTGTTGCTACTGTATTTGCTGCTGCTGTGCTGATTTGGGGAAGAAACTGAGTACTTGCTGCTGTGCTGAAAACTGAGAAGTAGTGCTATTGCTGCTGTTCTGTTTTGGTGAGAAACTGAGGAGTAGTGTTGTTGCTCCTATTAGTTGATTTGGCTAATATTTGATCTGCCATGGGGGATTGAAGTCTGGTCCTTGTTGTATCTCTGTTAATGTGGTAAAGAAGAAGCTAAGGGAAGAAAAAAAAAATGTCTTCTGGGGAGGGAAAGGAGGTTGTGGATACTTTCTTGCTTGTTACTAAAGGTGATATGAAAGGTTTGCTAGAAGATTTGCTGAAGATGGGCATGATAGGTCCTAGGAATGCGGCTGGAGTGTCTGAAGTGAAACTAGAATTGATGCCAAATGAGTTGAGGTTGGAGGGGAGCAAAAATTATTTGAGTTGGTGTAGGAGAGCCCAACTGATGTTGAGAGCAAAAGGGGTGGATCATTTTTTACTAGAGAGTTGTGAAGAACCTTCTGATAAGGAGAGCCAAGCATGGAGGACGTGGAATACTACAAATTCCACTGTGGTATCTTGGTTGATGAACCGGTGGCTCCTTCTATTGGCAGGATGATAGAAGCTATCCAGAATGCTGCAGTTGTATGGAAGACGCTGAGCAACATGTATTCAGGAGAGGGAAATGTAATGATGATGGTTGAGGCTCAGAACAAAGTGGAGAATTTGAAGCAAGAGAGGAGAACAGTCAAAGAGTACGCTAGCGAGCTGCAACAGTTATGGGCAAATCTTGACCACTATGATCCCTTACAATTGAAACATGAGGATGACATTGTGATTGGAAATAAATGGCTGCAGAGGCGAAGAGTCATTCATTTCTTGAAGGGGTTGAACAAGGAGTTTGAGGATAGGAGTGTCACGCCCGGAAATTCACTAGTAATTTCCGAACTTATTTGTGCATAAAATCCTCGTCCAGGAATCAGCCGAGGTACACAAACTGACAATTTAATATACAGATTCATCAAATTAACTAAAACGATAAATACTTACTTATGAGGCACTTAGTCCTCATCAAGAAGAAAACTGCAGCGGAAAAATAAAATCTAGCGAAGCTCCGGCTCCACTCCCACAGGCAGCTCAACTGGGGTATAAGCCAAACGTCTTCTCCTTTTGGATCCTTTTTCTTCAACTGAGGTTGATTGATTATTGCAAGGTGAGCATATGACATACTCAGCAAGCCACACAGCAAATATGCAAGTGCACAAGGATACCAAAGGATGGCATAATATAGGCTCATTTGCAAAAGCAGCATTTAGCAAAACATTTAAGAGAAGTAAAACAGTGGAGTAATTAATCAGGAATTTTAATCAACACTGAACAGCACACCCATGCTGCACAGGCCCAACCATTCTGAACAACCATACCCGGCTGAACAGATCTAACTCCAAACCAGGAGCTAAGCAAATTATTACCAGTTATAGCATCAATAATTATTGTGAGAGGTGTGAGACTAATCACGAAAAACATTGCTCAACTCGCCCATAACCGCGGGCACGGCTATTCGAATAGTTTTACTCTGGCCAGAGGTGTACCACTGTACCCACAAGACACAGCCCCACATCATGTCACCATGTGCCTCAGTACCACCACGGTACCTCGGAAAGGGGCTGTGACAGTACCCCTTGCATAACACAATCCACCGCAGCGCACCATTCCTGGATCATAATCACCCCCTTATAAAACAAGGCATGGACTCCCCAGCGACCCCCGTGGGCTTATCTCCGCCACTTCTCAGTCTGGTGCTCCGCAATGAACCATGCTATACAAAAGGTAAAGCCGTTGCCCACGCTGGCTTGTGGTTGGCACGATTAATGTTTCACAATAGTAGCTCGCGAACCGGTCCTTAATTGTCATGAGCACGACTCTCAAAACCATGTGCTCACAACCCACCATTATCAAGTTTTAGTTGACAAGTAATTAATTAACCAATCACGATTGACCATCGTGAGCTACCATTAAATATAACCATAAGTGATAGTGAAACATTAGTTATCCCAATTGTGTGCTAATGTTTCTAAGCATGGCTAAGCAATCACATCTAATATCTAGCTGAACCAATATATAAAGCTCAACTAGTCAAGTTATAATCACCCAAGGTATCAAGGAATAAAGTAATCAATGCAAACAGGCCATAACAAAGGAATAGGTTCACACCACCCAGTGACATTCGAAAATAAATGCACAGTTGAAATAAATAGAGAATTTAAATATAGGATCAACATGCTCAAAGGAATTGTGTTTAGGATCTGTGTGACTTGCCTTGCAATAATCGGTCTTCAATTAATCTTCTTGAATACTTCCGGCGCACTCGCGAACCTTCGCAACAACGGAAACGACAAGCTAACACGCAAAACGAGGAAAAAGACTAATAAAAACCAAATAAACAATACATAAAAAGTAAACAAACATGTAGATCATAATTTTAGATGAATTATGAGACTTGAACGGCCTCATTCTGACTTCAAATGAATTTATTATGAATTTTACAAGATTAAATCTATTTAAAGCCCATTTAAAAAGAATTAAATGAATTTAATTCAATTTGTGGACAATTTTAATATGTAGATCTTTATTTTACACAACTTTTGCAACTTGAACCACATTAAACTGAGTTAAGATGAATTAGATATGAATTTTTAAAGATTAAATCGGATTAAAACACTTATATGGATTTTAATTGAATTATGACGCAATAATGAATTATTTTTGAAAAGGAAAAGGAGGATTATTGCGCCAGCGGCTAGGGTTTCGGTGGACCGGGCGCACGGGCGACGGTTCACGGGAACGGACGGCCGAGATCGACTTGATCCAATGCGGACGGCCGAGATCGATCGGTCCACGACCGGCTCACGGTGAACGGCTCCGATGACGTCAGCGATGACGTCAGCACCAGCGGCGACTCGGGCGGCTTGGGCGCGCATGCTCGCCGGCGAACGGCGGCACGGCGACGCGAACGGAGAGCACCAGGACGTAGAGGACGACGCGGCGAACTCACCGGTGACCAAAACGTCGGCGGAAGACCAACGGACGGCGGCGGCGACGAGGAGGAAGCGGCGAAGCTCTTCGGGTCGACGACGGCGACGGCGCTCCGGCGGTCTTCGGCGGCGGCGAAGCGGTGGACGGGGACGGCGACGACGTTGCGAACCCGATGGCGGTCTTCCCGAGCGACGGCGACGTCTGGAACGGCGGCGGCGCACGGCTGGAGCGACGGCGGCGACGGCGGCGCTAGGGCACACGGCGCTAGGGCGATACGGACGACGAGAGGCGAAGGCGAGAGAGGCGGCGGGTAGAGGAGAGCTCGGGGGTCCTTATATAGGTGCAAGGAGGCGGCGGCGAAGGCCCACGACTGCCGGCGACGGAAAGGAAAGATCGGGTTCGGGAGAGAGAGAGGAATCCGATTCAAACTCGAATCCACCGGTTTCCAAAGAAAATTAGCCGATGTTTCCAAAAGAGAAAAGGAAGAGGAGATCTCAAGGATCATTTGCCCTCAAACAATTCGGCCGGAGAAGGAAAGGCGCGGCCGAATTTGGAAGGAGAAGGCGGCGGCGGCGCGCTAGGGTTTGCGGGCGGCGGCGGCCGAAGGAGAACGACGAACCTGACAAGCGGGGCCCACCTGTCAGCGGCAGAGAGAGAGTGGAGAGCGGCGGCTCGGCGGACTGGGCCGGCTGGGCCGAGGGAAAGAGAGAGAGAAGGGTTTTGGGCCGGCTTTCGGCCCAAAGCCAAAAGAAGACTTTTAAAACCTTTTTTTCAATTTAAATTATTTCTTAAATGCAATTCCATTTATTAAAAATACTTCCTTAGCTCAAATAAATCCCAGAAAAATCTAGGAATTATAGAATTAAGCAAAGTATTTAACAAAATTTTATCTAGCCCAATTTTATGTTGAGATTTAGCAAATTAAAATTAGATCTTCTCTTTTAAGCTTTTAAAATCATTTCTAATAATTCCTTTTAAACAACAATTTATAATTTAAGGATTTTAAACAAGAAAAGCTCTTAACAAATATAATTAGATCATCAATGATCAAATAATTACTGAACTGTTCTTTGTATTATTTAAGAATTGAGCTCTGAAAAATCCGAGAAAATTTCAGAGAGTTGACTTAACCATGGAGAATTTAATAAAAATTAAATCCATCCATGCTTTATATTTAGGAAATTTTATTTCCCACATTTAACTTCACTTGTAACTTAAAGAACATTTAATATAAATTCTATTAATAATTTATTAAATAATTTATAAATCCTGAAACAAAAAATCAGGATGTGACAAGGAGAGCAGCTATGTTCCACCAAGCTACATTGCCCACTATGGAAGAGGCCATTTCAGCAATGGTGCAGGAAGAGATGAGATTGAGGTTGATGAGAGGTACAAATTCTATAAGATCAGCATACATTGCAGCTGATAATAGGGAATGCTACAATTGTGGGCAAGTGGGTCATGTGAGCTACAATTGTCCCACTTCCCGGAACATTGGTGGTAGGGGATCGATTCGAGGAGGGCATGGTGGAACTCGTGGTGGATTTGGAGGAGACCGTGGTGGTTTTGGGGGAAATCGTGGTGGTAGAGGAGGTGATCGTGGAGGTCGTGTTGGAGGTCGTGGTAGGGGCAGAGGTGTTCCTCAGGCCAATGCAGCTACGGAGGATGGGAAAGCTGTTACCCTAATAGGTGAACAAGTGACACAATGGGAGGAATGGTAGAAGAACAAGACCAATGAGAGCTCTAACACCACCACTCACTTTGGTAACTTCGCCAACTACGCCCAAGTGGGCGAAGGTACTCAGGCACAGGCACTTGCATCTACATAGACATCCTATAGATTGGATCATAGACTCAGGAGCATCAAAGCATGTCACAGGATTGCATAATACTTTCACATCATACACTCCTTATATCCACTCTGAAACTATCCAAATCGCTGATGGTACATCCAAGCCTATTCATGGTATAGGGTCGGTAGAGTGCACATCATCAATGAACTTGTCTTCTGTTCTGCATGTTCCTTCCTTTCCAGTTAACATTCTCTCAGTTAGCTCGGCTATTGATCAACTCAAGTGCATTGTTGTATTTGATGAGAATTCTTGTCTGTTCCAGGAGAAGGGGACTGGGAGGAGGATTGGGACTGGAGTCAGGCGTGATGGGTTGTGGTACATCAATCATGAGGAACTGGGACTAGCTGCGGTGGTTGGAGATGTTGAGAAGGAGATCAGTTTGCTTCACTGTCAGTTAGGACATCCATCTTTTGAGATTTTGAGTAAGTTGTATCCAGACCTCTTTAGTAGAGTGGATAAGCATAGATTGGTGTGTGATGCTTGTGAGCTTGGCAAACATACTCGCTCTACATATGTTGGAATTGGTCTTCGTAACTGTGAGCCCTTCATATTAATACATTCTGATGTTTGGGAACCATGCCCAGTTACTTCTGTGAGTGGTTTCAAGTGGTTTGTCACCTTTATTGATTGTCACACTCGTATGACTTGGATTTATATGCTTAAACACAAAAGTGAGGTCCTTCGTTGCTTTCAAGACTTTCATAAATTAGTGACAACTCAGTTTGATGCAAAAGTTAAGATTATTCGGACTGATAATGGAACAGAATATATCAATAATGAATTTGTGTCATATGTCTCAGATGAGGGGATTATTCACCAGACTACTTGTCCTGGCACCCCTCCTCAAAATGGTGTAGCTGAGAGAAAGAATCGGCATTTGCTAGAAGTGGCAAGATCTCTGATGTTCCAGATGAATGTACCAAAGTATCTATGGAGTGAGGCTGTGATGACAGCAGCATATCTTATCAATCGCATGCCTTCTAGAATACTTGGTATGAAGTCTCCTGCCGAACTGTTATTGGGTAAGCGAGAGTTCAAGGTTCCTCCAAAGGTGTTTGGCTGTGTTTGTTTTGTGCGAGATCACCGACCTTCTGTTGGCAAGTTAGATCCTCATGCAGTAAAGTGTGTGTTTGTTGGCTATGCTTCGAGTCAGAAGGGGTATAAATGTTGGGATCCCATTGAGAGAAGACTGTTTGTGAGTATGGATGTGACATTTCGTGAGTTTGAGCCCTATTATAAAAGTAAAGGAGATCTTGACCAATTTCTTGAGGAATTCTCGACTGTCATGGAGGTTGATAGTCGAGAGGGGGAGAGAGAGAGAGAGGTGACATACATGAAAAAAATGTTGGTGACAAGAATGGAGAGGCAGTAGTGATTGGATCAATACCATGCTCTATTGATGATGCGAGTAAAGAAGTAGTGGAAGTCATTGAAGATACACAAGATGAGGATAGAGAAATGGTCCCTCATGAAGAGGATGGAGAAGAAGGAGAAGTAGTTGTTGGGACAATTCCATGTCCTATGGAGGGAGCCGAAAGGGTGAAACAAAAGGATGTGCTAGTTTACCAAAGGAGGCGGTTTGATAGTCAGGGGGAGAAAAGAAAAGGGTTAGTGCAAAGTCAAATTGAAGAGTTACCACACCCAAAATGTCCAGTCTCTGAATCCTCCCAGAGTCTCTCTCCTCCAGCCTCCTTGGCTTCTCTTGAGACAATTGGTAATACTTCTCCAACTCTTGAACATGTAGAATTACCTCTTGCACAACGTAGAGAGACTAGATCTAATGCTAGTAGACCTCCTATACGTCTTGGTTTTGAGCATCTTAGTTCTATGCATGACATTGCAAACTATATCACATATTCTCATGTTTCACCAGCATACAAAACATTTATTGCATCATTACAGACAGTGCCTATACCAAAGGATTGGAAGTGTGCAAAGCAGGATCCAAAGTGGAAAGATGCAATGAAAGAAGAGTTGAATGCCCTTGTGAAGAATAAGACTTGGGAGCTTGTAAAACTTCCACCAGAAAAAAGGACAGTGGGATGTAAGTGGGTCTTTACAGTGAAGCAAACCCCTGAAGGGAAGGTGGATAGGTATAAAGCAAGGTTAGTTGCAAAAGGCTACAGTCAAACATATGGAATTGACTATGATGAGATATTTGCACCAGTGGCAAAAATGGGTACAGTGAGAGGTTTGGTATCTTGTGCGGTGAACTTTGGGTGGCCCCTTCATCAGCTTGATGTGAAAAATGCATTTCTCCATGGTGATTTACATGAGGAGGTCTACATGGAGATCCCTCCAGGATTTGGGAATAGCCAGACAGTTGGAAAAGTATGTAAACTCAAGAAATCCTTGTATGGGTTGAAGCAGTCTCCACGTGCATGGTTTGATAGGTTCAGGCATGCAGTGTGTGATATGGGGTATTCTCAGTGTAATGGAGATCACACTATCTTTTACAAACATAGGGGGACACACATCACCATCTTGGCTGTGTATGTTGATGATATAGTGATCACTGGTGATGATGTAGAAGAAATCAGGTGTCTAAAGGAAAGGCTGGGAAAGGCATTTGAGGTGAAGGATCTTGGTCCTCTTCGCTACTTCCTTGGAATTGAAATTGCTCGTTCATCAAAGGGGATTGTTCTCTCTCAGAGGAAGTATGTTTTGGATCTGTTGACAGATATAGGAATGCTTGGGTGTCGTGCAAGTACTACGCCTATTGATAGGAATCACCAATTGTGTGCTCAATCAGGTGATCCCGTTGATAAGGAAGCATACCAAAGACTGGTGGGACGCTTGATCTATCTTTGCCATACAAGACCTGATATTTCCTATGCGGTTAGTGTTGTGAGTAGGTATATGCATGATCCTCGAACTGGTCACTTGGATGTTGTTCATAAGATTCTCAGATATCTGAAAGGGACTCCTGGAAAGGGATTGTGGTTTAGGAAGAATGGGCATCTAAATGTGGAAGGATATTGTGATGCTGATTGGGCGAGTAGTATGGATGATAGAAGATCTACATCAGGTTATTGTGTGTTTGTTGGTGGTAATCTTGTTTCTTGGCGAAGCAAGAAGCAGGCAGTGGTGGCTCGGTCTACCGCAGAAGCAGAATACAGAGCTATGGCTTTGAGCTTGAGTGAGATGTTGTGGATGAGGAGCTTGTTGACTGAATTGCGAGTGCTAAGAAGTGACACTGTGATGCTTCATTGTGACAATAAATCAGCCATCAGCATTGCAAACAACCCTGTTCAGCATGATCGCACTAAACATGTGGAGATTGATAGGTTCTTCATTAAGGAGAAGATTGATAGCGGGGTGATTAGGTTGGAGTATATTAAGTCATGTGAACAACTAGCTGATTGTCTAACAAAGGGGTTAGGTCCTAGTGAGATTCAATCAATATGTAACAAGATGGGTATGATTGATATCTTTTGCCCATCTTGAGGAGGAGTGTTGGTGTAAATATGTGTTGTACTAAGGACCTATCTGTAAAGTGTTATGCTAATAGAATAGATGAGGAAGGGGTGAGCTGAGTAGGCTAACCCTAGAAAAATTCCCCAAATTGAACAATAGTTGTCATCACCATAGCCATGTTGCCTTGGTTCAATATCTCCCGAGCAGTTCCTTCGAAGAGGAGGCCCACATAGACCATTGTTGCCATTATACATATCAGGATGTTCCATGTATAGGGTGCCAAGTTGTGATCCGGAGGGTATTGTTCCTGATAGATTGTTGTACGACAGATCCAAATTGCTCAAATATGATAAATTTGATAGGGTAGATGGGATCTCTCCAGAAAGATTGTTCCTTGAGAGCTCGAGCGATTCCAGTGACTGCAATGATCCAATCTTGTATGGAATTTTTCCATTCAAGTTATTCCTTGACAAATTCAGATTTTTCAAAGCAGCAAGAGAAGCTATTTGTTCGGGAATTCCACCAATTAAGCAGTTTGATGACAAGCCATCTTCAGGTACGGAACCTGAAGCATTGTAGCCGTCCTCTCGCTTCATCCCCTCTAATTTTGTGAAACTCCGCGGTAAGTTACCTGATAAACTGTTGGCTGCTAGGTCCAACTGGCGAAGATTCGGAAGATTTGTGATATTGTCTGGAATAACCCCAGAAAAAGCATTATAGCTTAGTCGTAACAACACTAAATCCTTCTTGTCTCCTATCCACTTCGGTAATTTGCTGGAGAAATTGTTCCTTGATAGATCTATGATTTGTAGCTGTATGCAGCCTTCTAGAAAAGCTGGGAATGTGCCAGCGAATCTGTTGTTACTTAAAAGAAGAACTTTTATGTTTTTCATGCTAAAACATTGCTGAGGGAAGTCTCCTTCAAAAAGATTGTTTGCTAAGTCTATGGTGTCCAGGTATTGCATTTTGCAGAAAGACCCTGGAATATGGCCTGACAAATGGTTGTGGGAAAGAATTAGCATGTATATATTAACTCCAAATTCTGATGGTAGCGGTCCAGATAGGGAGTTATTGTGAATATCCAATGCTGAAAGGTTTCTCGGCAACAGAGGTATTTGACCACTTAGTTTGTTTGAACGTATATCAAGATATTCCATAGCCATGGTTTCCATATTTGCTGGAAAGACACCACTGATTTGGTTGTTAGACATGACCAAGTCTTTTACTTTTGAAACTGTTGTCCAAAACCAGACTGGAAGTTTATCGATTATACCAGCTTTTGAAATATCAATGTACGAAATATTAACTGACCACTGGAGCCAAAGAGGGAAATCGAGGACCCATCTGGCAAGATGCAAAACGTGCTTCTTCTAATGTAAATGGTGCTAACCATCCAGGATCCACCACAATCTTCAATAATTGATTGTCAGATAAATCTATGTATTTTAAACTCTTTAGGCTAACAAAGTGTTCTTCTGTGATGACACCTTCTAGGTTATTGCCACGTAGGTTCAAATAAGTCAAACTATCGAGCATACCTATCTCAACGGGTAGAGGTCCAGTGATTAGGTTGATAGACATGTCGAGAGTGACAAGGTTGGGAAACTGTCGGAACAACCCTGCTGGTAGAGATCCATTGATGTTATTGTATGACATTTTCAATTCCGATAACTTACTCGATGAACATTGTGGTAGACTCCCAAACAACTCTGTCATGTTCCCTCCCGAAAGACTCTCATCAAGGTCTAGAACTTCCAAATTACATAGGTTCCTCAGCAAGTTTGGTGCCATACTGCCCAAATCGTTATTTGAAATTCTAAGGACTCTGAGGGACGTCATGTCTCCTAGTGCAATTGGTAGCTGATCATACAAACGGTTTTGTGAAAGATCGAGGAACTTGAGGATTGTTAAGTTCCAGAACCAACAAGATGCATACGGGTGGTCAAAGTAATTCATGGACAGATCGAGCTTCTCAAGTTTTGTGAGGTTGAAGTGTGTGAGTGATTGGTTTGCCCTCTGGAGACGGCAAAATGATAAACTGAGGACTCTTAAGGATGGGATCATGTTCATGACGTAAGGCCAATCAGATGCAGCGCTAAGATCTATGTAAGTTAAATTGAGGAATTTTAACGATCCTAGACGCGGCAACCATGATATATCTGTTAAGTGCACACCTCCCTCCATATCGGAAAGGTCAAGATATCGCAAATTTGAAAGATTACCGAGTTGAGGAGGCACCGTACCGGTGAATGGTATGCTCGAGAGATTCAGATATCTCAAGCTGTTCATAGAGCCCAAGAACTTGGGGATTTGACCACTTGGCCCTTCCAGGGAATTGATGCTGAGATCAAGGTGTTCAATATGGTCCAAGTGGAGCAGCTGAGGGCTTATCTCTCCAACCAAACCAACCAACTCGAAACGGTCAAGGTCATATCCGCCATTGAGGTGAAGCCTGAGGACGTGGCCGGTGAGGTTGCTACAGGTGACGCCTCTCCACCGGCAGCAGTCATGATCGTCTTCCTTCCATGAGGTGAGGAGGCCTAAGGGGTCGCTGGTGATGCCTCGCTTGAAGGCCAACAGGGCATCCCATTCCCGTGGCACGCAGGCGGTCGTTGCCTGCAGGGGTAAAGTGCTGGCAGCTAGGAGGAGAAGGCTGCCGAGGAGGAGCAATGGCTTACTGGTGGGATTCATGTTCATCGGGGCACACGTAGAGATACTACTTGTGGAGTAATAGACTAATAGTGGACGACAGCATCGGCGGTCTGTATGTGCACGGCCAACCCTCCTTAGCTCAATTTATACTTACGAATGACCAGAATGACCTTAGCAACTCTTTATAGCTTAATTAGGAATGACCTTACATACTTTGCTTGGAATAAAAGAAAATATTATTATAATATTACCAGAAATAAACAAAAATATACTTTTAATTAAATATGTTAGCCATCTTTTGTTATAAGGAATATTTAATTTGATTTGATTTGATTTGATTTTATATGTCATTATCTATTTAGATTTGAATTTTTTAATATTAAGAAATTAAGGGATAATTTTCTAAACTACAATTATAGTAAGTGGGGAGACAGATTTACTAACATCATCACTATCTTTTTTGAAGTAGTATATAAATAATCAAGCACTGTCGTTTTAGATTACATATGTAGATTTTTGTGCGGATTATTTATGCCATGTTTTCAAAAGTATGATTTCTTTAAAAATTTTGGATATCAACGTTTCTTAGGTAACTTGTGTTTGAACTAGTTGTTAGTTTTATAACATATAGGCCCCGTTTGCGGCGGCGCGAGCGTGGGGGCGCGGGCTCCGGGTCGCGCATGGGCTGGGCGGCTGGCGGCGGTGTGGCTCTGCCTCCGTGATCGGCTGCTCGCGTCGCGGCGTCCTCGCTATGGGCTATGGCCCGGGGCTACGGGCTAGGGCGATGAGGAGAGAGACAGAGAGAGTTGTGTCGATCGATTCGATACACGCACGTCGCGACTCACGTGTGGGACCTGTGAGCCATAGTTAGGGCGTCGGGAGTCGGGAAGGGGGATTATATCGCTTTTTTTTCTTTTCAATAGTCGCTATTTTTTTTAATAGTGAGTCGATCGCCCTTTTTTCAGGTGGTCCCGGGACCACTGTATCCACCGTTGCCCGTTTCGAGCTCCCAACTCTAACTTACTTCGAGCCAGAGCTGTGCCAATTGCCAAACGGTACAGATCCTCGTCTTTTGGAGTAGATCTAGCAGAGCTACCCCTAGAAAATGAACTACAGGGGTGGAGTTGGAGTTTTGCTGCTCCATTGCTTCACTCCATCCCAAAAGACCCACTACCCTTTAATCTTTTAAGTCTATTTACACAAAAATACCACTCAACTACCCTTCACTCCTCTCCTGTTCTCTCTCCTCCCCATCTTCCTCCTGATCCCAACCGAGCTGCGGGGGTGGCGGCGGCGGCGGGCGGCGTGCACCTGGGGATGTCGCGCGGCCGGCGGATCGACGCGAGCACGCGCGGAGACGACGGGCGGCGTGCCTGGGGACGGCAAGCGGCCGGCGGGTTGGCGGCGCGCCTGGGGCCGACGGCTGTTTTTTTTCTTTTTTTTTTCCAGATCTAGAGCTAAAACGTAGCCAAACATTTTTCAACAAATTTTCATCTCTAATAGGAGCTAGCTATCACTGAAGTTAGAGTTTAGAGCTCAAAGTTAGATTTTGGAGCCCTACCAAATAGGGCCTTAGTATGTAATTACATTCATCAATTTTAAATAACGCAACCTATGACCATAGTCAAAGTCGATCGGATGTGGTCAGCTGTTTGGTTTTTTTTTTTGAAAGATCCAAGTCGTCGGCTGGTTTAATTAGATGACCCTAGCTAGCGTGTGACTGATAAGATAACGAAGGCGTCGCCCCGTCGTATGCATTGCACCGAATTGAATGGCACGTCCAAGTTGGCGTACATACGATTGTCGCAGTTGGGCGTTGACTTGACTATCAGTATAGACCTCACAACTCGGTTCTTTAAATTAGGGTGCGTTTAGTTTTTATAGGTGTCACATCGAACGTTCGACGGAATATCACTTGGATATGAATGGGTTTTTTTATATGAATGAAAAAACTAATTTAATAACTCGTCTGGAAACCATGAGACGAATTATCAAGCCTAATTAATCAATCATTAGCACATGCGGGTTACTGTAGCACTTATGGCTAATCATGGACTAATTAGGCTCAAAATATTCGTCTCGCGATTTCCATACAAACTTAAAATCCAGCCTTTGCTTTAATAGAAACTACGGACACTTATTAAACTTATTAAGAGTGTTCGTACATGCAGGAGAAAATAGAACCGATGAAACCGTGTTGTTGCAAGTGGAACAATTGGTGTCATGTTGCTCAACGACTTTTGCTTGCTATGTATGATTTCTGCTTCGATACTCCTGGAAATTACCAAATATTACTACTACAGAAAACTCATTGGTACCGGTTAGGAACCCCTTAGGTAACCGACACCCAGTAGGTGGGGCCGATAATTTCGGTCATCGGTTAAGAGATATAAGCAGGGGTGAAAACGGACGGGTACGGTTGAATCATGACATTCCCATATCCTAAACCATATTTTCCTTTAAATTCGGAGCCTGATACGGACTTATCATGTATCCTATCCCATATTGTTTCCTTTGAATTGGATTCAGGAATGGATATCTGCTTGTATCTCTAATTCATGGATATTAAATATAATAAGGCAATTAAAGTATTAAAAGAGATACATAAAGAGAAAAATTATACAATATTACATGTGAGCTCGTAAAATAGTGATTAATCTATCTTTTATCATGTTTGTAGCTTGATTTATAATAGATTTTCATACATGTTTTATAACATGGGACATACGGGGCGGATACACGTCTTCTCGTATCCTAACCCATATTTTCTAACGAATTTGGATTCGAACTCAGATAGTATCGAGTATCTCATTTTTTTCTCCCATATATATTCCTCCCGTGAGTCTTGGGTCCGATGGGTGGTCAGGCAATACCCGTGCCATTTTCACCCCTAGATATAGGTGCCGGTTTTCACCCAAGAACCGACACCTATATATGTATAATTATAGGTGCCGGTTCTAAAATAACTTGCCATGTGGCTGACCATATTGGTGCCGGTTCTTTACCAAAACCGGCACCTATAAGTAGCATATAGGTGCTGGTTTTTAACTGAACTGGACATGTGGCAATTAGTATATGTGCCGGCTTATATGTAAAAACCGGCACCTATATGTTGACAATAAAAAAAAGGGCAGGACCTTCCAATTTTATATACAAATCATACGATAACAGAATTTGCCTCGAATCACATTCATTCACATTCACACAAATTCATTCACATTATAGCCATATCCAAATTTACATCCCACAACCCCATCCACATCTACATCGACATCCACATTCACATATATATCAACACATAGAAATGTTAAAAAAGAGTAAATGCCTAAGTCAACAATTATAAGTCTAAACCTTCCTAGGTGTAAAATAACAAAGTCCAAAGCCATTCCTAAATCTAAAATTTGCATATCTTTAATACCGATTTCAAGGTCCAATCCCTGGCATCCCATTGGGCCACATGGCGCCCTAATATTTGGGTTTGAACCCCTCCTAAATCTGCCACGTGTCTATATTGAGAGAAGGTGGAGAACCTTGTGTAGTCTCCCGTGCAAACATTCATTTAAATTCTAGAGGATTCCAAACTTACTATCCCTTGCAATCTCTTCAAATTGAAATAAAAATAGACATCAAAGCATGAAAGAAGAAGTTCCCATTTGTCGTCTTCAATCGATCAAAACTAATAAAAAAATCAGTGTGAGTAGAAAAATGTAAAAAAGGAAGGGAAAAATCCTAGAGAAAGCACTCGATCTACCCGCCAACCCAGTGTCATATCTGTGGGTGATGCACTGCAACAACGCCGGAAGAGCTCTTGGCCCGGCGCGCCTCTGCCGTTGTTTGATGTTGATCTTGTCGCACCTGCCCACAGATGAGGTTGAGTGGATTCCATCATGAGGTGATGGCCTGATGCGGTGGCTATGTAAGATGCGGCTCCAATAGCTAGCCTGATGCTTGATCTGCACAACTAAGATAAACATTAAAATCATTGTCCAAATTATGCTAATCTTAGTGTGATATGTTTATCAGTAAATAAACATTCCTATATTTCTCAAAACATAAATATGAGAAATAACACCACAATTACCGTCGCTTGATTCATTCTTATTCCAGTTCATATATACTTAAAAAGTAATATGATAACTTAACATGATATTATTCATACATTCTAAATAAATAGATTATAATATCCGCGGGTTATATTAGTTGGCGTGCCAACGACGCGCCCATTTTCTAGTATATCCTAAGTCAAAGGTTACTAAATCTAAACATTCCTATATAGTTTATCCTCACTTAGCGTTATTTTTCTCTCCTCTCTCATTAAGTCGTCTAAGATGATTAATCTATGGTCCAAACTATCTCCCTCCTTTTTCTCTCTTAAAGCCGCATCACCTTACTTTTACATTTGAATTATCATTCTATACATTATTTAAATTTAAATTATCGTAAACCACATCAACTTATGTAAGTTTATATTGTCTAGCTATCTTACGCATTAGTTTTACTTAGTGTTATAGTAAACTCCTGCAGCAACACGCGGGGTTTCACCTAGTGATTGTGATACTGGTGGTTCTTTGTTGACGTTGTCCTCGCCAGCTGGGTCTATAATATGATTATGAATGAACCCACAGAGCTCATTTGGTGATACCTGTAAAGATGTGTCGAGACCCAATTTCCGCAACACAGGGGAGGAAGGCGTAAAACTTAGTATTAGAAAAACATTGTTTACTTTATGACTTGGTCCTGTGAAAAATAGCATACCTCATTATTAGGGTGCAGCCGTACAGGGACCCCATGACGTAGAAGCCGCAAAGGTTGGTGGCATGGTCCTGTGAAAAATAGCATACCTCATCATTAGGGTGCAGCCGTGCAGGGACCCCATGACGTAGAAGCCGCAAAGGTTGGTGGCAGGTGGCTGTCTATGGATCCATTGATGTTTGAATACCCGGCCAAAATGTTATTGCATCCACCTAGGATCTACGATATGATCTTCCGGACCAACGGTATCTCATATATGTCCTATTTAATAAATTGATAAGACACTGGTGGTGCGCTCTCTCCTTCCTTAGGGCAGTCCCAACCCATAGTGTCCATAAGTAGTGTTTATGGTGCCATGTCAATAAGACATCATAATAGAAACTATACTCTACAACCCATGGTTTCTTAAAGTGGGCCATTAATAAATACATCATCTCTCTTCTCTACCAATCATATTTATTCTTCATCTATTATGAAGACACTATTCTCTCCCAATGCGAAACTTGATAGTGTTTAGTGCATAAGTTCTTGTGTTGAAGCTGTGTCTTACATGAGACCCAGTTTCTTCCTCTCTTCACTCTCTCTCTTAATTAATATAGTGACACATAAGTAAAAATCCTACATGGCAATGTAGTTAATGCCATAGACACCATCCTAGGTGGAGGGTTGGGACTGCCCTTATACTGTCATATATGAAAATCTTACTATCGTCGATATTGATTACGATCAGGGTTCAATAATGGCTACACATAGGACAATGTATCAATAACTTTATACGCGTGGGGAGCAACTCAAATTTGAAATTAATGATATTCACTTATTGAGCAAGGTAAGGAAGGATGATGTGGTCACAGGAATTGAGCTTGATGAGGGCGTCCAAGTGATAGTTCTCGATTTCAGCTTCTTTGGACAATTGCCTATCGAAGTTCACAACCACTGGGTAAAGAAAAGCAATCTTAAGGTTTTTGCTTTGACATTCAAAAGAGCAATGCCTGCAAAAGAAGAACACGGTTCAAAATCACTAAGCCTAATTATAGGATATGAAGGACTTACATTGACCACATTTGGAGGACGCTGATGTCGAGCTCTCTTCTTTCATACACGCTGAAGAGTTCGTAACCTATCTTTAGTCTCGGTTGGTAACTAAAGATCGATCTTTACTTCCGGTTATTTCACCCGGGACTAGAGATAGTGATCTTTAGTCCCGGATTCGTAGTTCTGGTTGGAAAACCGGGACTAAAGGGATTACGAACCGGAAGTAAAAAACGTTTCTCCACCTGTGCTTAAATTCCAAATAACATGTATTGGGCGCGTGGTGAAAATCGATGTCAGTGTAGTACGCTCCAATCATTTGTTGACCCTGAGCAGCCGCCTCCAAATACCAATTATGCAGCCACCATGCTTGAGTTCCTAATTATCCAAGTTCCGATTCAAGCACCATGAGTTTTCCATGTTGGAACTGCAGTACCAATTCGGCCTCCTCAAGATTATCCAGATCGTCAAGGCTGTTTAGACTGGTTGACTTACAGAATGCAGCTGTCTCGTCCGCTTTCTCTGCAAGTTACAACTCCTTAGACTGAGTCTGCAGATCCTTGTTTTTGTAATAGTTCTTCGGAAGTCCGATATAGGTTTCTTGGGTGGCTAAGGTTGTGCACACTTTATGAAATGATCGATCACTTCCTTTGGAATTGGAATCTTTGATTCCTCGGGCTTCTTAGGGCTAAAAAGCAAAGTGATGCTGGCACTCACTGTCTTCTTAGACAGCCCCATTGTCGGCGTTGAGTCTATAAGGCTGGGTTTAGATGGTAAAATGATGGACATTGTTGACAACAAGCTGTGTCTGGGCATTGATCAGCATGATCCTGAGACAACCTATGATTTTTCAAGCAAGCAAAAGATCGATTGCCTGATTTCATTACTTAGATTAGGACTTTCTTGCTCCAGGAAATGCCATCGAGTAGATTATCAACTGGAGAGATCATTAAGGAACTGCATGGAATCAAGGAATCTCTATTGCTGGAAATAGAGGGTACAGAAAAGTGAAGACACTGCATTTTATTTTTCTGCTGGGATACTTTTATGTTCTAATAAATCTGTCATGGATATTCTTGAGCTCCCTCTTAAGTATCTGGAGCTGAGTCCTGTAGTGGTCATTCCAACCATTTGTATCCTATGATAACTGGATCACTGATGGTCCACTGAATAAATATTTCTGTTAAGTTTCTTTTGATGCAATTAATTTGGATCAAATCCAAATTGTTTACAGTGTGGCCAGTTGCAGTCATGCTTCTACAGTCTGGCATATACCTTTGATAATTTTATACAAGAGTACTAAGCAAAATGAGTATTCCCTTCATTTCTGGGTACAGTCTGCATGATACCAAACTACCAAACAAAGCTATACTTTAATTCGCATGATAATTTCGATGATTTTAGACTGAAGTTTTTGCTTATGGCATTTTCAGCCTTAAATTATATTTATACCCACTAACCAATCTATATTTATCATTTAGTTTCTTGTGACTTGTAGTTGTAGTAGTACTTCTGTTGGAGGTTGTAACTTGTACTAATGAACTCTTGTTGCCCAAAACCATTTCATGACAGATTGGAGGCATCGTTGGTTAATTAATTATAAGAGAAAAAGATTGCGCACTGAAATGTGGGACCAACTTGACAGTGGTCTTTTCGCTGTTTTTGTCGCACTGAAATGGCATGGAGGGTGAATACTTGAGCTCTAGCCTGCTCTGTTTCGTTTGTCTCAATTAGCTATGGTCTATTGGTTGAGGTAGGCCAATATGCCGTATAAATATAAATAATGCAACGAAAAACAATTCATGAGCTAAACTTTTATAAATAATGCAACGAAAAACAATTCATGCCGTGTTATCAGGTTTTAAAAGCCAAACCAAAATAAACTCTGAAGTTATTAAATGAAGTTTAAATTTCAAATTTTGGCGGACTACGACAAGCCAACAATCAGACACGTCATTCTGGCAGAGTTTGTTTGGCTTTTAAACCTTGAAGGGTGCTATTCGGTTTGGAGGAATTTCGCACGAACTTTAAGGTATTGAACGGTTTCATGTGAAAATCCTATAAAATTTTGGAGGAAACTGAAAACAGAGTGTTTTTTTTTCGAATACTTTTACTGTTTCACAACTTGTAAAACCCAGAGAAAGTATTTGGTGCTTAATCTATATATGTTGTCAAATTTTTTTTATTTTTATCAGGACTTTAGTCAGAAATGAGTATTTCAGATGTTGTCGGTCTGAAATACTCCCTCCATCTCAGATGAAAAAATAACAAGATGTTTGTCGTATCTTTTACCTACAGTCTAGTAGAGACCATAGTAAAATTTGTGTACTTTAAAAGGGAGTACAGCAATGTCTGCAATATTTTAAAAATTACCGCTGCATGGTATCTCCACATGATCATTCCAATGTTACATTGACATAACTTCCATCTTCAATCCTGTATTCTCTCAAGAGAGATTCTCGCATGGCATGCAGTTCATTGACAATATCCGTTGTCCGCATTCTGCTCAATGGCAATTCATGAGAGCAGGATACTCCAAGCCTAAGAAGTGAAATAAGGCAATCGATCTTTCTCTTGTATGAAGAATCCTGCAATGCGCATTCATTTTCCAGCTCCAAAGTTAACTGGCTATCAACAATGTCCATCGTCTCGCCATGGAGAGCTTGCTCGACATATTCACGAAGGCTCAACCCTTGTCTGAATCTGTTATCAGTAGGCCTCTTCCCAGTCACTGTCTCTAATACAAGTATTCCATAGCTATAAATATCCCCATTTGTGGATACTATGTTTCCAGCTCCATACTCTGTTCCATTTAACATTGAAAGAACATCAGGCCTGCTACTTGTTATGAAATTTAAAATTAAGTGATATAAAGAAAAAAACTAGGAGAGAAATCACATGAAAGTAAAATAATATATCTTCTGAAAATTCACCATGAATTTGTCTATAGCCAAGCTTTATCTGAGCAAAGATGGTCTCCATGTAAAGTCATAAAGCAAAGATAATTACCTGGAGCAGCATAACCAATTGTCCCTCTGAATCCCATTGAGCTTGTTGAGTGTTGGAGAGATGAGCTTCCCTCAGCAAGAATCTTAGCTAGGCCAAAGTCTCCCACATGGGCAACCATGTCAGAATCCAAGAGCACATTACTTGATTTAATATCACAGTGCACAACAGGAGCAGGACCACGACAGTGAAGATAATCCAGTGCATAAGCCACATCGAGTAGAATAGTCACTCTCTGGACAAGACCCAAGTATTTCATTTCAGTTTGGTCAACTGGTTTAGGATGCAGCCAATCTTCTAAACTACCATTAGGCATGAAGTCAAAAACGATTGCTTTGAAGTCATACCCTCTGGTATCAATGCTTGAGCAGGCTGTAATAACCTTGACTAGGTTCCGGTGTCGCAGATTTTTGAGTGCTTCGCATTCTGCGACGAAGCTCTTGTGTGCTCCTGGAGTTTGAAGTTTCAGTACCTTCACAGCAATATATTCTGCACTTTCATCAGTTTGACCATCTATTTTTCCTTTGTACACAGAGCCAAATGTCCCAGAACCCAACAAATTGGTTGCAGAGAATCCCTCTGTTGCTTTAGCCAACTGCGAAAAAGATATCGAACGATGCGCTTGCATTGAGGTTTCTGAAGAGTTTTTGGTGTTATTTTTCTTCCGCCGATTAAGATACTTGTAGAGCAACAGAAGAATGCCTAGTATTGCAACAGCAGAAATGGTGACTATAAAAATTACTAGAAATTTATGTTTCTTCTCTGGTAAACCTGAAGAACATGGACGCAAGTGCAGAGTAGGTATTCCACCACATAGTTTATCATTGCCTTGGATTAAGAATGCTGTGATGTTTGCGAAAACACCGAAATCTGGCACTTCACCGGAAAAGTTGTTGAATGAAAGATTCAGATAACTAAGCATGCTGATGTTCCCTAAGAATCTGGGTATTTGACCTGACAGCTTATTATTTGAGAGGTCAAGACTTTCTAGACCTTTTAGCTGGCCCAGGGCTGATGAAATAGTACCATTTAAGAAGTTATTTTGGAGGTAGACATTCTGGAGAAGTTGGCATTCCCCTAAGGAAGGAGGGATTTCACCTGATAATATGTTTGACTGTGCGTGGAATTCTTCAAGATTTATTAGATTCCCAATTTCCTGTGGTATTGACCCCTCCAAATTGTTGTGGGATATATCCAAAATTTTGGAGAGACTGAGTATGTTGAATAATCTCCTAGGAATTGCACCTGTAAAATTATTCCTAGCAAGGTTAAGTGCTGACAACTTTGTAAGGTTTGCAACAGTGCTTGGTATTTCACCGCTAAAGGCGTTTGCTTGGAGTTCTAAACTACTAAGTTTTGTAAGATTTCCAATGGCCAGTGGGACTGATCCACTAATCTTGTTCTTAGGAACTGATAGAAGATTCAGATTTTGAAGCCTACCCAAGGATGAAGGTAGGGTTCCTATGAAAGAGTTATCATCTAGTGTAAGAGATTGTAAGCCAATGAGATTACCAATATCTTTAGGTATGCGTCCTGATATTGTGTTGTATTGAAGGGAGAGAGTTTGTAATGAAGTGGAAAGATTGGAGAGTGAATCAGGAAGGACCCCACCAAACTTACTAGCTCCCAGTTCCAAGATTTTCAGCCGAGAGCAATTTGTTAATGCAGTGATGAATTCCCAGTCTCTAGGTTCTTTAGCTTCAAGCAAAGTGGCAAAGAGCAGGAACTGTTCCAGATTTTTTAACATTCCAAGCTCAGAAGGGACAGTGCCACTGAAAAAATTAAAACCAAGTTGAAGCATTCTCACATGTGAGACATTAACCAGAGAGGTAGGGAGACGGCCATGAAATCGGTTATTGTCCATTGATATCGTCCGGAGTTCAGGAAGTGCGGTGAATGCATCTGTTGGTACCACTCCAACCAAATTGTTTTGCTGAATATTAAGGCCCCAAAGAGATGAAGAAATGTTCCAAATGGATGAAGGGATGGTTCCACTCAAGTTGTTATTGGCTAGATTCAGCCATATCAAGCTGGATAACTTGCCCAAAGATGAAGGGATAGCTCCAGACAACATGTTGGTGTCGAGATCAAGATGCATGAGGCCGGAGAGGTTGCTGAGAGCAGTGGGTATCTCTCCTGATAACTTGTTACTGTACAGAAACAAAAACTCCAAGGATGGCAACTCGGCGAGCGACAGAGGGATCTCTCCAGAAAAGCCATTTTGTCTGAGGTCCAATATGTAAAGATTCACCATTCTGGCGCCAATTGTAGAAGGGATCTCACCTTGGAGCTGGTTGCTGGTCAGATTAAGAACCATGAGATTCGTGCAGTTACCCAGGGACAAAGGGAGAGTGCCTTGGAGAGCATTGGCGGCCAGGTTAACAGTCTCGAGCCTCCCTAGACGGCCAATCTCCGGCGGTATCTCGCCGGCGAGCTGGTTCCCGGCGAGGTCCAGCTCCCTGAGGAAGGACAGGTTGGCCAAGAACGGCGAGATGGCGCCGGACAGGTTGAAGGAGGCCATGCGCAGCGCGGCGACACGGCCCGGGTGGCGGCGGCTGCAGACGACGCCCGGCCAGCTGCAGTGATGGATGGAACTAGTACTATTCCATGAGGCCAGCGGCGAGCTGGATGGGCTCGAGAGCATGGACTTAATGGAGAGCAGCGCGAGCTCGTCGACGGTGGCCTTTGTTGCGTCGTTGCTGCTCACCGGAGAAGAAGGAGGAGGAGGAGGAGGAGACAAAGCCAGAGAGTGGGAACAGAGGCACACCAGCAAGAGGCAGATGAATGCTACTTCTCCAGCCATGTCGACCATGATCGAGCTTGTGCTGCAAGGCTAGCTTTGTATAATCTCTCAAATGATCAAACTATGTCGATAAATATAGAGGGAGCATGTATATATGCAGAATTGTACAAGGGAGTACATGGACATATCGGAGAAATGATATATAGGAAATTAGACTATCTGTTTAAGAGGAAAGTTCCTGTGTGCTGCCATGTTCTCACTCCATCTCTTTCCGGCATTTTTCTTTTTTACTATTTGCCACTCTCTTTTCTTCGAGAGCATATTCCCAAATACCATTTTACTAAGTGACTTAGGCCCGGTACTTTCCAAAAAATTTTTTCCCAAAAACGTCACATCGAATCTTTGAAGACATATATGAAACATTAGATATAGATAAAAAGAAAGACTAATTGCACAGTTTGCATAAAAATCGCGAGACGAATCTTTTGAGCCTAATTAGTTCATGATTAGCCATAAGTGCTACAGTAACCCACATGTGCTAATGATGAATTAATTAGGCTTAATAAATTTGTCTCGCGGTTTTCAGGCGAGTTATGAAATTAGTTTTTTTATTCGTGTCCGAAAATCTCTTCCGACATCCGGTCAAACGTCCGATGTGACATCCAAAAATTTTCTTTTCAGGTCGATCTGGACCGACTGGATTGTTTTTATTTTGCCATTCTTGGCTGTCAACTCAGCAATCTGGGTGAGAAATAACCTTAGTACCCGAGAGTGGATAGTAATCTCTTAAGGGAATATCCCATCAAGTATCTTTTTCTTCCAAATTCGATATAAATAGTTATAAAAAATCTTTAAAAATTTGACAATGCTAGAATAGTGATATATATCGGTTCATAAAAAATCAAGCTCCAATTCGATCTACACATCGAGAAACAAAAATAAAGACAAATTCAGATGTAAATAGTACGCTACTATTCATACGCTGAATTTATCCTTTTTTATATCTCGACGTGTGAGTTGAGTTTGGACCTATAAAATTTTATAGAGTTGTATAGATATGTTGTATGAGTGTTATCAAAATTTTCTAGGATTTTTCATAACCGTTTAAATGAGGTTTCTAAACAAACGATGGATATCCTCTCAAGGATCAAAATTTACCCCTCAACTTTCCCTCCCATCTATCTTCTTTGGTTCTTCCCTCCTTCGCTCCAAAGGTGGAGTTCGCGTTGCCACCAGGAGGGATGTGCTGGGAGTGGGAGCAGCAAGATGACACCCCGGCCGTCACCACTAACAATCAGAATCCTTGTAAAACCAAAATTGTGAATGTGAAAACTTCATTTACAAGAAACTACAAGGGAACATTTTAAAATTATTTTAATGAATTGCAACCAAACTTAAAATGAAATTTCAGAGGGCCATCTTTATTTCTCTATTTTTCCTCTCCATAGAAACTAAATTATATTTTTTCATCAACTTCAATCAAGTTTGAGGTGATTTACATATATAGAGAGAGGTGGAACCGCCATTTGAATTTTTGTCAAATTTAACTAAAATCCATTTTTAAAAAATAAGTTTTGGTTCTCAAATTTGTGGTAAGATATTTCTATCCCCGTTGATAGTGATAGTCCGAAAAGAAGATGGTGATGTATACGCTTGTCATACGGCTCATTAGTTATGATGAAGCCATGTTCGACCTTGACTTCTTGAGCGAGATTCCTTTTATATTATTTGATTTGACTATAAAAGTTTGGAAATGCTATAACACGTACGGTTTATCACATATTCATATTTTTTACTATTATTTTTTCCTTAACTTTCGCTGCCCTGTTTTTTCCCCTCTTACAAAATATGAATTATCATGGGAAAGAGACCTGTCTCCTAAATAATACTTATCTCTGTTCTAAAATATAATATTTTTTTATTGAATACGATATATCCTATTTCTATAATCTGGACAGGCTTAGGATATATCTCATCGGCCTAAAAATTGCTATATTTTAAGACGGTGGAAGTACAACTTTTGAAAAAAAATCTTTCTATATATGAGTTCCTTAGCTTGGAATATTTTTCTTGGAGCAAACTTTTCACTTTGTAGTCAGATAATCCATAATCCATACGTCCATTCAGTTGGGTTATTCCCAGGAGAAGTATAAGAGGCCAACTCGAAACGTATATATGTTCGGAAAATACTATACGTACTAACTTTTTCTTATTAAATTCTTACTAACACTGATGTGTCATGCTATGAGTGTATCTAGATTTTTTTTTAACTTCCATCTACTTAAATCAAACAGTTGATATGATTGTTAGTAAAAGTTTAGTAAGAAAAATTTAGTACATTGCTCAATATGTTCCCTTCAAATTTCGCAGATTCCTTTTTGCAGATGAGAACGGTTCTGCACCAACGATCACGCAGTACACGATCTGACGACGATCAAACGGAGTACTTTGAATGAGAGATGCTTTTTTTGCTTGACACTGATGACTTTGCGTGCGAGACAGATCGACTGATAGCTTTGCGTGCGAGACCGATCGACTGACTACTAGCCCTGTAATTCTTTCTTATCTGACCGTGTTGGACACGCATATGGACACATTGCACGTACGGTTATCCCGAGCAATTTTACCGTTTAACATTTTATACCTCGTGGTACCACTAATTTTTTTTACCTCAAGATACTTTCTAGTATAAAATTTAGTACATGAGGTAGTATTATATAATAGGCACTTACGCTGTGTTCTTTCCCCATTTCCCCAACACATCTTCTCGTTTTCCGTGCTCACGCTTTTCAAACTGCTAAACGGTGTGATTTATGCAAAAACTTTCTATATGAAAGTTATTTTAAAAATTTATATTAATTCTTTTTTAAAAAAAAATTAGCTAATACTTAATTAATCATGCAATAATACAAGCTTTGATTTCCGTGACGGTACGGTGTCAAGCTTAAAATGGACACATGAATTAAAATTAGAAAAATGTCATATTGATACCATAATCATGAATGTTGTACATAAATAATACGCCCTCTGTTTTTTAATGTATGACGCCGTTGACTTTTTTATCAACGCTTGACCATTCATTTTATTAAAGAAATTATGTGATTATCATCTATTTTATTGTGGCTTTATTTATTATTAAATGTTCTTTAAACATGCATGACATAAATATTTTTGTATTTGTATAAAAAATTTGAACAAAATGAATGATCAAACGTTGTTCAACAAATCAATGGCGTCATACATTAAAATTAAAATAGGGAGGGAGGGAGGGAGTAGTAGTTGTTTGTTAACAGACCTGCCATGTAATTAATTAAGTTGGCCACACTTCATACAGACAAAAAAAGCTGCATAACATGGATGATGATACCCTTGATGCAACGTGAAAAACATGGCCCCAGCAAAAACAGCTGACGACACACAAAGTGCAAATCAGACGTTACCGGTCCTCAAATATGCATGGAACTTGAACAGTTATGCTCTCCTAGATTCATCATAGATTCATATAGTACAAAGGTCCTTTGGTAGTATATTATCCAAGAATGAGCGTCTTACATCTAGCCAAATTCTAACCACGTACTCTGCAGAAATGCACAGGACGTGTGTGTTATCCAAGTTGCTGACGTTGATACACAATTTTGTAATTGCAAGCAAAAATGTTGAGGTCTTATGAACCCACCGAATACTCTTCTACCAGTAGATCCACAGACATTCAAGCTGTAGTAATTTTTTTAAAAAAATATATACGACGTCAGGATCAGGCGGCGGACGACGGCAGCACTACCTACGGATGCAAGTGGGTGGTCCCATTATCCGCATAAAAACCGCTTGCTAGTTTATTTCTCGTATGGTGTACAAAATTTAGAAAAAAAATAAACTAAAAGTGGGTTAAGTATAAACTACAAGTCGAATAAGCGAAAAAAAAACCCGGGCAAATGCATCCCTGGTCACCGGACGCCTCCGGTCTACGTGTAAGGAGGGACTTACACGTTGGTCCCACGGTTCAGTCTCAGTGATACGCTCGCCTGCCTGCATCAATGTTGCCCGGAGATGATGTTTCAAAACCGTGTTTACAAAGGAATGTACAGCAGCTAAACACGATTATAAAATTATAAACTACTAAATATTTATTGTTAGAGAGATGCACGACATAGTATACTCGTTGTAACGATCACAAATTACAAAGTTGCGTAGTAATTTATTATGTCTGGACAAAGTACATGACTGGAAAAATGCTTTTCCTAGCAAAAAAGACATAAATCACGGATATGTTTACAGGCATGATTACAACTGCATGGCAATCAGTTTTTGCGCTCAGATGTCCAAATCCCAAGTGATAACAGTATACTTCAGTGTACTATGCATAAACCAACAAGGTATGAAAGGGTAAGAGATGAACACCCAAGGAATGAACTCCAAACTGTCATTCAGCTCGAAGATATATTATGTGTTCCCTACAAGGATTGTTTGATTGAACTCAATTCCTTAATAATATCTCCAGTTAACATTCTATTCGACGGCATTTCCTGAGAGCAATACAATCCAAGCCTGAGTAATGCGACCAGGCAATTGATCCTTCCTTTGCATGAAGAATCGTCAGCGGTTTGAAATTCATTCTCAAGGCCCAAGAACAGCTGGGTGTCAACAACATCCATCATTTTACCATGTAGACCCAGCTCAACATACTCACGGAGGCTCAATCCTTGTATGGATTTGTTATCGATGGGCCTCTTCCCAGTTACCATTTCTAACACAAGAATTCCATAGCTGTAAATATCTCCTAAAGTTGATACCGTATTTCCAGCACCATACTCTGTTTAATCAAAGTTTGCCAAAAAAAAAGTTACGATTTTTATAGCGCTTGTAATCCAAAATGTAACAGATTCATAATAACTATAGCTGCTTCACATAAATCAAACTTCTTTTGCAACTTCCCAAAAAGTTTGTCTAGCTGTACATTTTATTAATAAAAGCACTAGGCAGGACTAAATAAGAAAGGAGGACAGGAAAAATAAAAGGCTAACCTGGAGGAGCATAGCCGATTGTCCCTCTAAATCCCATTGAGCTTGTAGACTGTTGGAGCAATGAGTTGCCCTCAACAAGAATCTTCGCAAGTCCAAAGTCTCCAAGATGTGCTACCATCTCAGCATCTAAAAGCACGTTGCTTGGTTTCAGATCACAATGTACAACAGGTGTTGGTCCATGGCAATGTAGATAATCCAGCGCATTAGCCACATCAAGTAGTATGCCAACTCTCTCAAGAAGATTCAAGTATTTGTGATCAATCTGGTCATCTTTGTCAGGATGTAACCAGCCTTCTAAACTGCCATTGGGCATAAAGTCGAAAACAATTGCTTTGAAGTCATTGCCGCTGTTATCAATGCTTGAGCAGGCTGTAATTATCTTCACGAGATTTCGGTGCCGTAGGTTTCGCAGTGCATTGCATTCAGCGGCAAAACTCTTAAGCGCACCAGAAGTCTGAAGTTTTAGTACCTTCACAGCAACATAATATGGGCTTTCACCAATTTGAGCAACTAGCTCTCCTTTGTACACAGAACCAAATGAACCAGAACCTAACAAATTGGCTATGGAAAATTCATCTGTTGCTTTTACCAACTGGGAATAAGAAACCAGAGGATGGCCTCGCATGGATGTAGTTGAAGGGATTTCTGTTTGGATCTTCTTGTGCCAAGCAAAAAGTATGTATAGCAATGAGAGGACGGCTAGTGTTGCAACAAGAGAAATAACAATAGGAATTACTACAGGTTTATGTTTATTCTTTGGTAATTGGGAAGAACATGGAGGTAAATGTAGAGTAGTTATTCCCCCGCAAAGTCTTCCATTGTGTTGGATTGAGATTGCAGTAGAATTTGTAAATATACCAGTAGTTGGCACTTCTCCGGTAAATATATTGAATGAAAGGTTGAGATAAGAGAGCATGGTAAAGTTCTCTATAAATATGGGGATTTCACCTGACAAATTATTTCTGGAGAAATCAAGAGTTTGTAGACTTTTTAGTTGACTCAATTGTTCTGGGATATTACCATTTAACATGTTGTTTTGGAGAGTGAGATCCTGGAGATTCTGGCATTGTCCAAGGGTGCTAGGGATCTCACCTGATAATTTATTTGACTCTGCATTAAATTTTACAAGATTTACGAGATTCCCTATTTCTTGTGGTATTGACCCCTCAAATTTGTTATAGGATAGCTCCAAAGCTATAGAAAGTGTGGTGATGTTGAACAAGCCACTAGGAATTGGGCCTATGAAGTTATTACTAGAAAGATCCAGTTCTGTCAACTTTGTCAGGTTTGCAAGTGAGTTTGTTAACCTACCACTAAAGGTGTTTGACATCAAATACAACGTAATTAACTCTGTGAGATTTCCTATTGTCGATGGGATTGGTCCACCAAGATCATTGTTGTATACGTTAAAATAGTGCAAGTTTTTAAGCCTACCAAGGGATGAAGGAAGAGTTCCGATGAAAGAGTTCCAAGCGAGGTCAAGGACTTGTAGGTTGAAGAGATTACCAATATCCTTAGGTATGCTTCCCAAAATATTGTTATATGAAAGAGAGAGATATTTTAGCGACGTGCTAAGACTGGAAAGTGAATTAGGAAGAACCCCACCAAACTCACACATACCCAATACCAAAACCTGTAACTGGGAGCAATTAGCTAATGCTGTTATGAACTCCCAATCTTTTTGTTCTTTCGCTCCAACTAAAGTTTGTGTCAGTACAAGTTGTTCTAACTTTCTTAGTCTTCCAATCTCTTGGGGAACAATGCCGTTGAAAAGGTTAGCGCCAAGGATAATCATTGACAGATTGGAAGAATTACCCAGCGAGACAGGAATCTTACCATGGAGGTGGTTGTGGTCCATGTATAATTCCTCGAGATGTGGAAGAGTTTCAAATGCATTAGCAGGTATGGTTCCACTTAGCATATTTCCTTGGACAGAAAGCGCCCTCAAAGATGAAATGTTCCAAATAGAAGTTGGGATTGGTCCAGATAAATTGTTAAAACCTAAGCTGAGCTCATATAAATTGGGCAACATGCCTAAAGATGAAGGGATGACTCCTGAAAGCATGTTATTGGAGAAACGAATATTCAAGAGGTTTGTGAGATTGCTCAAAGCAGATGGTACCTCTCCAGATAATTTATTGTGCGACAAAGATAACAGTTCCAGCGATGGTAACTCGGCCAGAGATTGAGGGATCTCTCCCGACAAAAGATTTCTGGTAAGATATAAATTGATGAGATTTTTCAAGCTGGAACCTATCTCAGCTGGGATCTCACCTTGAAGCTGGTTATTGCCTAGGTGAAGGGTCATGAGCTTGGTGCATCCTCTCATCTCCACAGGAATGCTTCCTCGGAGCAAATTTGTGCTCAGATTCAGCATCCGAAGCTTGCTGAGGTGACCAAGCTCCGAAGGTATCTGCCCGACAAGCTGGTTGTTGCCAAGGTCCAGTGTCTTGAGAAAGGATAGGTTGCCCAAGAACGGCGATATGCGCCCAGACAGGCCGCAAGAGTTCATTTGCAGCGCAATGACCTTCTCAGGTTGCTGACGGCTGCAACTAACTCCTGTCCAGCTGCAGAAGTGGCTGGATGAGTTCCATGATGCCATCAAACCCAAGGATGGGCTTGATAGCATGGACTTGAAGGACAGGAGGGCGAGCTCATCGGCTGTGGCATTGCTGCTGCTGCTGCTCCCAGCAGAGACCAAGGCCAGAGCATAGGAACAGAAGAGCAACAACATCATTGCCCGCGCCATGACGACTGTGGCTAGATGGAAAGTTCATTCTTCATACCGTTCCAACTTATATGCAAGCTAATTTCTAAGAATTTGGGGGTGGGAATGCACATGGTGGTAGCTGAGAGGTTCGTTCCACATGGAAAAGAAATGTTCATCTTGGCACATGGAATCCAGCTGCACTCTTTCGCACAAACTAGTACCTTTATCAGGGTCCATCCATCCAGAATATGGACATGCCTTGCAAGTTGCATACACGGATACATCATACACCTTACCATTAGGGATGCAAGTGGGTAGTCCCGCTACCCACATAAAAACCTGCTTGCTAGTCTATTTTTCGCATGGTAGTACAAAATTTAAAAGAAAAAATGAATTAGAAGTGGGATAAGCGGGATAAACAAGCCCGCTTGCCCGTCCCGCTTGCATCCCTACTTACCATGACCAGCAAGCCTATCTCCAGACAATCAGACAATAATCGATGGTGACTACTGACTAGGTTCTTCACCAATTCCACACGGCTGTGCCCGGATTTCATGCAGCCTCTCCTCCTATTACTACCAAGATCACCTAAAACTCAGCACACAATATACTACTATATGATTAATCTTTTGCGTGGTAAGACTTTCTGAGTAGCCAAGAATTGCGATTTGCAAAGGCAATCGAAAGAAAACAAAATATAAATTTCTATACAGGTCTAAAACTTTGAGCCCAGCCGCAAGAACTGCAAGACAAATGAAAAGGACAAATTGTTGCAGTTGAAATGTTTGGGGCTTCTAGATCGGTCTCAAGAACGCACCTAGGATTTCTTCGGAGCCCATAGCATTGGAGATTTCACTTCAGGTTCAGGGCGCCGCGCTCTCGCCGGACAGCGTCCGTCAGGACGTTGCCGGTTGCCCCGCCCAACTCTGCGTCGGCGGCCGCCTCGCCTCCTGCGCTCCTCCTCCGCGGCGGGGGCCCCGCTTCTATGGTGGTGGTAAATGCTCCGGTGAGCCTGCCTCCCCCACCACCGGCCTACACCGGCGGCGCGCCGGCGCCAGGGGCATCTCACTCACGAGGAATCCGATGAAAGCGACGGGGAAAGAAAGAATGAAAGAAACAGGAAAATGCAAACGCAAAACGATAAGAGATGGCCAACTGACAAACGGGTCCCACAATTCAGCGATACAATGCACACGTCCTTCCATTATTTAATGGGAAAATTCCAAAAAGCACCCCAAATATCACTCTAAATTTGAAATGTCCCCTTAAGAAGATTTGTTGCAAATTCCTACCTCCTAATTCACCTTGGTTTGATTTAGCCACTTCTCTCTACACATACTTGATTCCTGGAGCATCTCGTGCGAAATTAGCCGAGTTCCGCTCATCGTGATGATTTGTCAATAGGTCCCTTTTGCATTTGATTAAGTGGTTTTAATTTCTGATTAAACTGTATTGAAACCTGCTATTTTGGGTCATCTGACCAATTGCAACGGATGAAGTCATGCAGTTCTAATATAGCTATATGATTACTGCTTCATGTTCAAATGTTTTTATATGCTCATTACGTCCCTTAAAAAAAGGAATATGTTGTTCAGTACACATGATATCAGTTTGGAATATATAGCTACTATACCATGAAAAACACAGTGAAATGCCCATGATAACACAACGAAATGATCGTCTTATACAGAACAAACAACATAATCTCTTGCTCCCGTCGAGTGGGACTCAGTTGATTTCGCCACGAGATTCTTCAGGAATCATGCACGTGTGGAGAGAAGGTGCCTAAATCAAACCAAAGTGAATTAGGAGGTAGGGATTTGCATCAAATCTTCTTATGGGGGCATCTCAAACTCAAAGTGGCATTTGGGGTGGTTTTTGCAATTTTTGCTTATTTAATCGCTCGTATTGCGTCGTCTGTTAAACTAGATGGGTACCCCGCACATTGCTATGGGAGAATTGTAGGATAATATAGTAGATATGAGTTCTAAAATTTTCTTTCTTACCTACTATACGATTTTTTTCATGTGTTCATATTTTTTTTACCTTTATCAGTTTATTCAAAGGTTATAAATGATTGGGTTGTATGGTGTGTCTTTTGAGAGGGAAGAGATGCAATATATGCTTGATGAATCATCCAAAGGCTAAAAAAAATTAAGGTGATGTGAAGAGATATAATTTACACCCTTGATGAATCATCCAAGGGCTAAAAAAAATTGAGGTGATGTGACTTCATGAGAGAAGAGAGAATTAGCATTAATTGTACTTAGTGGAGATGAACTTTATAGATTTATAGGATACTCTCCCTTCGTCAAGGATTTATAGCATTAAAATTTATTTCACGGTGTAATCCTTTCTAACAATACCCATAGTATTTCGGTCAAAGAAAAACCATTACATTTACTCATCGTACTACTCCCTCTTGTAAATTATAGCAACTTAATACTGGATTAGACACAATCTAATACTAGATTACTATATTTTAAAACAGATGGAGTACTTAATGCTATTTGTGTCCCAAAATACAATAACTATGATCATATGGAATAAATTGTAGTTCTACGGATCTGAATATGTATGTCCAATTCAGTACTATGTCATATATTCTAGGACGAAAAGAGCATCTCACAATTCAACCTTTTTCCATATTTTTTTAAGAAAAAAGTCCAAGTAACCAATTAAACTTTGGATAAAATTCTATCTAGCACCCTAAAGTTTTAAACTTTGGATAAAATTCTATCTAGCACCCTCTAACTCTAGAATACCGTTTATATACCTCCTAAGATGGTTTTGTATAGTTTGGAGATGCTATAACAAGTAAGGTTTTATCACATATTCATAATTTTTACTACAATTTTTTCCTTAACTTTCGCTGCCCTTTTTTTTCCTCTTACAAATTATGGATTTTCATGGGGACGATTCCTGATCTCCTAAACAGTAGTATCTCTGTCCCAAAATATAATAATTTTAGGTAGGTTGTGATATATGTTAGTACTATGAATCTGGACAGAAAACCTGTGCAGCTTCATAGTATTAAGAATATGTTCCAACCACCAAAAAATGTTATGTTTTGGGATGGATGGAGTACAATTTTTGAAAAAAAAACTTTCTATATGAGTTCCTTGGAATGTTTTTTATTGGAGCAAACTTTTCACTCGGCCCTGTTCTTTCTCACGAAGATACAAATTTTACCTTGGTTTTCGTTAGCACATTTTTCAAACTACTAAACGGTGTATTCCGTGTAAAAACCTTCTATATAAAACTTGCTTTAAAATATCAAATATTTCAATTTGTCAAATTTGTAATAATTAAAACTTAATTAATTATGTGCTAATAGCATATTATAATTGCATAATTTTTTTTACTAATACAGATATAAATTTTAAACCAACTACACACTACTCCCTTTGTAGCTTATATATCGAATACTATGGGGAGAAAGTCATAGCTGCTACCTTTCTTCTCCAACGTGAGCCCCTTTGTATTTGGCCATGGTTTGCGCGCGTTTCCTGCTTGCTTGCTTCTGCGGCGTGCTATTAGCAACTTATATCTACCGTGCTAGGGTATTACAGATGGAAATATATAAATATAAAAGGAAAAAGTAGGAAGTATAAAAAGATGGGTATGCACGTAACTTGCGAACTAACAAGATGAGGGAGGCGTACGTACGTACATGCGGGTAGATGAGAGGGGGAACTAACGTTTTCTAATCTAATACTAATCTAATCGTCTAAAATAATAGACCCACTGGTTTAAGTAAAAATCGATGGCTAGATGTTTTTCATATATTAAAATGCCACGTGGCAGCATACGAGTGTTTTTAGGAGTCCCGTGTGGCGGCTTGAGAGCGTTTGAGAGCGTTTGTAGGAAATTTAATAAACTTTTAGTATATAATAATTGATAAGTCTGCTTGGATAGTATGTTTACGGTTGCTAATTTCAAGAAGAGATAATTCGAGAAATACCAATGACAATCGTCCAAATCCAAGAAAAGACACCGACAAGTGTGAGTTCTAAAAAATGCTATCGTACAAACAATTTTGTCCCAAAAATGCCATCGCCGTTAGGTTTCGTCCATTCCGCGCCATTAAATACACCGTTCATCCTATAGTACTTAACGGCGCGGAATGGACGGAACCCTAACATCGATGGTATTTTTGGGACAAAGTCGTTTGTACAATGACATTTCTTAGAACTCATACTTGTCGATGGTATTTCTTGGATCTAAACACTTGTTAATGGTATTTCTTGAATTATCTCTTTCAAGTACAATAGGAACACTGAGATTTATCTTCACCTCCAAGCTAATCATTGAGACAATAGTGGCATATTTAGATCTAAATCTATGATTGATTAATGGAGGTAGTTTTGCAGTGATAAAGTGGGAGGGAAAACTTGTGGTTCTGATTTATTTCAAATTTTTATAGGGCGCGTTATACGGGCAGCCCTAATGGGCGATCGATCGCCCTGCCAATGGGGGTAGCGAACCCTCCCCCCTCCCTCCCTCTACCTGGTTTCCTTTTTTGGCACCGTATTACTTTCCTATTTTAGTAAATTTATACACCTAAAGTTTATACACCTCAAGTTTACACATCTAAAGTTTAGATACTAAAAGTTTATAAGTCAAAAGTTTATATATCCGATTCAAATTTGAATTTGAATTCAAATATTTTTTTATATATAGTATTTCTATACATCTAAAGTTTATACACCTAAAGTTTATAGACCTAAAGTTTATATACCCGTTTCAAATTTGAATTTGAATTATATCCGATTCAAATTTAAATTTAAATATTTTCTATATATAGTATTTCTATACACCTAAAGTTTATAAGTCAAAAGTTTATATACCCGTTTCAAATTTGAATTTGAATTATATCCGATTCAAATTTGAATTTGAATTTGAATTTGAATTCAAATATTTTCTATATATAGTATTTCTATACATCTAAAGTTTATACATCCAAAGTTTATAAGTCAAAGTTTACATATCCGATTGGATATGTTGAATCGGATATGTAAACTTTGACTTATAAACTTTGGATGTATAAACTTTAGATATGTAAGCTTTAGATGTGTAAGCTTTAGATGTGTAAACTTTTACGTGTACTATATATAAAAAATATTTAAATTTAAATTCAAATTTAAATCGAGTATATAAACTTTTAACTTATAAACTTTGGGTCTATAAACTCTAGGTGTATAAACTTTAGATGTGTAAATTTAAGATGTACAAACTTTAGGTGCAAAAATTTACTAAAATAGAAAAATAATGCAGTGCCAAAAAAAAACCACGTGAGGAAACAGAAAAAAACAGAAAAGAAAAAAGCGGTGGAAAAGACGAGAGCAAGTGCATGTGCCTGGCAAAAAAAACTGATATTGCGTGCTGTGGATGGGCTCTCGTGGGCCAAGCCCAATAGGAAAGAGGCTGAGAAAAGCCAGAAAAGGCAAGTGGTGGCGGCAAGTGGCGGAAAGGGAAATCGATCGCTGCTCCTGTCACCCAGTGATTGATCACCCATTAGGAGTTTCGGCGTTGTACTTGTGTGTGCTGAGATTTGTATTGCTTCCAACTAATAAAGTGGCGTTTCAATCTCCTTATTTATTTGCGGCCTAGTGGCTGCCACTGTATTTGTATATTGAATATTAGTATCTGAAGGAATGTAATCCACCCTGTACTAATTTATTTGTACCTAATGGTTGGGTTGGTGTACTTTAACTGAGAGCACTTGTCCCTGTACTAACTTATTTGTACCTAATGGTTAGGTGTAATTGTACTAATTTATTTGTACCTAATTGTTGGGTATAATTATTTTTTTACTCGTGGTTTGGTGTACTTTAACTGAGAGCACTTGCCTTGGGCTTTGCTCCAGAATGTATAGACCATAGTTATTAGGACCGGATCGGACCGGCGGTTCGACCAGAAAAAACCATAGTTATTAGGACCGGATCGGACCGGCGGTTCGACCGGAAAAAACCAGAACCAGGGTCTCCGCCGGTCTGGTCCCCTTATCAGATCGGGCATGCAGTCGGACCGGATGAAACCGGTCAACCCGGGCGGTTTTTTTGCATAAACCGGAGATAAAACCGGGCCGGTTGAACCAGAAAAGATGGGTTAATGGGCTGAGACGAGGGCCCAACTAGTTGCCTCCCATGCAGACCGATGCAGGCGTGTGTAAATTCACATGAAAAATGGTGGAGACCGGGATTCGACCTCTGGTCGTGGGCTTGAGAGACCCACGCGCAAACCATGCGACCATTGTACAGCTTGTGCCATAGGAAAAACACTCATTTTATATTACTAATTGAACCGTGGTTGGACCGGACAGAGCAGCGGTCCAACTACTAAACCAGTGAACCAAGAGCTCGACCGGTTCATTTACCGGTCCGGTCCTAATAACTATAGTATAGACTCTAGGGGAGCAAATAAATTGTGTTTTCTCTGAGGCCATTGGATTAATGGTTGCGGCAACCTTTGCTCCATCTTTGCTACTACCTCTATCCCAAAATATAATAATTTTTAGCTATGAATCTGGATATATAGTTGTCCAAATTCATAGCTAAAAATACTTATATTTTGGAACGGAGGAAGTAGTATGCTACACATTCAGGAAAACATCACAAGGACAAAGTCATACTTGTAAAAGAGTGACATGTTATCAGTACATACCACGCAGTACGAGTATGCATTAATATTTACTATCGTACTTAATTAGGTGCGGCAATTCTCAGAAATACAAGTATAGAGAAATGTTCTGATGTGCAGATCAGGAAACAGCTATTACCAAGAAATTAATCACCCTTCAGATAACTCCTCTGTTGTAAATAACACTGCAGAAATCTGTTCTAAAGAACATTTCTAACATGATTTCACATGATGGATGCCATCGAGAGAGACTCTTTGATGTCATGCAGTTCACTGATGACATCTCCGGTTTGCATTCTACTCGATGGCAATTCCTGAGAGCAAGACAACCCAAGTCTAAGCAGTGAAACAAGGCACTCATTGATTTCTTTGCATGGAGAAATATCTGGAGTCTGAACCCAACTCTTAGAATCCAAAACGAGCTTCCTGTCAACAACATCCATCAGTCTACCATGTAGACCCGGTTCAACATACTGACGGAGGCTCAATCCAGGTCCGAATGTAGTATCGGTTGGTCGCTTTCCGCTTACTGTTTCCAACACTAGAATTCCGTAACTATAAATATCTCCATGTGTGGACGCAATGTTCCCGACACCATACTCTGTTCCAGTAGGAAAAAAACTGTATCTTTTAAACATGTACAATTTGAAATTTAATTACTACTCCCTCCATTCTATAATATAAGGCACAACCACTTTTCTTAGATGTTCCATAATACAAGGCATACATGCAAGCATGCAATTAAATATGACATCTTCTCCATTAAATTATTACTTTTTTAAATCTTCCACTCTTATGTTATCTAATCCTATTGAATGCATGTATTATATTTATTAGGATGATTTAAACTACAAGATGATAATAATTATTTCTTAGTCTTTGGGTTAAGAGTAGCTGTGCCTTATATTTTGGAATGGAGGGAGTATAACGATATAATATAGGGTTGCATCGCTGAAACTGATATAATAATCTGCATTAAATTACATGTGAGATATTGGAAATAACAAAGAAATTAAATATTTAATAATCTAATTTGTAGAATTATATATTCAAATAAAGTTTCTATAATTGAACTATAGGTTAAACCAAGCAATGAAATAATTCTTGAATATATAGTTCTTTGAGGGATATGAACTTCTCCGTAAAGAAATAATTCATAAATATATAGTTCTTTGATGTTATGAAAAGTTAGCGTAGTACTTCTCCATCCAAGAGAGTTATACCTATTACATATTTTAGTTTTTTCAAATGCGTTATTCCTATCTGTATTCTTTATGCATCCAAAACTAAAATAGAGAGGTAAATTAAATATTTGATTAGAATCCGGGGAGTTATCTTAATACTCATTGGTTGCATGGGTGCATACACTCCTTGATCTTTGTTACATGAATGATGAGTTAATTTCTCCTTCGTCTTAGTGATAAAAGTAATAGGTGTAACTTTTGTGGAAGGAGGGAATATTGTAAAATTTTTCTCAAACTAAACGATTCAAAATCCTCCATTAGTGGGGTAGAAAAAAATCCACAAGTTGGTTTGAGTGTGTAACTCTAGAAAAGTCTGTAGCTACGAAATTGATTTAGTAACTTGATAGATAATATGGAAAATTACATTAACTTATGTGCAATTTATTCCAACTAATTACTTCAATTCTCCATTAATATCTCTAGGATCAAACATTATTTCATACAGCACTAGAGAGTAGAAAGGCAAAAAAAAAAAAAAAACAGTTTAGGCTTAACCTGGTGCTGCGTAACCAATTGTCCCTCTGAATCCCATCGAGCTTGTTGACTGTTGCATCAATGAGCTTTCCTTAACTAGAATTCTTGCAAGTCCAAAGTCTCCAACATGGGCTACCATGTCAGCATCTAACAACACATTACTTGATTTAATATCACAATGTACAACAGATTCAGGTCCAAGGCAGTGAAGATAGTCCAATGCACAGGCGACATCAAGTAGTATGTTCACTCTTTGATGCAAATTTAAGTGCCTCTGCTCTGCTTGATCACAATTTGTTTCAGGGTGTAGCCAATCTTCTAGACTGCCGTTGGGCATGAAGTCATACACAATTGCTTTGAAATCATTCCCTTTGTTATCAATGCTTGAGCAAATAGTAACTATCTTGACAAGATTCCGATGACGCATATTTCGTAGTGCTTCACATTCGGCAGTGAAACTCTTGACTGCCTTAGGAGTTTCAAGCTTTAGTACCTTGACTGCAACAGAACTTGTACTTTCACCATGTTGGCTATCAAGTTCTCCTTTGTAAACAGAGCCAAAGGATCCAGAACCCAACAAATTGGCTGGTGAAAAACCATCTGTTGCTTTTACCAGCTGCTTGTAAGTGATCATTGGGTGGCCTTGGATGGATGTCATAGCAGGGACTTCTTTCTTTCTTCTCTTATGACAGGTTAGAAGCATGTAGAGTAATGAAAAGATCGCAAGTGTCGAAACGAGACAGACAGTAAGAGCTATCAGTAGAATTTGATGTTTCTTTTTCTTTGTTGATTTTAAGGAACACTGCGGAAGACGTAGTTCAGGTATGCCACCGCAAATATTGGCATTGCCTTGGATATAAATTTCAGAAGCATTTGCAAAAACACCATTGGTTGGCACTTCTCCTTGAAAGCTGTTGAATGAAAGGTTCAGCGAGTGGAGCAGAGGCATGTCCCCTAAGGACTTGGGTATCTGACCTGACAAATTGTTCCCTGAGAGATCAAGTGTGTCAAGACCTGCCAACTGAGTCAGAGCAATTGGGATGTTGCCATTTAAGAAATTGTTTTGCAGGGAGAGATGCTGTAGAAGTTGGCATCCACTAATGGTGCTGGGGATTTCACCCGATAATTTGTTCGAATCCGCATGGAATTCAACAATATTTTTAAGTTCTCCTATTTCTTTTGGTATTGATCCCTCCAATTTATTATGGGACACATCCAAAGTTTCAGAGAGTGTGGGAATGCTAAATATTTCAGTGGGAATTGCTCCTATAAAGTTATTGTGGGCAAGATTTAGTTCAAACAATCTGGTCATGTTTCCAAGTGTGCTTGGTATTGTGCCACTGAAGGCATTACCATAGAGCTCCAAGTTAGTTATTTGTGTAAGATTACCGATGGTCAATTGCAGATAACCACTTAATTTGTTGTTGAATAGAATGAGACGATGCAAATTTTTAAGCTTGCTGAAGGAAGATGGAAGAGATCCTGTCAAGGAGTTGTTAAAGAGAACAAGGGATTCTAGATTAATGAGATTACCAATATCTCTAGGCAAGCTTCCTGAAATTTTATTGGCTCCAATAGAGAGATATACTAGTGATGAGGAAAGATTGGAAACAGAGTCAGGAAGAACACCACCAAACTTGCAGGCACCCATTTCTACGTGTTGGAGATTGGAGCAATTCGTCAATGCCGTCATGAATTTCCAATCGTTTGGTCCTTCAGCTTCCAGAAGGGTTTCCGCAAGAACCAGCGTGCCGAGATTTCTCAGCCTCCCGATTTCCTCAGGAACAACACCGCTAAAAGAATTAACACCAAAGGTAAGCATGGAGATGTTGGAAGCATTAGCTACTGATGCAGGGATATGCCCATGAAACTGGTTGTTATCCATGTATACCTCTTGGAGATGGGGAAGTGTACTGAATGCATTTGCAGGAAGCATACCACTCAGCATGTTGTACTGGACACCGAACACGGTGAGAGAGGAGATGTTCCAAATAGGATCCGGGATCAGTCCACTTAAATTGTTAGAGCTTAAGTGAAGGGAAGACAATCTAGACAATCGACCCAGAGATGAAGGGATTGCTCCAGACAGCGTGTTGTCAGACAGAGCAAGCTCCAAGAGGCTGTTGAGATTGCCCAAGCACGAAGGGATTGTTCCAGACAGTGTATTCTTGTTCAGATAGAGAGAGGAGAGGCTGGTGAGATTGCACAGAGACGAAGGGATACCTCCAGAGAGTGAATTTTCTGACAGTGAAAGAAACGAGAGGCCAGTGAGATTGCCCAGAGCAGGTGGAATCTCACCTGATAGCCCGTTGCTACCTAGTGACAGTTCTTGGATCGATGGCAGCTCTGCCAACGATCGAGGGATCTGTCCCGACAGGCGATTTCCTTCGAGATACAGGTAGGCAAGATTTTTCATGGAGGCGCCAATCTGGAGGGGAATTTTACCTTCGAGCTGGTTGATGGTGAGGTCCATCTCGATGAGACGAAAGCAGCCTCCAATGGCGGCGGGGATGCTCCCTTGGAGGGAGTTGCCACTCATGTTCAACCGCCGGAGCCTGCTTAGGCGGCCGAGCTCCGGCGGTATCTCGCCGGAGAGGTGGTTGCCGCCGAGGTGCAGCTTAGCGAGGAAGGAGAGGTTGCCCAGCGACGGCGAGATGGTCCCGGACAGGTTGAACGATCGCAGCCGCAGCTCGACCACCCTGTCCCGCCGGCCGCCGCACGCGACACCCGCCCATGTGCAGTGCTGGCCGTGGCCGGACGTAGTGTTCCATGATGCCAGCGACGAGCCCCCCTGGGACACAAGAGACGACCTGAAGGAGAGCAGCGCGAGCTCGTCGGCGGCGGCGCCGCCCGTGGGAACGGCGGCAGCAGCGGCGTCGTCGTCGCTGCTCGCCGGAGGGAGCAGCAGCGAGGAATTGAACAGGAGCATGAGCAACGCGAGTGATCTCGCCATGCGTGCGTGTCGATCTCTGCAAGAGTAGCTATCGATGATCAGCGCTTACCTCGTTGTCCGTGGATTGAAAGCACTTTTCACCGGTCAAAGTCTTGAACTTTTTTTTCTAATATATTTTTTTCTTGTCCATTTTAGAAATAATTAACAGTGGTGGAGTGAGCATAAACCAATTGGTGAATTTTCTGGTGGTGGAACCTGTCTACTCGGGTTAAAGTTCTAGACTTAGCATGGATACTGCTTTACGATGGCTAATTATTCTTTCAGTGGAACATATACCCATCGGCGACGAGATATCTGTGGTGACTTTATGAATCAAAAGATATATACTGGTCCAGTCTTTAGAGGTACTTATAAAGAAAGATAGAGTGTGCAAGCGCCTGCGTTTGTCCTTTGTTTTTGCAAAAAGAGAAAAATGATTAAGAAAGCATTTGACTTTGGACAACCAATGTACTAATAGTGATGAAGAAAACCACGTATGGTGTACTGGTTAATTTTGGAGGAGACTGAAAATTTTTAGAGACACGCAGAGCCAAACTTCAGTCGCAGTCAGGCCGACGTGGAGAACTCAGCTCGATATTCATTTGTTGGTCACCATGTGTTTACTTCTGCAACTTGTGCAATTTGCAAAGCGAAAGGAACCCTATCATTCAAAAGAATACTGCAGCTGAATGCTGATTGCTGAGCCGAATAAATGTCCTTATCCATGTGGTTGTCTGTTTTCTGGGCGTCTGCCTTCCGGACGCGGATCGTCTGACTCACGGTGTGACTTTCAAGCCATATCCACCGTCCGACTCATCCGACGGAGGATATTTCCTGCGTGTGGTTCCTGACCTCATTATTATTTACTTGCGGATTCTAATTAAGGATTAATGAATCTAATTAAACACTATTACGAGATTAGTCCGGTAACCAAAAATGACATGCCACTATGCGAGTTAAGCTATTTTTATTTTGGTGATTAAAGAAAACAAATAATCTTCTCATGGCATTAGCATTCAGATGGCATTAATGGCAGGAAGCAGCGCGCGGCCGCGGGAGAGACGTCGGATGAGTCGGACAGTGGATATGGCTTGAAAGTCACACCGTGACTTTACTTGGTAAAATCGGACGATCCGTGTCCAACTCAGGGCATTAGCAGTGCGTCACCACATGGTATCAGACTTGGTGTGCCACCTAGACTCTCAGGAACATCTAGAAATAATGTTAGCCACAAATCCCACAATGCTATGTAATCTCAAGTGGGGTCCACAACAATAAAAGAATCTCCTTTTCTCAGTTTTTCCCCTCCCTCTCTCCTCAACCACCGACGCCTTTTCCCCTCCTCTATCGTGCAATGGCGGCGGTTTAGGGTGACGACGGCAGGCGGCCCAAGCGGCTACGGCGATGTCAGCGAGCTCGCCCGATCTGATGCCTGGTGGCGGTGGCGGCGGGGCCAGGCGGAGCTGCGTCACCGACGCCGGGGCCCGGGCAGCAGGGCTGCCAGATCCAGCCTTAGGTGACGACGGAGACGGGCGGAGCTTCGGCGCCGACGCCGGGGCGGCCAAGCGGCTGCACGGCCAGATCCGGCTCGGTGGTGGCGGCCCTCGCCTCCTCCCTCGGCCGGTGCCTCTCCTCCCCTCCCAGTCCATGGAGTGACCTCGTCAGCGACGACCTCAAGTTGGCTGTGGCGCTTCGACCTGCCGGGACGGCGACGAGCCCTGCGATGACGCGGTGGTGGCGGCGGCGACGAGCCCCACGACGGCGCCTCTCCTCTCTCCCTGCTTCCCCCGGTTTCTCCCTCGACGTGGGCGCTCGTTCCTCTCCCACGCTCTGACGTATTTCTGACGAGGAACTCATGCCCAGTTTTGGCTCCCTGTTCTTCACTTGGTCACGGGAGTAGCACATATGGCATGGAATCTTTGACGTGGAGGGTTGAGAATGAATGACATATATGTGCATTGTGAATGGCCTTACATGTTACACCAGGCAAGTTGTGAAAAGCAACAGCGAACTTACCACCAGCCCCGCACACAATTTGAACAAGGCTGCTACTGCCTAAGAACAGACTTGCCTCAGACCGGACACCACCCACGTCTTCCACTTGTTCGTGATCGACTTCGCACCTGCTCCCATATAGGTACTCAACCTGGTAAACTTACAACTTCTGTTGCGAGGAATTCAGAATAACTGAAATTCAGAATTAAAAACAAGGACTATTGAAAGAAGAGTACTTATAAGAACCCAATACGAGACTAATTAATATTATATTATTAAAACAATTTTGAAAGTAGGCACCACGCTCACTGTGGGGCTAGAAACTCCCACATTAATCGGAGAAAAAGAAAAGAAGAGTCCAACTAGAAATACAATTGAAAAATAATTGAAATTCGAAATTAAAAACAAGCACTATTGACAGAAGGGTGAACCCAATACGAGACTAATTAATATTCCAAATAAAAAATAAAATAAAATTCGAAATTAGAAAAAAATAAAAAGAAGAGTTCGAGTAGAAATATAATTTAAAATTAACTAAAATTCGGAATTAAAATTAAGCAATATTGAAAAAGATTCCATATAAAAACCCAATACGAGATTATTAAAATTCGGAATAAAAATAAAAATAATTCGAGAATAGAAAAAGAAAAGAAAACTAAAATTCAGAATTAAATATAAGCAATATTGAAATAAGAAATAAGAGTACATATAAGAATCCAATACGAGATTAATTAAAATTTGAAATAAAAAAAATAAAATCTAAAATTATACAAATTAAAAAGAGAGTTCAAATAGGAATACAATTTTGAAACAACTTAAATTGAAAATAAAAAATAAAAATATTAAAAGAACATAATATGATATTAGTTAAAATTCAAAACAAAAAATAAAATAAATTCTGAAATTAGGAAAAGAAAAATAAGATTTCATCTAGAAATACAATTTGTAAATAACCAATTAAATTGGTGATAAAAAAATAAAGACTATTGAAAAAAATACTATGTAAAACACATGGCGAGATTAATTAAGTAACAGACCTATAAATAAGTAGAGTGCTAGCAGTTGATGGGATATCTAAAAACTATTAATAAAACACCAAATAGAGTCTTAATGATGATTAAAAGAAAGGACGACGGGTAGGTTGTGAAGCAATTGGTTAAGGCGGTTGGTGGGACTTGTAGAAAGTAAAAAAAAAATAAACCCCAATAATAATCATATTTGATTTTTAAAGTCTCAATGACAATAAAAATTAGAGGCAGTGGGCGGGTCGTACAGGAGTATAATGGCAGAGCCTCTGATAGTTGGTGAGACTTCTAGAAAGTAAAAAATGAATTCCAATGATAGTTATGTTCGATTTTCACAGTCCCAATGACAATAATGAATAGGCGGTGGACGGGTCGTAGAGTAGTACAGTGGCAACGTTTGATGGGAATTCTCAAAATTATATAAAATGAAACCCAACGAGACAATAAACTCAATAAATTATAAGGTCCAATTTTTAAAGGTTCGGGCTTCTAAAAAGTAAGAAAATAAACCCCAATGATAATCATGTTTGATTTTAAAATCTCAATGACAATAAAGAAGGGAGCTAACAGGCGAGCTGTAGAGGAGTACAGTGACAAAGTTGCTGACGTTTTGGCGAAACTTCAAGAAAGTAAAAAAAAATGACCTAAACAATTATTATGTTCGATTTTTAAAATACCAATGACAATAAAGAGAAGAGGTAGTGGACAACCGTAGAGGAGTATAATGGCAGCGTTTGACGGGACTTCTAGAAATTATAAAAACTAAACCCAACAAGACAATGAACTCTAAAAACTATAAGATCCAATTTTTAAAGGTTCCAATGACATAAGGGGTAGCAATTGGTGTGACTTTTAAAAACTAGAAAATTAGAAATAGGAGGATGATAAGGTTTGGTCTTTCAAAATATTAACACAACGAGATAACCATTTAATAAATTTTAAGTAAAATAATATTAAAATATATATAATTTTGTATGGGTGCTAGCCGCGCAATTGCGCGGGCCACCTAGCTAGTTACATATGATTTGTGATTTGTTTAGAATATATCAGTAGTACATAACTTCCATCCGTGATGGCCTCTAACAAGCCTAGAATTAGCGGGCCGTCACAAGGAAGTTATCTCAATCGCCCGATTGAGATATGGTCACACAGACATGTTAGATAGGCATAAAACTCAGGCTCGTCACGGATAACACCTATAAGTGACGGTCTGTAGTTTAGGCCCGATTTAGATAACATTCCATATCTCAATCGGGCACGGGCCCGCCACGGATGACACCTATCCGTGATGGCCGGATGCCCGATTGAGATATTTGCTTAGTGACGGGGGCTCTACCCGAAAGAAACAAGGCTTTAAGCCCGTTAGAGATAACCGATCCCGTTTTAGTGTATACAGAAGTTCAACGCCGATTATAGTTGAACACTGCCAATCTATGGAGATCAATGGTCGGATGAGTCGTTTCACAAGATTTTGTCACACGTACGTTTAGCAGCCATAAAGTTTTGCCGGTAAAGGCTTGCCGTAACCTATACATCTATGCGAATGCGGATGAGGCGGCAAGGGGACAACCGATATCAGCGTCTTCCTCCTCACGTCGATCTCGACCGTCCAATTCTTGCCGTCCTCGTCGTCATCGCATGCGACGAACCAGACGACGTCGGGGTTCTCCGAGCTCACGAACGGGCACACCACGTACACGCGACGCGGGAGGCCGTCGCATGGCGCCAGCATCGCCCAGAGCTCCTCGCAGTCCAGCACGGCTTCCTTCACCCACGCCATCGGCTCGCCGCCGCCGTCGCCGTCGCCGGCGTTCCGCAGGGCAAGCCTCCAGATGGTCACCATGAACGCCGAGCTGGAGCGGTCGCACAGGCTGCGTATCACCGGCGCGCCGCAGCAGCAGCGGTTGTCGATGCTGACGAACCGCATTGTGTCGTCGCCGTCGGCGGCGACGATGTTGCGGAAATACTCCCATGGAATCAGCTCGTCGTGGTGGTGGTCGTCGTCGAAGTCGCTCTCCTTGGGTGGAACTGGCTTCACCGGCAGCGGCACGTACAGGAGCTTGGGGTTGTCGAGATCCGCCGCCGCCATGTCGCAGATGAGGAAGGTGGCGAGGTCGTAGTTGGCCCAGCACATGAAGCGGTCGCCGACGGGGACGGCCACGTTGGTCTCCTGCCACATCTCCATGCCATGGCGGCGTTCGCCGCCGCCGTCATGGTGGACGATGGGCACCGCCGTCTTGAGCTCCCACTCGCGGTGGCCGTGGCCGGGGCGGAGCACGAAGAGCTCGGCCGTTTCGAACGGCGGCTCGTGCGCGATCTGGAGCTGCGCCACTAGAGGCGGCGGCGCCTCCTCGCCGCCGTCGCCGCCGCGGAGGCGCAGGATGCCGGTGTCCTGCTGGTCGAACACCCGGCCCGTGGTGCGGAAGCTGTCCTTGAAACGGTGCTTGCTGACCCAGCAGCGCTCGTTCATGGGGATGTCGCAGACGGGGAGCAGCGTCAGCGACGGCGGCTTGCCGGCGGCGGCCATGTAGACGAAGTAGTCGTTCCAACTCATCCGGAAGAGGACAGAGTCGCCGTGAGCCGCGATGACGTAGCCATCATCCCCGCGATCGAAGCAGATGAAGGAGATCGCTGGCGGCGACGCGCGGGCGAGGGCGACGCGGAGGGGTTGGCCGCGGGAGGTGCGGGACTCCGCGGCGGTGTTGTCGTCGGCGACTACGTTCGCCGGCGTGGAGCCCCTGAGGCAGCCCCAACGTTCCAGCATCACCGAGGCCGGGTCAGCAGTCGCGGCCGCCGCCGTCGAACCAGCGGATTCCGTCGGCGGCGGGTGGGTCACGGTGGTTGCCATGTGGCGGCGGCGGCGACCTGGGAAGACGAGATCGATGGAGGAGGAGAAGCATCGGAACGGATGTTCTTCTCGGTTGAGCAACCTCAGGCCACCGAGAGGCCGCAGCAGCTTGTTCATTGGTGATGGTGGCGATCGGAGGATCGGAGCTCAGCAAGGTGCGTTTGCCCTAGCTAGGTTGATCACGACGATGGCGTACGCGCTAACAGGTGATGTCCGATCGATGGGATATACCATGTATATACATATACATATACATATATATATACATATACATATACATATATATACATATACATATACATATACATATATATACATATACATATATATATATATACATATATATATATATACATATATAAGCCTTGTTAATAGCAGTCTCTTAGCGAATATTCGTTGATATGAGAGAGAGAAAGATTAGAGATAAAATATTATATATTATTGCTATGGGTAGGGAAGAAAACGGTCGGAAACGATCGGAAAACAGCCTCAACCATTTCCATAATCATATTTTTCTCGGAAATGAAATCGAAAACGATAAACTCGGAAACGAAAACGATATCAGAAATATCGAAAAACCGGAAACGGAATAATACTGAAGGAAACATGTCGGTATAGATCGAAAACTGGTAACAAATACAGAAACATTAAACTATAGAAAACATATATTTAACTTTACATAAGTATGTTATATGTACAAATAAATTCAAGCTATACTATATAAATTAGAAATCAACTCCATTTTAGCCATGCAATCAAGTTAGGGATTTGATTAAATAGTCAATCAATCTCTAAACTGTAAGTCAAGTAGAGACATACCCTATAAATATCAACGGGACCATCTATATATTTGTCGACAAATTTTCTCCTAAAAATTTGACAGATGTAATTATAGTACAATCATAGTGTAATTACACTGTAACTTATATGTAATTACACTGTAACTTGCATGTAACTACGGTGTAACTTGTATAAGTTTCACGTAATTTTGAATTGTTAAATCTATTATAAGTTTTGTTTTGGTGAGGAAGAAAGAAAATCACAGCGCACACATATGTGTAAGGATTTGTTCCCACGACCTCTATTTTACCAAAATAACATATTACAGAGAGATTTTTGAAAGTTACATACAAGTTACACTATAGTTACAGTGTAATTACACTACGATTGTACTGTAATTACATCTATCAAATTTTTGGGAGAAAATTTGTCGACAAATATATAGCAAAATCGATATCAACATATTTAGAAATACGGTAATTACCATATTATAAGAAACGATAATTTCTATAAGAATACGGTAAATATGGAAATGATCGGTATAACAGCAAAACTATTTCCGTTTCCATTTCCATATTTTTTACCATTTACTTACAAAAATCTTCCAGAAAAAAATCTTATCTTAATAACCATCGTTATCTAAAAGTAACATGTTAGTTACGTTAGATATACTCGTCTTAAAAAAAACCACGGAAAAAAATCCGCCAGCATAAGCGATAGAGAAAAACAACGGAAAAAATGGAAATCCAGAAAAAAAAATCTACCGTGGTGGAAAAAAGCAACGGAATAACAATGGAAAAAAAAAAAAGAAACCCACCCTCGGGCTGCGTGCGTGCCGGTAAGCACACACGTCAACTAGGAAGCCCCTGAAACAATATACTCATCACTATCTTCTGTATACCAAACAAACAGAGGCAGGGTTGAGGTGTGGCGATTCAGAGTAAAATACAGGTATAAAACACAGAACATGCATGATCAGATATGCTGGATCAGGAAATAGCCACGATGACTTTAGTGATCGTGTGGTAGATACCACTGAAGAAGTCTGATCGGAAGAGCATTCCAATCTGAAGACTAGTGGCAATAAAACATTACAAGACATAACATCAGAATTCGAGGCTCGCACCTTCACACACTGGAAACAATCCGGAGAGATTCTGTTTGATGGCATTCAGTTCGTCGATGATATCTCCGGTTGGCGTTCTACTCAATGGCAAAACCTGAGAGCAAGACAACCCAAGTCTAAGCAGCGAAACAATGCATTCAGTGATTCTTCTACATGGAGAATTATTTGTACTGTTCAGCCAGTTCTCAGAATCCAAAATGAGCTTCGTGTCAACAACATCCGTCACTCTGCCATGTAGGCCCAGTTCAACGTACTGACGGAGGCCCAAATCGGGTCTGAATGTACTGTCAGTTGGCCGCTTCCCGGTTACTATTTCCAGCACTAGAATTCCATAGCTGTAAATATCTCCATGTGTTGATGCAATGTGCCCGACGCCATACTCTGTTTGAGTAGGAAATACGATTTCAAATTTCCAGTGTTAAATAAAAAAGAACTTGGATGTATAATTATGTAAAATTACGTGTTAAATATCACAAATAACAAGGATGGCTGGACAAATGGTAGATGTAAAGGTTGGATTAATTTTTATTATATAAAGAAACATAAATACCAATGAAATTTCATATTTAACTTTAAGAATCTAATTTACAAATACATATCTAAAGAAATTTGGTATGATTGTGCTATACAGTTACCCCAAGCAATCAGTTGCTATAATGGCTAATTACTTTTGTACGAATCCTGTTTGTGTTCATTGTGATTATAGTATATCACACAACATAGGATATTTCGTTTTTGTATCTATATTATTTTCACCACCTCCATGTGGGAATTAGAAGTAGTACCAAGTATTTTTCATGGTCAATGCAAGTTCTTGAAATAAAAAATTGTAATAACTAGTACATACAAAAAAAAAGTGTTTCTTAAATGTAGAATTGACAAATTTACTCAAATTTGATCCTTCTGATAATCATTTCATATTGCAGTGTAGAGCAGAAAACACCCATAATTTGATTTGAGTGTGTAGTAGCTCTAGAGTCCTATATAAAAAAAAATCTGTACCTCTATGAACTAGCTATATTTAGCATCTGAATAGATATGGCAAATAATCTTATTTTTGTGCAATTTAATTAGTTCAATTAATTACTTATATTCTCCATCAGTTTCACTAGAGGTAAAAACTATTTCATATAGCACTAGAGATCAGAAAATGCAAAATACTGGAAGGACTTGCTGACCTGGTGCTGCATAGCCAATTGTCCCTCTAAATCCCATCGAGCTTGTTGACTGTTGTATCAATGAGGTCCCATCAACAAGTATTCTTGCAAGCCCAAAATCTCCAACATGCGCTACCATATCAGAATCTAACAGCACATTGCTTGATTTAACATCACAGTGTACAACAGGTTCAGGGCCATGGCGGTGAAGATAGTCCAATGCACAGGCAACATCAAGTAGTATGGTCACTCTTCGATGCAGATTCAAGTGCCTCTGGTCTGCTGGATCATTTGTTTCAGGGTGTATCCAATCTTCCAGACTGCCGCTGGGCATGAAGTCATACACAATTGCTTTGAAATCGTTCCCTCTGTTATCAATGCTCGAGCAAATTGTAACTATCTTGACAAGATTTCGATGTCGCATATTTCGTAGTGCTTCACATTCGGCAGTGAAACTCTTGAGTGCCTTAGGATTTTCAAGCTTTAGTACCTTCACTGCAACATGATCTTGGATATTAAGCTTTCCTTTGTATACTGAGCCAAATGATCCAGAACCCAACAAATTAGTCGGCGCGAAACCATCTGTTGCTTTTACCAACTGCGAATAAGAGACCAATGGGTGGCCTTTCATGGAAGTTCTTGAAGGGGCTCCCTTTTTAGTTCTCTTGTGCCAGGTTATAAGCAAGTAGAGTGATGAGAGGATGGCCAGTGCTGCGACCAGAGAAACAGAAATAGGTAGAACTGGGAAATGTTTTCTATTCTCTAGTAATGGACAACATCGAGGCAGATGTAGATCAGGTATTCCACCACAGAGTTTGGCATTGCCTTGGATTGAGATCCCGGATGCATCTGCGAAAGCACCAATGGTTGGCACTTCCCCCATAAAGCTGTTGAAAGAAAGGTTCAAGGAATGAAGCATAGTAATATCTGCTAAGGATGTGGGTATCTGGCCTGACAAATTGTTGCTTGAGAGATCAAGAGTTTCGAGACCTTTCAGCTGACCCAAGGCTGATGGGATGCTACCAGATAACAAATTATTTTGCAGATAAAGATACCGTAAGAGCTGGCAATCACCAAGCGTGTTAGGGATTTTACCTGATAATCTATTCGATTCTGCATGAAATTCTACTAGATTTTTGAGATGCCCTATTTCTTGTGGTATTGATCCCTCCAAGTTATTTTTTGATACATTGATCATTATTGATAGTGTTTGAATATTGAATAATTCACTGGGTATTGGACCACTAAGGTTATTAGTTGAAAGGCCTAATGACAACAAGTTTGTGAGGTTTGAGAGTGTGTATGGTATCCAACCACTGAATTTGTTGGTGCCGAGCAGTAAGATATTAAGTTCAGTAAGATTTCCTATGGCCAATGGGATCGAACCGCTCAAGTTGTTTTCGTAGGCGACTAGAATGCCTAAGTTTCTAAGCCTGCCCAACGATGATGGAAGAGACCCTCTGAAATTGTTGTTGCAGAGATAGAGATGTTGTAAGCCAATAAGATTGCCAATATCCTTTGGAATGCTTCCTGTGATCTTATTCAAATCAAGTGCAAGAAAACTAAGCGAAGTGGAAAGATTGGAAAACGAATTAGGAAGAACTCCCCCCAGGTTATTTTCTCCCAAGTCCAATGTTTGTAATTTGGAGCAATTTGTTAGGTCAGAAATGAACCCCCAATCTTCTTGTTCTCTAGTTTGAAACAAATTTCTCCAGAGATACAGTGTTGTGAGATTTCTTAACCTTCCAAACCCCGAGGTGATAATTCCACTGAACAAGTTGCCATCAATCTGAAGCTGTGTCAGATGAGAAGCATTAGCAACTGAGGCAGGGATTTTGCCATAGAAACGGTTAGTGCCCATATCTATCACCTCGAGGAGGTGAAGGGTTTTGAATGCATTTGTAGGGATCATACCACCTAGCTTGTTTTCGCTGACACTAAACGCTCTTAGAGACGAAAGGTTCCAGATAGAATTGGGGATCATCCCACTTAGATTGTTCTGTCGCAAATTCATAGTCAATAGACTGCTGCTGAGCTGCCCTAGCGATGAAGGTATAGCTCCTGATAATCTGTTGCAGCTCAAATCAAAATACTGAAGGCTAGTGAGATTGCCCAAAGCAGATGGAATCTCTCCTGATAAACCATTGGTGTGAAGGTACAAATTCGAGAGATGTTTCAAGCTGGCACCAATCTCACGTGGGATCATACCTCGCAGTTGGTTGTGGCTGAGGTCTAGCGATGTCAACTTGGTGCATGCTCCAATGGCCGCGGGGATGCTCCCTTGGATGGAGTTACCGCTCAGCTCCAGCAGCTGAAGCCTGCTGAGACGGCTGAGCTCCGGTGGTATCTCGCCGGAGAGGTAGTTGTCGCTGAGGTCCAGCTCCCTGAGGAAGGACAGGTTGCCCAGCGACGGCGAGATGATCCCGGACAGGTTGGACGAGCGCAGCAGCAGCTTCACCACCCTGTGTGGGTGCCGGCGGCGGCGGCGGCCGCACACAACACCCACCCATGTGCAGTGCTGGCCGTGGCCGGACGTGTTCCAAGATGCCAGCGACAAGCCCCCCTGGTGTAGCAGGGATGACTTGAAAGAGAGCAGCGCGAGTTCGTCGCCGGCGACGCCGCCTGTACTGGTACGAGCAGCAGCAGCAGCAGCAGCATCGTCACTGCTCGCTGGGCCGATCAACAGCAGCAGCAGCAAAGAAGAGATCATGACCGACGTTGGTGATCTCGCCATGCATGCGGAGGAGGAGTGCGCTACAATGAGCTGAGCTGATCAATGCAGTGTTTGGATTCAAGCACTGGTCCTATAACAGTAAAGGGATCCCAAGTCCCAACAAATGGCTCCTGTCAAAAAAAATAAAAAGAAGTCCCAGCAAAAGGAAAAGAATGAAACATTACTGGCTACTCCAAGAAAAACGGATCAAGCTCTTCTGGTCAAAGTCTTCAATGAAAATAAAAGATACTCCAGTTGGTGTACCTTATCAAATTTTCAAAGTTTCAGTCATGCTGCGTTCTTTACCGCCTCTTCCTAACTTTCTAATTAAGGGAGTGTCTAGATCACACCCTAAAATTTTGCACCATGTCACATCGAACGTTTGAACACCTGTACGAAGTCTTAAATATAATCTAAAAATAACTAATTGCACAGATTATGACTAATTTGCGAGACGAATCTTTTAAACCTAATTGCTCCATGATTTGACAATGTGGTGTTACGGTAAACATTTGTTAATGATAGATTAATTAGGCTTAATAAATTTGTCTCGCGGTTTACTAACGGATTCTGTAATTATTTTTTTATTAGTGCCCGAACACCTAATACGACACTCTACGTTATCGAGATGACATGCCAAAACTTTACACCTATGGATGTAAACACCCCCTAATTTTATATGCATATGCGTGATGAAAAATACTCAGTGACACTACCTATAGCTATGTTTCTATCTCTCTATATGGAAGCGTGTGTTTGTTCCTCCTTGACAATGCCTATACTTAGTGTATATAATTTTTTTCTAAAAAAATCATATTGATTTATTTTTTAAGTTTATTTTATCTAATGCTTAATTAATTATGCGAAAAAGATCGCTTTGTTTTATGTGTGGAGAGGTGAACATCTTAACCTTCACCTCCGAACGAGATTCTTCTGAGCAGTTGGATATGGTCCCAAACCATATTCTTATGATTATCTCTATAGAAGCACTTTTGTTTGGCATGGATTTAGCGTCTCGCAGACGCAAGATTAAACATGAACAAGCTAGTACAACCTGTGTACCTTTTTAATTGATGTTCTTGACTAGAGGTGTACCTTTTTAATTGATGTTCTTGACTAGAGGCGCGCCCTTCCTTTGAGGTGTGACTTTCACCATTAAGTTTTTGACAAATTTCGTTACATAGGCTGTGTTTAGTTTCACGTTAAAATTGGAAGTTTTAAAAAATTGAAACGATGTGACGGAAAAGTTGAAAGTTCGTGTATGTAGGAAAGTTTGATGTAATGGAAAAGTTGGAATCTAATCAGGGCCATAACACACAAATTTTGTTTTCGGCTGTGTTTAGTTCATACCAAAATTGGAAGTTTGCTTGAAATTGAAACGATGTGACGGAAAAGTTGAAAGTTTGTGTGTGTAGGAGAAAGTTTTGATGCGATTGAAAAGTTGTAAGTTTGAAGAAAAACTTTAGAACTAAACACGGCGTTCGTAATTTATTGGTAACATCATGAAAATGTGTGAGGACTCAAAGACATTGTAAAAACTGGCAAATTGCTAGAAGACACTCTCATCTTAATTGGGAGAGAATTTCTTTAAAAAGATAAGAGAATGGCCAAAAGCATCTAGCTTAAGGATGTCGTGAATATGAAATATTATGTATGATGATGATGTACTTGGGGGTAATAACAGACTTAGAGTTAAATAATTTAGAAAGCTTAATTCCAAGGACTACAGCCCCAGATGGCATATATTTAGATAGTGTTGGGAGGTAATCTTCCGCGCATGTAAAACGGAGCTACTCATCGGCGCATGATTAATTAAGTATTAGCTATTTTTTAAAAAAAATTAATATGATTTTTTTAAAGTATTTTTTTAATATTTGTTTGTAAAAAACATACGGTTTAGTATTTTGGGAAGCATCGTGCGAAACGAGAGATGTGAGTTGGGAAAGAAGAGGAAATAACACAGCCTTAGAATCTGCGAGAGAATAGGGCATGGGCCCTGTGGGCAGAAAGAGTGCACCGGCAACGCATTTATCGTGTCTGCACCAATTAATCTTGGGAGTAGCTACATTTATAGCGTTATTTTTTTTACCAAAAATAATTAGCATGTATTTATATTATAAGTTTCTAAATTACATATGTAATTTAGTATATTTATAACGTAAATCCCCAACTATAAGTAGGATGTAAGTATAATATTGTATTAGGATGTAAATATTTTTTATATAATTTATATGTAAATATAATATACACCATAGTTTTGTTTCCTTGGTTTCTATTAAAAAAATATTTTTAATCAACTTGAATCACTGATTGGACAGTGTGAACGAGTAATATTCATTGTGTCAGAGCGCGGGCATAGGCATTGTTCAATAGCTTGGTTACACTTTACTCTCTCCGTTTTTAAATATTAGAAATTTTAATTGGATATAATATATATTAGTATAACGATTCTAAGATGTATCACATCCAACTAAAATATTTTATATTTAAAGATAGAAGAAGTAATTATTTATTGGCTAACAGTAGTTTCGTATTCTGGCGCTGTCCTGAAAGAATCTGGGACGGAATCGAGTGGCCCAAAAACCGACTGCTACCTGTCCAAAAATATGTCGACATAATTCTAGCAAATTTGCTTGTGAAATCTCCCTTTGGTAGAAGTTACCATCACTCATGTAATATGTTTCTAATCTCCACTTAATAAAGTTTATGAGTTCTAAAAGAAAACAATTTCATACACCCTCAGAAATCAGAACACCTCACACAAGACAAGACGACTGTCTTTTGCCTCAAATTTAGCATTCTGAGCTGCCAAAGTTACTAGGCTTTCGTAATAAATAATTTTCTTCAGGCAATCAAAACTTTATGTCTAAGGCTGTGTTTAATTAGATTTGAACTTTTTTCTTCAACTTCTAATTTTTCTATAACATCAAATGTTTAAATACATATATGAAGTATTAAATGTGAACGACAAAAACAATTGCACAGTTTGCATATAAATCGCGAGACGAATTTTTAAGCCTAATTACGCTATAATTTGACAATGTGTTCCTACAGTAAATATTTGCTAATGACAGATTAGTTAGGCTTAATAGATTCGTCTTGCAGTTCACCTGTGGAATCTATAATTTGTTTTGTTATTAATCTATATTTAATACTTCAAATGTGTGTTCGTATACTTCAAATAATTTTGGTACACGAACTAAACACAACCTAATAGGCTTTCTCGTGAAAGTACCCAGAATTCTCTAAAGGACCGGAGTCTTTTCATTGAGCAGTGACCAAGACCAATAGCAACTAATTCTGGGTCAATGCTCACACTTAGGGTGTGTTTAGTTCGTGAAAAGAAAATTTTTATGTCACATCAGATGTTTGATTGGATGTTGGAAGAGGTTTTTGAACACGATTAAAAAAACTAATTTCATAACTCGTCTGGAAACCGCGAGACAAATTTTTGAGCCTAATTAAGCTGTCATTAACACATTGTGGATTACTGTAGCACTTATGGCTAATCATGGACTAATTAGGCTCAAAAGAGTCGTCTCGCGATTTTCATACAAACTGTGTAATTAATTTTTGTTTTTATCTATATTTAATGATCCAATGCATATGTCGAAAGATTTAATACGATGTTTTTGAGAAAAAATTTAGGAACTAAACCAGACCTTAATGCCATCTTTCATGTACCGAACATCACAAAAACTATGGATCAAGTGCTTACATTCGATGCCATATTGTACTTGTTCTTTTCATATGCTGAAGAATTTTCTAGGAAGACTTTGGGTCATGTGCTCACACCTGGCGCTATATCTTGCATTTACGGATTGATGTGCAGGTTCAATTTTCCATTTTACTCCCAGCAAGCTAACGTACCGACATTCATACGTGTTTGTGTCTGGACTAAGGCAAAGTTATTTTTTAAGTAAATCGAAATGATTTTCTGTTGACACGTTTATCAAACTGCTAAACGGTTTATTTATAAAAAAAATATGTATAGAAGCTTTTCTTAAAAAAATCAAATAAGTCTATTTTTTAAAAAATTTATAATAGTTATTAATATTATCTATCTATCTATCCTATACATTAGGCATTTCCTACGAGCTCTCACGTTAATCAGAAAAATCTAGCCATTAATTATTAATTATTTAGATTGTATTATCACAACCGAAGATAATAAAATATAACCTCATGGGCTACCTATAAAACCCATCTGACCACGGTACATTTAAAACCCATCTGACTGTTATGTGTGCTTTATCATGTAACAAACGAATCATATCTATGTATCATCTAACAAAAAAATCACCATAGATGAGAAAAAAAATCACCATAGATGAGAACGAGCCTACCTTCATTACGAGAGAACAGATGCGAACTCAAGCGAACGGCGAACGGCGGCGCATGAGATTATTTTCACCACCGACGAGCTACCTGCTGCTGTGAACGACTCACCGTTCATCCTGATTTGAAGCGAAAAGAAGATACCTGCAAACAGTAGTTGTGCGTACTTATACATACAGCATCGATTGATTTGCTTGGCATTCCTAACACTGCTTTTTGAATCCTCCTATGGCATGCAACCATCCTGCGGCCTAATTGACTGAAAAAAGGCACACAATGACGGGCTACTGTTGTTGTCGCTCCTGTAGAACCGAGCTGTTACTTCATTGGTTGTATTGCTTATTCCGCCGTTTCCAATACTTTTCTCATTAAGATTTAAATATATGGAGAAATTATCGGATGACTTTGTATTACACAGAGTTTTTAAAATTTTGACCTTATTTTTCTTCCTGCACAACATGTTCTTATGCGAAAGAAGACCGGGGTGAATTGCAATAATCATGGTACCCAACCATCTACATGCGTGCACAAATGAATGAATATTTTAATAGCGTAATGCAATATCGATGCACCTGAATGTACTCTCAACACATATAAAGACCAACACCAAAATCCCTAGCTCTCTAAAATTCTTTTAAACGTGCATCTATATCTGCGTAATATATAGTGGTGTCAAGATTCAAATCATGGTGGCTAGT